AGAGTGGTACCCCTTATTCGGGTACCTCGCAAATAAAAGCTGAAAACTTTGGATGCGGATTAGACAACTAAGGCTGGGCAAAGGTGTAGTAGTAAATAAAGTTTTCTACCTCTACAGGTTTTGGGATACAGTAAAAAAAGCGACCGAACTGCGAACACCGCGGGCCAAAGCCCGCAAACCAGTTGGACCAGCTGCTGTCCTATGAATTTGAGATCTAAGATTGGAGATCAAAGACTACATATCCCCGTGCCACCTCTGGTTCTGATCTTTATGCCATGCCACAGCTAAATAGCTTGGGACACACCTCTGGTTCTGATCTTTATGCCTTGCCACAGCTAAATAGCTTGGGACACAGCCCATAATGCTAATTTAGGAGCACCTGGGCGGTACTGATAGCATTGTGCGTGGGCTGATGAAGAGTGCGAAGCTACCTGGCAAAGCAGAATGGTCAGTTTGCAATTGCCTTCCCACCCTCAACCAGCCAACCAAAACTTCCAGCGCCCCACAGGCATGCGTCTCTACGCGTCTCGGTTCACGCCCCTGATGGCGTACCTCCTCGCCACACATGGGGTAGCTGAAGCTTCATCGTGCAAGACGCTGCTTGATTCCGACAGCACGCTGGCCAAGTCCCTTTCGTCCTGGACCGAAACAGACTTGACTTCAATCGACTTCCCCACCGTCTTCAAGGAGATCGACACGGCCCTTCCTTGGCTGTCCAAGTGCATCGCCGCCATCGACCCCAAGGCCGTCTACACGTCACTCGCCAGCTCCTCCGCCGTGAAGAACAGTCTCTCCGTTCTCGAGAACTTTGGCGGAGATCTCAGCACTGCGGACGGTTGGTCAAGCATCTGCACCTTGTTCGATGGCACCATCAAGCCGGATGTCGAGACCGTTATGAAGGACGTCGTCATGGACGCCCTCAACAGTGTGGACGGCTGCTGCGACGACTTCCTGAGCGAAGTTAAGACGCTGTTCGGTGGGGACGCGCTCGACGACATGGTGACGAAGCTTCTGGAGCTTGGTCTCAACACCGAATGCAGCGAGAGGACGTACACGAACCTGAAAGGCACGTCGACCAAAGAAGTCTGCGGCTACTCCATCTACAAGTCCTTCACTTTCATCGAGACGGACGACGATACTGTCTCGCTGTTGAACCTCGCCCAAATCCCCAACGACCAGATATGCGACGCGTTCGCCGGCAAGGCCTTCACCAACACCAAGGGCGCCTCGACCACGATCGGCTTCGGCACTAACGGTGCGGACGCCATGGGCATCTGCCTCGAGCCCATTGACACGGCGATGCAGTACTTCAAGTCTTGGGGGATCTTCTCGGAGGCCGTCGACGCCGACGGTACGAGCGTGTCGCTCTCCGACCTCTTCACCTCGGGCAAGTCGATCCGTGGCAACTTGCTGTTGGATTATGCCGCCTCAGAGTTGGGCCTGCCGCGGATGGGACTACGAGCCACCGAAAAGGTGCTCTTCGCACTGGGCGCCGTCTCCACCGACGACGGTGACAGTGAGACCTTCCTTCAGGACGGATTCGTGGAGATCCTGGACGGCATGAACTCATACGCCAAAGCGCTGCTGCTGCACGTCCCGAACAACGGCAGCTGCACCTTCTCGGACCAGTCGATCACGCTGCCGTACGCGGAAGCTGCATCTTCGGTGAGCACTGGCACCAGTGCGGCCTCGTCGGTCAAGCTGTCGGGTGTAATGACTGCGAGTGCGGTGCTGGCCTCGTCGCTCCTCGTGAGTGTGCTGCTTTAATCTAGGCCTTCAGCACCCAGCGGAACAAAAGTAATTCTAAAGAGTGCTCAAATAATCAAGCCGCAAGTATAAATACAAATACAGCGCGATGGGCAGTTCCATAGCTCTGCACTGCTTTCGAGGTATTCGGATACAAAGCCGTTCGGACTTGAGGCAGTGAAGCATTTGTTACATGTATTTATTTAATACATGCATAAAGGAACTGTACAGTGACCCCAGCAACACGCTTGTAACTTCAGCTACACAGAGTTGCTGAGCCCCCCCCCCCCACCACCACGTTGGAGGAAGAGACACCACCATCGTCACTGCCAGAAATATAGTCTCTCCAACCCTTATGGTTGGATTCGCACGCGAAGATGGCTGGCACCAAGCAGCCAAGCAGCCATGCGCGAGAGAGCGTCGTTGCCTTTTTGAGCCAAAAGTGGTCACCTTTAGGGACTGAAATCGGTTCCGGTTCGAGGTAGTCGCAAAGGACTCGACGTGCGGAGGGGAACTGAAGTGGATCGGATATATCCGTGCGAAAGTACCGATGCAGTATCACATTATTTCGGTGTTGTCGATGCCATGCGAGACTTGCACCGCAATACTGTAGTGGACTTGAAGCGCGGCCACCATGTGTTGGGCGATTCCTCCAGCATCCTGTGGGATCGCAGATTAACGTGCAGGACTGCCGTGTCATCGCTATTAGCGGCAGTCGAATTGCAATTTTCCACCTTTCATACCAGCATTTCGCACTGCAGCGACGCCTTTCACCAGCTTCGCTTGCTGGATAGCGGCGTGGACAACCCAGGGCCCCAGAGCCACCGACCTCATTTTTGCTGATCGGTCTTTTCCATGGTGTGTGCGACACGTTTTAATCGCCTGGTTAGGGTAGGCTACGTCTTGCAAATAATTCAGCCAATCGGCGCAGCTGGCAAAAAAATCAGATGATCTTGAGCCATTTTTGTCGAAACCCGTCCATTCTCTGTCCGGAGGATCTGTTCGGAGTACAATAGCCTTGGTCAATTCAAGGCTATTTCACGCAATTTATCAACCTTTCCGTCCTTGTCACGTAATTTCCAAGGATCGGGAATCTGGTTCCGTGGGTCAATGCCATGGGCACCCATTCGCCAACTTCGCGTCGAGTGGACAAGGAGATCTCTTGGAAGCGCCGACAGTCAGTCAGATACATAGGAAAATGGCGGTGAACAAGCGCCTGATCATCGTGGGCGTCGTGGTACTGTGCGCCGTGGTGGGCGCCATCGTGGGCGTGCTGGTGGCCACCAAGTCCAGCTCATCCTCCACGTCCTCGGAGGAGTCGGGCGACGCCGGCGACTCGACGTCCAGCGGCTCGGGCACCAGCTCGTCCACCAGCAAGAAGTCGTCCAACTCGACCTCGGGCAGCTCCACGGTCACGTCCACCGTGACGTCCGACCCCACCTCCGGTACGGTTCAATCCAACCCCCCAAATGGCAGAGGAGTTGAGGAGGCTGATGACGGATTTTCTCTGATTTCTTGCAGTGACCTACTCGCTTGCGGCCTTTGCCATCGGAGACTGGGGCACGACCGTGACCAAGGACTCGTGCTGCACGCGCTCGGAGACGTACAACAACTACGACGTGGTGGCGGAGGATGTGGTGTCCAGTCTCATGAACACGCAGGCGGGCAACGCCGACGTCAAGCCGAAGGCCATCCTGAGCCACGGCGACAACTTCTACTGGACGGGCATCAACAGCGAGGACGGCCGCGACTCGCGCTTCACCACCACCTTCGAGGGCAAGTTCGACGGCGACAACCTCGCTGGAATCCCGTTCATCAACGTGCTGGGCAACCACGACTACGGTGGCGCTAGTTACATCTGCTCGGACGGCGATGACAACGCCAAGTGCGGCAGCACGGACGACCTCATCACGGCTCTAGAGAACAAGTTCAAGTGGCAGCAGGAGTACACGAGCCCCAACGACGACCGCTGGGTGCTCAAGGACCACTTCTACGTGTACACTATCGAGGACGCCGACTCGGGCGTCAGCATTGACATCTTCAACGTGGACTCGGGCGACGCCGACGTGCACGCGGCCCAGCAGGTGTGCTGCCAGTGCTACGGCTACTCGAACGGCGACGACGACTCGTGCAACAACGTTGCGCGTGGAGACGAGTACTGCTGCGGAGGTGATACGGACATGTACGACACCTGCTTCGCCAAGTTCACGGAGTGGAGTGACGACTCGCGCTCGCAGCTCGCCGAGAAGGTCCAGACGTCCAACGCGACCTGGAAGATTGTGAACTCGCACTACTCGCCGAGCGTCCACTACGCGGAGACGGGCATGAAGGAGTGGTTTGACATCCTGGAGGGCTCTGGCATCCACGCGTGGGTCTACGGCCACACGCACGGCGAGAAGCACGACTACTCGGAGACGCTGGGCGTGCACTTCGTGGAGAACGGCGCCGGCGGCGGTATCCAGAAGGAGTCGGCCAGCGGCATCACGACGTACGCCGCCGACTACGTCAGCAACGTGTGGACGTACACGGGCGACGAGTACGGCTTCTTCTCGCTCACGGCCTCGGAGGACTGGCTCAAGCTGCAGTACCACACGGCCGACGACACGTGGTCGTTCGGCTCGAGCATGAGCGCCACGACCGTCGGCGGTGTCGAGACCAAGCACTGCTGGTACATCCCCGCGGACGGCACGAAGGGCGAGGAGTGCTCATCGTAAATCCCATGACCATGAATGACCCTTGGCCTCGTCACCAAGGCTGAAACCAGAAGAAGCCGAGCGGAGCCGCGTTCCCCCAGTAGTGAGTACTAAGACCGCCGTATATGTAGGTCAGTGACAGAGAAGATAACGGCTCCCGGCAATCGTATATTCCCTTCATTCCCAATGCTCAGATTGAAGTAACGGATTTTACCGAATATTAGCCGGGTGAGGACTTTTATTTCATGGAAGCGTTGCATCAAGGCTGGCTCTGCACTAAGGAAGATCTACATGTACTTTTCTTGGTTAAATTCTCTACGAACTCGCAAAGGAGCGTCTCGCTCGTTGGAAGGACCAAAAGATCACCGCATTGGTTCGTCTGAAAGAATTGACGCCATCCCCATTTACGACTGAGAAGCTGGCCAAGTCAAGGTGCCAAGAAGTTTATCAGTCTTAGTAGGGTCGCTAAATCAGGGTGCCTGGAGGTACACTCAAGCTCACATTGATAAGCTTTTGGGTAAGACGCAGCCCCTCGAGTACATAAGCCGTGGGAGTTTAACCACTCCCGCTATCCGTTTGCCCTGCACTTGTAGCAGCAGCAACTTAAAATGGTTTTGAACGAAGTGTTTGGGGCAAGGGTAGGTGTGAGGCCCAAACACTTCGTTCACTTCGTTAAGTTCTAGGCTGTGCAAGACGCTGCAAAAGTGCAAGTAGGCGTTCATTGCTCGTCACGAAAGAGATTAACAGTCGTTTAGTTTCATCCTCTTTAGTAGTTTACATGCAGATCTTTGTCTAAGACAACAATGCTGATGGAGTACATGTAGCGAGATCGGTTGACGACCACAATTCATTGCTTTTTCCAGGTACATCGTATCGTTGTGAAGTAAATCCAATAGGGTTGGAATGAGCGCGAGCTCCAAAGCAAACAGAGTTTGGGCTAACATTTAAAAGCTAAATGTTCGAGTACCTTTATAAAAAATAGATGTCCGGTCTTTTATTTTATTCGGGACTTCTATTTTCAGGCACTCCAACCTATTTCTGACCGGACTTCTATTTCCTACAGGTCTTGTATTCGGGAAAATCCGTTACTTACGTGGACCAGCATCAATACCCGTAATAAGGAGTCTTCAAAATGGCGAGTCTCAATAACGGCTCTGAAACCGGCTGTTGATATTCGGATAAGCTCAGCAGGTCATTCATTACACTCCGGCATTCCGAGTCTCGCCATGAAGTGGGCGCGGCTGTCGCTGCCGTTGCTGCTGAGCTGCGCTCTGCATGGCGTCGACGCGTGGTCGATGCGCACGGTGACGTCGTACCAGGCGCGCGTGGAGACGTACGCGCCCGTGTGGGACGCTGACCAGCAGGTTTTCGTGTCGGGCCTCCCATCCAGCGGGAACTTCTCCTTCGACGAGCGCTACCGAGCCTCAATGGACTCGATCACCACCTCCAGCGTAGAGGGCGCGCTCATGTACCTGCAGCGCGACTGCATCGATCAGGGAGCGGACCCGACGGCCAGCGGCTGCCACCGAAGGAACAACGTGAGCGTCATCACGTTCCTCGAGGTGCAGATCGTGCAGCCCAACGCTGCATTGGCCGAGTACCAGGAGCAGCGCTGCATGTACCCGGAGTTCTGCCCCTTTGTGGTGATGCAGGACGGAGAGTGCGCCTATGCTGACGCGCAGGACGACGGCTTGGCTAGTGACAGCAGTGGATCGAGCAGAGACCACCCGCCAGAGTGCAAGCAATTTAACGGACTCGACGGTCAGCCCGACATCGGCCCGTGTGTGGGGGCACAGGCGTTCTCTGCAGATATGGTGGCCCCGTACCACGACACGGTGTGGTTCTCGTACCCGAATAGCTGCGTGACGTCGAGTTGGACGAACGGCAAGAGCGACGTCTGTCGAGAGCAGCACAAGGGAGGACTGTGCCCCTTTGGGTGGCAGCCGGATGGAGTGAATTGCACGTTCTCGTACAAGATTTTGGGCTATTTGTCGATCGATCAATTGGTGGGGATCACGGCGATCAATGCTACCAGTACATCTTCAGTGGAGAGTTCAACTTCGGGTTCTGGATCGGAGGCGTCGGCGATTGACAGCGTCCAGAAGGCCTCGACCAAGTACTACAAGAACTACAACGCGTTCTGCAAGGCTGGCAACGTCGAGTTCCACTCGTACGACCAGGACAAGACCCTCGGACTGAGCAACGTGACCAGCATCCCGTTCTGGGAGGACCCATCGTCTCTGGAGGCGAACTTCGCTCGCACGAGGCAGATGATCGCGCTGTATAACGAGCTAGCGGACGAGAAGACGAACCACATGCAGAAGCTGCCCACCGACCTGGATGCTCTGCGAGATAGCAACCCTCCCTGCTACGAGAACGCGGAGGTTTGCTACAACGCCCAGTTCGGCTGCCGGCGGCATTCCTACGCGCAGGTGTGCTCACTATGCCGAGGGCAGAGGGACCAGTGCGTCCGACAGATCTCGTCGTACGTTTTCCCGGCGCTCGAAAAAGCCTCCCGCACCGTGTCGGACAGCGAACTTCGCAGCGGAATTTTTGCCACTCTTGCTGCTCAAATCACAGCCACTTCAAGCTCCAGCGGCAGCAGTAACAGCGCCCCACACGCGCGTTCTGGAGCCGATATGTTGGCTTTGGCATTGCAAACTGCGAGTCTACTGCTTCTGCTCAGGAGTGCAGCACTGTAGAAACTTTTGTGCTGTTAGAATGTCCTGTACTGTGTAAAACTATCCAACACCTTTGATCCATCCTAGCGGACGATTGTGGATACATTCGACTTTTGATCAAGTAATCACAGTCAGTCCCCATCCGACCTCACTGGAATTCCGCCATTTTCACATCAGACTAGAGCGCGCGCACACCAAATCGTGACAAATTTCTCCATCGATGCCGCTCCTACTTCCTCGTCTCGCGTCAAGCATCCTGTGCTGCTTTGTGCTATTGGCCGCGACTTCGTCCCTCCTCGTCGCCGTCATCGATGCAGCCGAGTGCACGTCCGCGCAGGTGGCGGAGCTCTCGACGCTCAGTGGCAATGTGACGGCCGTATGCGGCAGCGACACCCTCTCGAGCACCTCGAGGGCCTACTGCGATGACAGCGCGTGCCTGGCCTACCTAACCAGCATGGTCTCCAGCGTCCCGTCCTGCGAGGTGGAGAGCTACAACCTGCGCACCGTGCTCTCCAGCGCCATCAGCTCGTGCAACGCTGCGTCCGACGCCATCCCCGCCTCCAAGTCCGGCGCCCCGCAGACGGCAATCCCGCTATTGCTGCTGCTGGTGCCGCAACTCGTCGTCGTCCTAGGCCTGTCAGCCTAAGCCATCCTGCAGATCCTAAATACGTGTTATCAGACACATAATCCATATTTTGTTTTCCACACCAATCACCTACCTTCTATCATATCTCCATCTAAAATCCACTCTTTCTCATCCGTCCTCGACCATTGCTCAATTGCTCGAAAGGTATAGTACCAACAGAGACCCTCATGGCGGAGCTGTACGCGGAGGTGGCGGACGAGGAGCAGCGGCTGGCGCGCGGGCCGTCGCAGCGGCAGTACTGGGACCGCAAGACCTTCAGCTCGTTCGCCGAGCAGCAGCGCGCCATGGCGCGCTCCAGCACGCTGTACATCGGCAACCTGTCGTTCTTCACGTCCGAGGCGCAGATCTACGAGCTGTTCAGCCGCGTGGGGCACGTCAAGCGCGTCATCATGGGCCTGGACCGCTTCAAGAAGACCCCGTGCGGCTTCTGCTTCGTCGAGTACAGCACGCACGCCGAGGCCGAGGCCTGCGCGCAGTTCCTGAGCGAGACCAAGCTGGACAACCGCGTGGTGCGCTGCGAGATGGACGGTGGCTTCCGCGAGGGCCGCCAGTTCGGCCGCGGGCTCTCGGGCGGCCAGGTGCGCGACGACCGCCGCTCCAAGGACGACTACGACGCCGGGCGCGGCGGCTACGGCCGCGGGGACGACGCCACGGCCGACGGCCACCACTTCCGCCGCTCGGCGCACGTCAAGCGCCCGCGCGACGACAGCATGGCGGCGGACGAGCCACCCTCCAGTCGCCAGAGACGCCCCGAGTCCCCGCGTGGGGAGGAGGGCGACAAGCAGCAGCAGGAGGAGAACCCGAGGTTCCGCAATCGGGAGGACGACGCGGACAGGGGCGAGGAGGAGACGACCGAGGAGAACCAGCAGCCTGCTGCCACGACGACGGAGGAGCCTGCGCAGCCGAGCGAGGAGTAAGAGGAGGAAGGGAGGTGGTGTCTTCTTTGCTGCAGTGGCTGGCTGGCTGCGGTAATGTTGCACGTGTAATGCATGCTGGATTTTGATGATAAGGTGAAGTTTTGTGTTGATTGGTATGTTGTCGCTGTTATTCTGATCGAGGTTGATTCAAGATTCAAGATGCAACTCATATGAAGATATGGTTATGCATTATTTAATAGTGTTTGAGGCTGGTGCTTGGCCGTCTTGCAAATGTGCTTGAACTATCTGCCGGATTAAAACAGCAGAGTAGCCAAGACCGACGAGACCAGCACCGCGCTCGCAGTCACAAGGCCCGACAGCTTGACCGACGAGGCTGCACTGGTGCCCGTACTCACCGCAGCTGCAGCTTCCGAATACGGCAGCGTGATCGACTGGTCCGAGAAGGTGCAGCCGCCGTTGTTCGGGATGTGGACCAGCACCGACTCTAAGTACGTACGGATGCTGTCCAGCATCTCCACGAACATGTCCTGGAGGAAGGTGTCGCTGTCGCCGTCGTCGGTGGTGGCCACACCCAGAGCGAAAAGCACCTGCTCGGTGGCTCGGAGACTCATGCGCGGCAAGCCCGACGATGAGGCGGCATAATCCAGCAATAGGGTGGCGCTGACGGACTTGCCTGAGGTGAAGAGGTCCGAGAGCGACACGCTCGTGCCGTCCGCGTCGATGGTCTCCGAGAAGATGCTCCAAGACTTGAGGTACTGCGTCATCGTGTCGATGGGCTCGAGACAGATGCCCATGGTGTCCACACCGTTGGTACCGAAGTCAATCGTGGCGGTGTCGCCATTGGTGTTGGTGAACTCCTTGCCGGCGAACACGCTGCACATCTGGTCGTTCGGGATTTGGGCGAGGTTCAAGAGCTTGTCGGCATCTTCGTCCGTCTCGATGAAGGAGAAGGAGTTCCAGATGGAGTACGCGCACGTTTCCTTCGTCGAAGTGCCTTTCAGGTTCGTGAACGTCCTCTCGCTGCATTGAATGTTGAGACCGAGCTCTATGAGTTTGGTCACCATGTCGTCGAGCGCGTCCCCGCCGAACAGCGTCTTGACTTCGCTAAGGAAGTCGTCGCAGCACCCGCCTGTGCTATCAAACGCGTCCATGATTATGTCCTTCATGACGGTCTCGACATCCGGCTTGATGGTGCCATCGGCCATGGTACACATGCTCGACCACCCGCTCGCCGTGCTGAGATCTTTGTCGAAGTTTTCGATGGCGGAGATACTGTTTTTCACTGCGGAGGAGCTGGCGAGCGACGTGTAGACGGCCTTGGGGTCGATGGCTGCGGCGCACTTGGACAGCCAGGGTAAGGCCGTGTCGGTCTCCTTGAAGACTGTTTTGAAGTCGATTGAAGTCAAGTCTGTTTCGGTCCAGGACGAAAGGGACTTGGCCAGCGTGCTGTCGGAATCAAGCAGCGTCTTGCACGTTGAAGCTTCAGCGGCGCCGATAGCAAGAAGTACCAGAAGTGGGGCAAAGCGAGACGCGTAAAGACGCATGCTTGAGCGGTGGTGAAGGCTTGGTTGGTTGGTTGGGGGTTGTTGCTGGGAGGGCAAATTGCAAACTGAGTTGCTGCTGGTGATTCACACTCGCTACTGGGTTGCCTCTCACTTGCTTGACCGCTTTGTGTTGTCCCCAAATAGCGCCCTGTATTGTCTCGCTGCTGCAAGCTATTTAGCGCGTGGCATGAAGATCAGGCCAAGGAGGTTACACGGGATTATGTTGTCGCAAATCTCATTATATCGTAGTACATATCCCGGGCGTGTACAGTATTGAAATAGTAGGCGTCTTCAAAAAGAAGCTCACTCCGTGATTTTTTGGATTAACTGGACGTCCCTTCAACGGTTGTCAGAGTTGGATGCAAGCCGCTTTCCAAGAAGAATCTCATCATCTTATTGGACAAAATTCCCCTGCATTACAAGAGATCTTACCCCAGCTTTTTCTTTCCAGGAGATTACTAGGAGTCCAAGGAGTGTGCGACACACAAAAGAAGATCTCGTCGCGGCAAGCGAACTAAGCGCGAAGACCAAGAAGAAGCCGGTCTTCTAAGACCACGATGCGGTCACCGACGGCAAGTCATCTCTGCAGGTCTTCCTGGATTGGCTATCCACGGAGGCAGATTACAGCAAGTGGGGGGGGGGGGGGGGCAGCGACCATCTAGTGCTGCAGTGCGAACTGCGCTAAAGCACGGGCCCCCAGCGAGTACGAGTTGGCATCTTTTTGAATGAGGCGAGGGTCACCTGATTGGTTAGGCGAAAGGTCGCCTAACCCTTTGACTGATTGGATCCAGCGAGCTTGGAAACGTAGTCAAAGTTCGCATCCTGTCATTGGCTAATGCTCCTACTAGTCTGACAACCACTAATGTACGGGAATCTCGGGAAAAGAATAAATTCGGTTTTTCCTGGCGAGTCTAGGGATGCTGAAACTTTACATATCTACTAATATGTTCATCAAAGGAGTAATGCCAACGTGGCTTCTCCTTTTCTTGCCCCGCTCGGCAACGAGGACATGGTGCGTAGCCCCCCTTACTATTTGTCAGTCATCTTATCGCTAGCGATGCGCGATCGTTAACCCCTACCTGAAAGGTCACACAAATACATATAGCTTTTTACATGCTGCATTAATAACGGTAAGAAACATCGCAGAGGCGCCAGGCAACGCCAGCTTTGAGGATAAATCGCTCGAGATCTACATACATTTAGCGCTTCATACAGCGGCATTACCCAAACTAGATGCAGGGCTTTCTATCCATGTCGGTCTCAACGACGATGTTCCTCTTATTGAAGAGTTAAATTCGCCGAAATCACAGGTTTCCGACCTGTCAGCCCAGTTAAAAAGAAGTCTTGAGGTTTTTTTTGGAGAGATAGGGGACTTTTAAGTTTCAACGTGCTGTCCAGTTTAGGCTGAGCTCTAACCCCGAAGCGTTTTAAGGTACAGACCCCAACGGTTTTCCCCCTATGACTGACCTCGAATCGGAATAGTTTCCTCGGGGTGACCACCTTTGGTCCCAATATGCTAAAAAATCCCTCTCGCGCGTCCAAGTATTGACATTGACCCAATCTAACGATTAGATATACTGCAGTTGTGGTAGCGTTTTTATCAGTTCAGGGGCAGTTCAGTTCAGGTTCAGGTCATGGTAAGCCCAGTACAACGCTTGAGTACAGGCTCAGCCGATTTGTCTGCAATAACCGCATCGACACGGTACAAACACCGTGTACTTTAGTCAGCCCTTCGATCGGCTGCGAACACCTGCAACTGCACCAACACGGTACACACGACGTGTTCGCTCTGTATACCGTTTGAGTACAGGCTCAATGAATCGGTCAACAGCACTTCACTCGTAAAGCCATCACAAGTATTAAAGTAATGCACATGCTACGTGGGTCGCAGCACTCAGCCGAGCAGACAACACGGGCTCGCTCAGGGGTCAAGTTACAGCAATCCGGTACGGCAGCACGTCACAGAAGTGGCATGCTGTCAAGCGCGACTTTTGAGCAACAACCATCAACAACACTGCCGCCATGAAGTCGCCGTACGATGCACGATACTCGAGCGCAAGCTAGTGTGTTGCTGCTAACATCAACTGTGAGGCAGTCGTACAGGCTAAGAGCCTACGCCAGGGCAAAATCTTTGTACATACACTGTGTGCAGGCGAATACGATCACCCTCCGCCCAATGCCAGGCTCAGCGCGTCGTAACCATACCAGCTCAACACACTGAATCACCTTTTTACAGCGCTAAGCATCGGCACTATGGTCGATATGCGCGGCACAGTCATCCAAAAACCGGCTATATACGCGCTATCGCCCCCCCAAGCAGCGGGTCAAGGGAGCACTGCATTGGCATTTGCAGCTTCCATAAAGCTATAGAAGAAGTAAGGTAAGCCATGCAGCTACCGAGGGAAACGCCATTAGTGGCGATGATAACACCTTCTTAATGTAGAGTGTGAGCAGGAGTGCAGATGAAACCATACGCGGGCTTCGTGTCCAAGTGCTACCAAGTACTAACTATCAGCGCCACGGACGCAAATAATGCCTGGACAAAGAGAGAACTCGTTTCGACTAATAATTTATAATGGAATGTGTAGCAGCAGCGTACCTACGCACCCCGCAGAACATTTTCTTGCAACCCGCCCACCAGATCCCGGGGCTACATGTAGTCTTTCGCAACCCTGCTCATTTTCAAGCCACAACTTAAGACTTTAAATGAACTATTGGTTGCCCTCTGTGATACATGTTTGTACCTCATTGAAGGACTGCATAACTACACCGTGTAATTACACCGTGTCAGGTGTGATTGATTGATTACCTTGATGCATTTTTCCAGGCGGGGAAACCATCCGAAGATTTGAGCATGTGACCTAGGCTGAACTGAACTGCCCATGAACTGTTTTGCGCTCTTCCGCAGTTGTGGCAGCGATGATGGAATGGAAGGTATCTTCCTCCTTTTGTAAGATTTCACGTGTAAGCTTAGTTAGCTCCTGGACTCCTATGAAGCATTCATTGCATTTAAGTCCGTAGCGCCTTTTAAAAAATGGCGAAGTTGCCGTGCAAAAGACACGAAAGAAGTTAAAGGCGCGGTCGGCCGGGGGGCATAGCCCCCGGCCGAGCGCGTTGAGGTCATGCATTCCAGCTATACAAATTTACACAAGAAGGATTCATGGGGTTTAGTCAGTTTAGAGTGGGGCCAAAACGAAGCCACAGCCATTGGGCGACTCGCGGACCGCGAGAGATTTCCAAACAGCAAAATACCAGACGACTACTACAGTAAGCTTAACATTCCTTGCCTTCACCTCCGTTAACCGGGATGTACCAGCAGTGCTTCGTCGCCACGCCGCCCTTGGTGGTAGACTTGAAGCTCTCCTCAAACGACCACGAGTCGTCGGCCGTGTGGTACTGCAGCTTCAGCCACTCCTCGGACGCCTCCACAGACATGAAGCCGTACTCATGACCACCGTACGTCCACACGGATTCCACATCGCTCGACGCGTACTCCGGGATACCGCTGGCCGACTCCTTCTGGATACCACCACCAGCTCCGTTGTCCACGAAGTGAACCTTGTACGTGGACGAGTAGTCGTGGTTCTCTCCGTGCGTGTGGCCGTTCATCCAGAGCTGAATGCCCGAGTCCTTGAGAATCTCAAACCACTTCTTCATGCCGGCCTCGTCGTAGTGAGCGTACGGGTTGTAGTGGCTGTTGACGATCTTCCAGGTCGCCTTGGAGGCTGCCACCTCCTTCGCGAGCTGCTTGCGCGAGTCATCGCTCCATTCCGTGAACTTGTCGAAACAGGCATCATACATCTCTACAGAATGTGGTAAAAGCCGTTAGGAAAAGATGGCATCGACTTCAGGCGAACAGCAGCATATCCTACCTGTATCGCCTCCGCAGCAGAGCTTATCACCACGCGCGACGTTCTTACACTTCTTGTCGCTGCCTTCAGCGTAGCCGTAGCACTGGCAGCAGGTCTGCTGGGCAGCGTGGGTGCCGGCATCTCCCGCGTCCACGTTGAAAATGTCGATACTGACGCCCGAGTCCTCGTCCTCGATGGAGTACACGTAGAAGTGGTCCTTGAGCACCCAGCGGTTGTCGTTGGGACTGGTGTACTCTTGCTGCCACGAGAACTTGTTGTTGAGCGCCTTGACCAGCTCGTCCGCGGAGGAGCACTTGGCACGGCCTTCGTCGTCCGAGCAGATGTAACTGGCACCACCGTAGTCGTGGTTGCCCAGCACGTTCACCCACGGCACGCTTTTGATGTTATCGCCGCTGTATTTGTCCTCGAAAGTGGTCTCGAAGCGCGAGTCCCGGCTGCCTTCGCTGTCAATACCCGTCCAGTAGAAGTTGTCGCCGTGGCTGAGCACGCACTTGGGCGGTGCCGACGCAGCGCTGGCCTGTTGGTCCATCAAGCTAGCCACAATGTCCTCAGCATTGACGTCGTAGTCGTTATACGTCGACGAACGGCTGCAGCACGAGTCCTGCGTGGTGGTGGTACCCCAGTCACCGATAGCAAAGGCAGACAACGTGTACTTGGCTGGATGGCACACGTTATCCGTTAGTCGTCATGGTTAACACTGTAAACACGATTTAACAAGTGTTCACCGGAAGTTGGGTCGGACGTGATCTCATCGGAGCCCGAGGTCGAGCTGCTGCTGGTCTTCGTCTTCTTCTTCTTGGACACTGAACTCGTCCCGCTGGACGAACCGGTAGTGGTTGAGTCCCCGCTGCTGTCAGTCACGCTGGACCCGGAGCCGGAGCTGGAAGTCCCCGACGATGCGCTGGTCGAATGACTGGCTTGGCGGGCGACCATTACACCGACGATGGCGCCGATGATGGCGAGGATCACCACCACGCAGGTGAGCTGGGCCTTCTTGGACATCATGGTCTCTTGCTGTCTGTCCTGCCCTACCGACAGGAGCTCTAGTGCCTCCTCTCCTCGGCAAAAGCGCAAATGAGGGGGTGGCCCTTGCTGTCACGAAGCACCACGGCCCTGCCCCGTGCTTGAGGCCGATCCCTCGCGTTTGACTTCCGGCTCTTTGCGTGATTAATTGTCAGTGGGAGTGCAAACGTGCGCTCGTCGAGCTGTCAAAAATGAGATTTACTTGTTAATTAACGTCCTCTTGGAGCTTGGATCTGCTCACGTGCTGCTGAAACATGCCAAACGAGGCAACCTCCCCCACATCTGAATTGACTTCCAGCGAAGCCACGAAAAACTCGCTGCCCTATCGTGTAGTTGGTGTACACTGTACTGTACCCTCCAGCCATGCAGAATGGACAAAGCGCATTGGTGTTGTGGGCTTGAATTGCGCTAGATCTTCAGCGACTGAACGTGTAGCGTGCGTCTATCATCTCAGTCAGCAAAATCCACCCCATCTACAGTGCCATAGAACGACGCAACTGATAGCGAGGTCATAGGACGCACCGAAAACTCAAGTTAGGACAGTTCCAGAGGAGAAATGCTGGGAATGAGTATCAAAACGGGTCATTTAGCCATTCATTTATTCGTTCTTGTACGTTGTAGGACACTTAGCACTCCTTGCCAGTTCCACCGTCGACCGGGATGTACCAGCAGTGCTTCGTCGCCACGCCACCCTTCGTCGTGGCCTTGAAGCTCTCCGCGAACGACCACGAGTCGTCGGCCGTGTGGTACTGCAGCTTCAGCCACTCCTCGGACGCCTCCACAGACATGAAGCCGTACTCCTGACCGCCGTAGGCCCACACCGCCTCAACGTCAGCCGAAGCGTACTCGGGAATACCGCTGGCCGACTCCTTCTGGATGCCACCACCGGCTCCATTGTCCACGAAGTGAACCTTGTACGTGGACGAGTAGTCGTGATTCTCGCCGTGCGTGTGGCCGTTCATCCAGAGCTGAATGCCCGAGTCCTTGAGAATCTCAAACCACTTCTTCATGCCGGCCTCGTCGTAGTGAGCGTACGGGTTGTAGTGGCTGTTGACGATCTTCCAGGTCGCCTTGGAGGCTGCCACCTCCTTCGCGAGCTGCTTGCGCGAGTCATCGCTCCATTCCGTGAACTTGTCGAAACAGGCATCATACATCTCTACAGAATGTGGTAAAAGCCGTTAGGAAAAGATGGCATCGACTTCAGGCGAACAGCAGCATATCCTACCTGTATCGCCTCCGCAGCAGAGCTTATCACCACGCGCGACGTTCTTGCACTTCTTGTCGCTGCCTTCAGCGTAGCCGTAGCACTGGCAGCAGGTCTGCTGGGCAGCGTGGGTACTGGCGTCACCCGAGTCCACGTTAAAGATGTCAATGCTCACGCCCGAGTCCTTGTCCTCGATGGAGTACACGTAGAAGTGGTCCTTCAGGATCCAGCGGTTGTCGTTCGGACTCGTGTAGGTCGACTGCCACGAGAACTTGTTCTTCAGGGCCTCCACGACCGCCTTGGCGTCCGAGCACTCGGCCGGGTTCTCGCCGTCCGAGCAAATGTAACTGGCGCCACCGTAGTCGTGGTTGCCCAGCACGTTCACCCACGGCACACTCTTGATGTTGTCACCAGTGTACTTGCCCTCAAAGGTGGACGTGAAGCGCGAGTCACGGCCGTCCTCGCTGTCAATGCCCGTCCAGTAGAAGTTGTCGCCGTGACTGAGAACACACTTGGGCGGTGCCGACGCAGCGCTGGCCTGCTGGTCCATGAGGTTGGCCACGATGTCCTCGGCGTTCACATCGTAGTCGTTGTACGTCGACGAGCGGGTGCAGCACGAGTCCTGCGTGACGGTGGTACCCCAGTCTCCGATAGCGAAGGCCGAGAGGGTGAATTTAGCTGTGTCATAGAGAAAAATAACCATAACAAATCCGTGTGTTAGTCTCGATCTCCGGCACCGTCTCAATTAGGTAACGGAGTGGCTCACCATCCGTGGGGTCCGAGGTGACGGAGCTGGAGGCCGAGCTCGTGGAGTTCTTGAGCTTGTAGGTGGTGCCCGACTTGGACGAGGACGAGTCCACGGTGCTCGATGTCGTGCCCCCGCTGCCGCTCGCGCCGCTCACCGAGCCCGAGCCGGAGCTGGTCGTGCCTGAGGACTCGCTGGCCGAGTCGCTGGACTTGCGCGCGACCAGCACGCCGACGATGACGCCGATGACGGCCAGAATCACCACCACGCCGGTGATCGCCGCCTTCTTGGTGACCATTTCGCTGCTCTACAGTAAGAGTACAGTACTCCGCCCGCGAGGATCGAAGTGTCTTGAGGGGGGGGTCCGAGGTCCGCCGCGAAAGCTCAAATGAGACGTGTGCGCCGCTGTGAACTGGCCAGCTGGGTACCGCCCGGCACACACCCTGCTCTGGTCCGGTTTGGGGGTGTAGTTTTCTTTCCGGTCTTGTGATTCGCCGCTGAAACGTCAAAGTGTGTTTTGATTGGTGGAATGGTGCTTGATGTTCGAACGCGATTAGACGAGGGTGGGATCCATTAATTTTGTTTTTTAGTTTTCAAAACTGCACCGCGAACACCACAACGCGCCTATCGAATGCTGCAAATGTAGCTCTGTAGCCAGCCTCCATCGTGGAGTCCTCACAGCAAAACGATCAACAGACTGAGAGCTGCGCACGCCATCGGGAATTCCAGCAAAGCTGCAACGACCCCACTACGGATGGATAGTCGGTGCCGTGGGCTTTGAACGGGGTTCGTGTCTCTACGCTACGCCTTGACAGCTGGCCACGCTCGCGCTCGCGCTCCAGGATGAAAAGAACGAAGTTTGGTGTAAGCTACAAACCAAAAGTCTCACTTTTCACGGAATTACGGCTACTCGGTCGTCGAGCGGCAAATTATCTACGACGAAGAGGAGGAAGTGCAGTCCTGGCCCTCCGTGCCGTCGTTCGGCACGTACCAGCAGTGCTTGGTGGCCACGCCTCCGACAGTGGTCGAGTTGAAGCTCTCGGCGTAGGACCACGAGTCGTCCGCCGTGTGGTACTGCAACTTGAGCCATTCCTCCGACGCGGTGATGGAGAAGAAACCGTACTCGTCGCCGGTGTAGCTCCACAGGTTCTCCACGTAGTCCGAAGCGTACGTCGGAATGCCACTCGCAGACTCCTTCTGGATGCCACCGCCCGCACCGTTGTCGACGAAGTGCACTCCGAGCGACGCAGAGTAGTCGTGGTTCTCGCCGTGAGTGTGTCTATTCAACCAGAGGTGGACGTCGGTGCCGTTGATGATGTCAAACCACGTCTGCATTCCAGACTCGGCATAGTGAGCGTACGGGTTGTAATGACTATTGACCACCTTCCACGTGGCCGTGGAGTTTGCGATGTTGGCAGCGAGCTGCTTGCGAGAGTCGTCGCTCCATTCGGTGAACTGGTCCATACAGGCATCGTAAAGATCCGTGTCGCCCCCGCAGCATCCGTCGTCGCCGCGTGATACGTTGTCACAAGTGTCGTCATCGTCTCCGACGTATCCGTAGCATTGGCAGCAGGTTTGCATCGCTCCGTGGGTATCGACATCACCCGAATCCACGTTGAAGATGTCGATGCTAACTCCAGAGTCCGCGTCCTCAATGGTGTAGACGTAGAAGTGGTCCTCCAAGATCCAGCGGTTGTCGTTGGGACTCGTGTAGGTGGACTGCCACGAGAACTTGTTCTTCAAGGCGGTGACCAGCTCGTCCGAGTCGGAGCAGGCGGCCGTACCGTCGTTCGAGTCTGAGCAAATGTAGTCGGTGCCTCCGTAGTCGTGGTTGCCCAGGACGTTCACCCACGGAATGGTCTTGATGTTGTCACCGTCGTACTTCTCCTCGAACGTCGTCGTGAACCGAGTGTCCCGGCCATCGTCACTGTTAATTCCCGTCCAGTAGAAATTGTCACCGTGACTAATGATGATCTTGGGGGCCACGTCGGCGCTCCCCGCTTGCTGGTCCATGAGGTTGGCCACGATGTCCTCGGCGTTGACGTCGTAGTCGTTGTACGTTGAGGATCGCGTGCAGCACGAGTCCTGCGTAACGATGGTGCCCCAGTCCCCGATGGCGAAAGCTGCAAGCGAATACGTGACGCTGGTCGGGTCGGACGTGATAGTCGACGACCCGCTGCTGGTGCTGGTGCTCTTGCTCGACTTCTTGGTGGACGTGCTGGCCCCGCTGGAGCTGTCTGTCGTACTGGTGCTCCCTGAACCGGATGAACTGGCGGACGTGCCATCCGCGGTGGAAGCGGAGCTGGATGAGCCGCTGCTCACCACCACCCCGATGATCACACCGATGACGGCCAGTACGACCACCACGGCGATGATGATCACAGCCTTTCTAGGGATTCCCATCGCTGCTTGTCCTGGGTAAGCCGCTGCAAATTCGCAATTGATACCAAACGCAATATACCATCTACTGTACCTTATTCACCCGCGGATGATCGAGCTTGCACCTCCGACCATCAACGCAGTGATCCATTGGGCACTCTCCATAATGAAAGTAAGTTTCGGCTGTTCGGAGCTCTTTACCGACGACAGATCGGCCCGGCTCGCGATTCCTACCAAATCCAAAGTCCAAGTTACGATGCCACGGGGCTCTGTGATGCAAACACTACACTGCAGTACTGTACCGGGTCTATTGCAGCGCGGACACCTCCACATGGGAAGGGGAGATGGCTGAAAATCCATTTACAACGTCAACGTCTTGGGTCGGTTCTTTGGGATCGCATCTTGCGCATGCAAAGCTCGCCTTAACTCTTAGAATACATGTAGTCTAATTACCCTTGCTCTAGGTGGTGGTTCAAAGGGCCGCAGACGGTATCAGGAGTTGAAGTGCAAACTGAATTGGATTAATTTTTAATCTGGGAATTCCCTGTGTAATAATATATATTATTAATACAGGTACCATATAAACGTCGTTTGCATTACAACCTCTTATCCAACAACGCAATGCATACGGAACACGATTCATGCGGATATACTACGTGATATTTTTTTTTAATGTTGTTGAGGTGTATTGAGCTACTGGCTCACGCCGATCTAAGATTCACGCGGGTACATGTACCGGAAAAATACATGAAGCAGATCGTCTTTACAGTGTTCATCACATTGTATATGCATCAAAACGACCGCTTCCTAAACAAGCTCGCTTCAGTAAACGTTGTCGTGCTCTACTTACTTGCCAAAAAATATCTACGAGGAGCTTGACGAGGACGTGCACTCCTGTCCCTCATTTCCATCATTGGGGATGTACCAGCAGTACTTGGTCGCGACTCCACCGACAGTAGTCGAGTTGAAGCTCTCGGCGTACGTCCACTTGTCATCGGCCGTGTGGTACTGCAGCTTCAGCCAGTCCTCCGAAGCGGTCAAAGAGAAAAAACCGTACTCGGTGCCATCGTACACCCAGAGGTTCTTCACATAATCCTCAGCGTACGTCGGAATGCCACTTGCAGATTGCTTGATAATACCACCGCCAGCTCCGTTGTCCACGAAGTGCACACCGACCGACGACGAATAATCGTGGTTCTCGCCGTGTGTGTGGCCGTTCAACCAGAGGTGGACACCCGTGCCATTGATAATGTCGAACCACTTCTGCATGCCAGCCTCAGCGTAGTGGGCGTACGGGTTGTAGTGGGAGTTAACCACCTTCCACGTGGCCGTCGAGTTGGCGATGTTGGCAGCGAGCTGCGTGCGTGAGTCGTCTGCCCACGACGTGAGCAAGTCCATACAAGCGTCGTGCATATCTGTTCATATAAGCTGTCGTTAGCAGGTTGTCTAGGGGGCATCAATAGAGCAAAACGAGTAGAGCGTACCTGTATCGCCTCCAGCACACGCGTCGTCACCACGGCCAACGTTCGCACATGTGGTGTCGTCATCTCCAGCGTATCCGTAGCACTGGCAGCACGTCTCCTGAGCGCCGTGCGAGTCGGCATCGTTCGAATCAATGTTGAAGATGTCGATGCTCACGCCAGAGTCTGCGTTCTCAATGGTGTAGACGTAGAAATGGTCCTCCAGAATCCAGCGGTTGTCGTTGGGACTGGTGTAGGTGGACTGCCACGAGAACTTGTTCTTCAGAGCAGCCACGAGGTCGTCCGAGCTGCTGCACTTGGCCGTGTTGTCGCCATCCGAGCAGATGTAGTCGGCACCACCGTAGTCGTGGTTGCCCAACACGTTGACCCAGGGGATCGTCTTGATGTTGTCTCCATCGAATTTGTCCTCGAACGTCGTCGTGAAACGGGAGTCACGACCGTCTTCGCTGTTGATACCCGACCAGTAAAAGTTGTCTCCGTGGCCAATGACGACCTTGGGGGTGACATCGGCGTCCGCGGCCTGCTGGTTCATGACATTGGCCACCACGTCCTCTGCGTTGATATCGTAGTCCGTATAGCCCGAAGATTGGCAACACGAGTCCTGCGTGACGGTCGTGCCCCAGTCTCCGATAGCAAAGGCCGCCAGCGAGTACGTGACGCTCGTCGGGTCCGACGTGATGCTGGAAGCCGAGCTGCTTGACCCAGTGCTGGTCTACGACGAAGTCGACGTGCAGTCCTTGCCTTCCGTTCCGTCGTTGGGGATGTACCAACAGTGCTTCGTGGCCACCCCACCGATCGTGGGTGAGTTGAAGCTCTCGGCGTACGTCCACTTGTCATCGGCCGTGTGGTACTGCAGCTTCAGCCAGTCCTTCGAGGCCGTGAGCGAGAAGAAACCGTACTCGGTACCGTCGTACACCCACAGGTTTTCCACCAAGCCCTCCGCGAACGTCGGGATGCCGCTGGCCGATTGCTTGATAATACCACCGCCAGCTCCGTTGTCCACGAAGTGCACACCGACCGACGACGAATAATCGTGGTTCTCGCCGTGTGTGTGGCCGTTCAACCAGAGGTGGACACCCGTGCCATTGATAATGTCGAACCACTTCTGCATGCCAGCCTCAGCGTAGTGGGCGTACGGGTTGTAGTGGGAGTTAACCACCTTCCACGTGGCCGTCGAGTTGGCGATGTTGGCAGCGAGCTGCGTGCGTGAGTCGTCTGCCCACGACGTGAGCAAGTCCATACAAGCGTCGTGCATATCTGTTCATATAAGCTGTCGTTAGCAGGTTGTCTAGGGGGCATCAATAGAGCAAAACGAGTAGAGCGTACCTGTATCGCCTCCAGCACACGCGTCGTCACCACGGCCAACGTTCGCACATGTGGTGTCGTCATCTCCAGCGTATCCGTAGCACTGGCAGCACGTCTCCTGAGCGCCGTGCGAGTCGGCATCGTTCGAATCAATGTTGAAGATGTCGATGCTCACGCCAGAGTCTGCGTTCTCAATGGTGTAGACGTAGAAATGGTCCTCCAGAATCCAGCGGTTGTCGTTGGGACTGGTGTAGGTGGACTGCCACGAGAACTTGTTCTTCAGAGCAGCCACGAGGTCGTCCGAGCTGCTGCACTTGGCCGTGTTGTCGCCATCCGAGCAGATGTAGTCGGCACCACCGTAGTCGTGGTTGCCCAACACGTTGACCCAGGGGATCGTCTTGATGTTGTCTCCATCGAATTTGTCCTCGAACGTCGTCGTGAAACGGGAGTCACGACCGTCTTCGCTGTTGATACCCGACCAGTAAAAGTTGTCTCCGTGGCCAATGACGACCTTGGGGGTGACATCGGCGTCCGCGGCCTGCTGGTTCATGACATTGGCCACCACGTCCTCTGCGTTGATATCGTAGTCCGTATAGCCCGAAGATTGGCAACACGAGTCCTGCGTGACGGTCGTGCCCCAGTCTCCGATAGCAAAGGCCGCCAGCGAGTACGTGACGCTCGTCGGGTCCGACGTGATGCTGGAAGCCGAGCTGCTTGACCCAGTGCTGGTCTTTTTGGCAGACGACGACGACGACTTGGTGGTGCCCCCCGAGCTGGTGGACGTGCTGCTGTCCGAGGTGGACGTCGAGCCCGAAGACGTGCCGTCGCTGGTGCTGGCCGAGCTGGACGAGTCCTTGGTGACCCCGACGCCCACGATGACGCCGATCACGGCCAGCACGACCACCACGCCGATGGCGATCAGTCCCTTCCTAGGGATCGCCATGTCCTACTGTATCTGTTTGTACGACGCTGCTGCTGCTGCTGAGAGAAGCGAAGTCCTGGTCCGCGGTGCGAATTCACGAGTGAGAGAGCGGAAGGAGGATAGCACAGCAAAGCGACAATAGCCAGCGCGCCCTGAGCCGGTCGCTGCAGGTGCAAGGTAATGGACCCCCTGTCTCAGTCAGAGCCGCCGCTGATTGGCCGGTTATGACGGCCAAGCAGAGTGATCCCACGGCACACACGAACAGCGCAATGCCTCTACACTTGGGCCCAAAGATTCTTCCTTGCCCTTGGGCATGCTGTCCTCGTCGATAGAACTCGAGGGTTTAATGCGCTTGGGCCATGCAATATGTATGCATACAGTAGCTTGTGTATTGATGCTTTTCCGGGAGACTTCGGTGTTCGGGGGGATCTTGAGGAGTCACGTCCAGCAAATTCCTTGACAGGCTGTGGCATGCAGGAGATTTGAAACGCTGCTGGAAATCTACGAGGACGAGGAGGAAGTGGACGAAGAGCACTCCTTGCCCTCGGTGCCGTCGTTCGGCACGTACCAGCAGTGCTTTGTCGCCACGCCCCCTATGGTGGAAGCCTTGAAGCTCTTGGCGTACGACCACTTGTCGTCCGCCGTGTGGTACTGCAGCTTGAGCCAGTCCTTGGAAGCAGTGAGCGAGAAGAAGCCGTACTCCTGGCCGTCGTACGTCCACAGGTTCTCCACGTAGCTGGAGGCGTAGCTCGGAATGCCGGCCGCAGACTCCTTCTGGATGCCACCGCCGGCGCCATTGTCCACGAAGTGAACCTTGTACGTGGACGAGTAGTCGTGGTTCTCGCCGTGAGTGTGGCCGTTCAGCCAGAGGTGAACGCCCGTGTCTTGAATGATGTCAAACCACTTCTTCATTCCAGCCTCAGAGTAGTGAGCGTAGGGCAAGTAGTGAGAATTAACCACCTTCCACGTCGCTGTCGAGTTGGCGATATTCGCCGCGAGCTGCTTGCGAGACTCGTCGCTCCAAGTTGTAAACTGGGCGAAGCACTGATCGTACATATCTGTCAACAAGTAAATACGTTAGTAACAAGCAGATAACTCAACACGACCAGAAAAGATAAACTGCCCAGACGTCGCCAGCAGCATGTACATATTGCCCACATCTTTTTCGTTGAGCTGGTCTTGATTCAACCCGTCAAGAGCAAACCAGCATCTAGGCAAATCAGCCGTACACTTCAAGCGCAGCGACTTGTAAACACTGCAATCAACGTCGTACCACTCGTAGTATTTGCCCTTGTCGAACAAACGTGTAACTGGTAGGTCGTTGCTCCCACCTCCAACACGGCGGTGCCACACAACTGAAATTGCCTCCACAAGTGCCAAGTAGAAGCAGACCAACGCTAAAATGCAGCTCTTGCCCGTTCCTGGGCTTCCCATGAGTATGAAATGTTCCTTGGGTTCTCGTCGTGAAAGCGTCACTTCTAAAAACTCCTTCAAGTTCTCCAGCACACACAATATCTCCTTCCGCACGAAAAACTTCGGTCCAGTGAAGCCCACAATATCCTCGATCTCTGGAATATCCTTCACCCCCCCCCCCCCCCCGCAGTCGCCGTCGTTCCACTTGAGCAACTTGGAGAAGTCCCCATCATTAGGCGGTAAGGCTCCAGCTCTTAAAGCAGTAGCTTTCAGAGCTTCCACATCGCCGACGGCACTTGCTGGCTGGCTGTCTTCAGGCGCTTCGTGGTATTTCTGGGTAATCCACTAGCACGTGAATCAGCCCGGGTGTGTGTTCAGAGGTCCTCTATTTACGTTTGTTTAAACTATAGAGTCCTGATATCGCTGTAGACTGAGCCTAATTGACAAACGGTGTTGGGATAATTCCTCCTCCGGCGAAAATTGTTCTTGCAGGTAGTCCCATAGCGTGGCAGGCAGGTGCTCTCGAAGTAGTACAGCATTGGTAAACTGAGATAGTTGTCGCAATTTGAGAAATCCCCTGATCGCTTTGTAGATGCGTTTGGAAGCTGGTTTCCACGCTATCGAGACAACGTCTTTAAGCGCTTGGTGCGTGGCATTCTGGGCTCGAGCCGACTTGATCATTGGTTGGATGCCTTGGACACAAAGAGAGACTGTAGATAGTTGAGCTCGCTGCTTTAGCTGATGCATGGCTCGGGCGATGAGCTGAATAGCCATACTAGTTTCCGTGACTGGCTCGTTCTTTTGGGCAAAACCAATGGCAATTATTTCTTGTGGGTCGTTCCCCAACACCACCCAAATACCTCTTCGCCCTGGTAATCCTTCCAATTTCACAGAGTGAAAAGTGAGAGTCCAGCGCTGAATTGCGATCGGCCTGTCTGAAGGTTGAATTGCCAAGAAAACCGCGTAGCACTGGTCCAACCGAAAACTCGCTTCTTTGGTTGCTGGACGTGAAGCCATTCCCCGGATGACTGCATGCGTCTGGAAATCAGCTGCCTTCCACAAGATTCGCTTAGCTTCTTGTGGCGGTACTTGATCTCCGTCAAAGACTTCTCTATTTCGCATCAGCCAAAACGTGCATTGAGTACATGTCGTCCAAATTAGCCACAAAATCCTCATAGCTTCATCCTGCCCTTTTCTCCAGCACGAAATACTCTTCATGGCTTCGTCAAGAAACGTTGGTGAAACCTCAGGTTGCCCGGGTATACCCTTGACGTTCTGAAAGAGCGACTTCAGATCATCCGACGGATATATTTGTCAAAAGCTCGCCTTGCCGAACTCGTCCAGTCCGCGCAATAGAAAGGATTCCAGGTCGTCGCCGGTTTACTAAATTACACGCAATACTTTCCCCTTTTCGCGGACGACACCAGCAGGACGAACCAGCTGGTTTCCTCATTGCTTCAAGCGGTGCTCGAAGGTAGACAAGCGCGCGGCAGTGCCACCGCGGCATCCACTCGTGCGAGCTTTTCACCCCCGATTTAGGCTCCGTACATTGCAAACTGATGTGCGTTAGTCGTTATCCCTGCATGTGCGATAGCAGAACGAAGCACAGATCATTACCTTCATGACTTTATGAAATACCTTGAAATCCTTATAACCAAAGGTCGTCTCAATTCGCACGGGAATCTGTGGCCTTCGTCCTGATCGAGCTGTCTCCTGTGTAGCAGTAGACAGTTATGCCGAGACAGCGGGCAATTCGACTTTCACGACGTCGAGCTGGAGAAAATAAGTTCGAAATTGTTATCGTTGGGTGGCGTATCTACATGTAGAAAGAAGTGCAAGAAGTGTACGTGCTGAGGCAGCTACAAAGTGTATCATGCACCGGCCACATAATTGCTTTGAGTCGCATGTAATATACTATATAGAAAAGGTTACTAACTAGTTAGTAGTCCTATAGCGAGGTGAAAGCGGGGTAAGTGCTCCTACAACAAAATCGCTCTATTAGCGTCTCGTAAAGCTTTCACGTAGTAGCATCTGCGTGTAGTTTTGCGGGCGGGCGCAACATTTGCGACTTCGACAAGGAAGAACCGGTCACCAGCAACCGTGGCCTACAGCGTGAAGTAGTTAGTGGATCGGTACGTCCAAGGCCATTCACAAACCGGCGTAGATGTTCGCTATGTATCGGGAGGACTACATGATCGGCGTTGAAACGGTCAACCGTTGATCGTTGATCATCAATGGGTTCGAGTGCACGCGGACCAAAAGGCTCGACAGGGTGTGGACAGTGTCGCGCCCAGGACTTGACTGACGCAAAATTATCGCCGTGGCCGATCACGATTTTGGGGGCGACCTCCGCTTTACCTGCCTGCTGGTTCATCACGTTCGCCACCACATCCTCAGCGTTGATGTCGTAGTCGTTGAAGTTGGCTGAGCGCGAACAGCACGAGCTCTGAGTGGTAGTGGTGCCCCAATCGCCAATAGCGAAGGCCGCCAGCGAGTACTTCGCGCTCGTCGGGTCCGACGTAATAGTGGACGAGCCGCTGCCTGTCGACCTTTTCGACGCTGACAGCTTTGCGTTCCCGCTGCTGCTTCCTGTTGTCGTTGAAGTGCTGCTCGTACTGCCACTGGCAATGCCAGATCCAGTCGTGCCGTCACTCGCGCTTGCTGAGCTTGACGACGAGCCCTTGGTTACCACGATACCGATGATTGCACCGACAATGGCTAGTACAACCACCACGCCGATGATCAACAGCGCCTTCCTCGGTATCGCCATCGCAACTTGTTCCGAGCTACGTGTGCTGAGATTCCTCTATCTGTTTGATGCCCTGAGTCCCCGCCGCTGCTGTTGTCCGCGCTGCAATATCAAAAGTGAAATATACTCGCTAGTGCCTACCGGTAGTCCTCATCGAGCACAGCGGCGAGCCTGGTGCCGTGTGCAATATTATCTTTACCTACGTCACTGCGAGACTGTAGTGAAAAGATAAAATGGCACACCCCGCCCGATACAGCAACGAACATCAAGATGTTGGCTCCACGAATGCTGCCGTTTGTGCCGCACGACCCATTGCAGCGAAGTCATCATGGCTGGTTCGCCTTCATCTCTTGGATTTACTGGCAAGCGCCGTCGCGGATTTCCAGGGGCCTTGTGCTCCACACAGTACCATGCTTGAGAGGCTGGACGCTTCCGACGGCAATGCCATGAGCGACAGCATCCGGAAGCAACGACTACAGTACAGTAGATACCTGCGACCTTCTCCATCTCTCCAACGCGTTGCGCAGCCGTCCTGTAAATTGTAGGTCCCCATCGGAAGCCAGCGCCTGGGTGGATTTCTCTCAAGGGAGCAAAGCCGTCAATTGGCGACCGGTGGGGCCGCTGCAACTTGCGTCGGTCACTTCGTCGCGCTCGTGCTGGCGCGCGCAACATGCAGCTAGCGTCACCGGCGGACTTCCTGTCCTGTACATGTAGCTAGCTCCACGGGGGAGGAGAAGGCTTCTGCGCAGAAGAAGCCCCCGGCCATCATCATCAGCGTAGCGCAGCTGTTGGTTGAATGCACGCCGCAAGTTGCACACATGTTGCGCTACACCACTTCAACACCACCCACAGTTGCGCGTGTGTTGCAGCAAGTCCCACCGTAATCCCTGCCAAAACACTTATGATGATCACATTTGACGGGTCCAAATGGTCCCTCTTGAAGCTGCAGCATCACTGTCACACAGGCGGCGGAAGCATCAAGACAAGACCCGGATCCCTCCACGACGAGCGTCCGCGCGGCCCCCCACGCCGCCCCGCTTCGCCCCCACCGCCCCCCGCCTCCTTCCCCCCTCTCTCACCTCTCTTCTCGCGTGACGCGCGCTCTCCACCGCCCCCTGGTCGCCCCTTAATCGACTAACGACGACCATCATGAGCTACCAGGTCTCGTCCGTGTTCCTGCAGAAGTTCTCGCCCAAGGAGATCCACGAGCTCAAGCGCGTCTTCAAGGAGCACGACCGCGACTACGCGGCGGCCGTGCCCGTGGCCGAGCTGCACACGGTGCTGCTCAAGCTCGGCGAGAACGTGACGCCCAACCAGACGACGGTCATGCTGCAGCAGACCAAGCTGGCGCGGCCCGAGCAGATCACGTTCCAGGAGTTCCTCGAGCTGCTGCACGACTTCCGCAACGGCGCCATCGCGCTGGACCCGGCGCTGCTCATGGGCCACGCGTCGGTGGCGCCCGTGCCCGTGGAGATCCCCGCTCCGGCGCCTGTGGAGGCCCCCGCGCCGCCTCCCGCTGCCGAGACGCAGCCCACGCCCACGCCCTTGTTCCCCGGCCAGAAGACGGCGACTTGGCAGACGCAGACGCCGGAGCCCACGCAGCAGCAGGCCCCAGCGTTCGCGCAGAAGGCCCAGTGGCCGCCTGCAGGCACCCCCACGACGCCCACAGCGGCCCCAGCTCCTGTAGCGAGCAAGCCGCAATGGCCGCCCGCTGCCAACCAGGCCGCATCGTGGGGACACACCCCGTCGTCGGCGCCGCAAGCTCCAGCTCCGGTTCCGGCCGCTACGCACGCGAAGCCACAATGGTCGCCTGCCGGATCGAGCGACTCCGCGCCGGCAAAGCCGCAGTGGCCTCCGGCAGCGTCGTCTACCCCGGCTGCACCTGTTGCCGCGCCGGCACCGCCTGCGGTAACTGCGAAGTGGCCTCCTGCCGGCGGAGCTGCCGACAAGAGCCCTACAAAAGCGCAGTGGCCGCCTGCAGTGGCGTCACCGAGTGCCCCGAAGTCCCAATGGCCTCGGGCATCACCCCCGACTGCGCCTGCACCGAAAAGCCCGGTATCTACTAAGCCTCCGCAATGGCCGCCTGCAGGCAACGGGGCTGCGAAGCCGCAGTGGCCTCCTGCTGCAACTACCACGCCCGCTTCGCCCGCCGCAGAAGCACCGATGCGCGCACAGTGGCCGCCTGCCACGCCGCCTCCAGCTCCAGTGGTGCGCACGCCCCCGCGTTCTCCTGTGAAGACGGCCGGACCTCCATCGCCAGCGCCTGCTAATGTGGACGCGCACACGCTGAGTGTTTTGCAGCGACGCGCAAGTGCAGCGGCCCAGTACAACTCAACAATCCACGAGGTGAAGGGCACTGCTGGCGGCCTGCACTCGTACTCGGAGGAAGAAACTGTCGCCTTCACGGAGCACATCAACAACACGCTACACGCGGACAAGGACGTCGCGTCATTGATGCCGATTGGTATGGATGCTGGTTTGTTCCGGGCGGTGTGCGATGGTGTGCTGCTGTGTAAGCTGATCAACGCTGCTGTGCCCGAGACGATTGATGAGCGCGCTCTTAACTTCGTCAAGCGAGCCAAGGAGCTGAATGTGTACCAGAAAACGGAGAACCAGAACTTGTGTATCAACGCCGCCAAGAGTATCGGCTGCAGTGTGGTCAACATTGGCCCCGACGACTTGATCGAGGGTAAGCCGATCCTCGTGCTGGGTCTGGTCTGGCAAATTATCAAGATCCAGCTGACGTCGACGATTAACTTGAAGAACCACCCCGAGCTTATGCGACTGCTGCTGGATGGCGAGACGCTGGAACAGTTCATGAAGCTCCCGCCTGACCAGATTCTGCTGCGATGGATGAACTACCACTTGAAGGCAGCGGGCCACCCGAAGAAGGTCACGAACTTCAGCACCGACGTGCAGGATGCGACCGCATACAGCGTGCTGTTGCACCACATCGCTCCCCAGCACTGCGACTTGTGTAACGAGGCTATCCCCGAGGAGCGCGCAGCTCACGTCATCCAGAATGCTCGTCGTTTGGAAGTGGAAACCTTCATCAAGCCCCGCGATATCACCAGCGGCAACCCGAAGCTCAACATGTCATTTGTGGCCCAGCTTTTCAACACGTGCCCGGCATTGGATGTCGTTGAAGAGGAGATCAAGCAGCTGGAGGAGATCCTGTACGACGACGTTGGGGACACGCGTGAAGAGCGCGTCTTCCGCATGTGGATCAACTCACTGGCCATCGACGACGTGTACATCAACCACTTGTACTCGGATCTGAGCGACGGTATGAAGCTGCTCAAGGTGCTGGACAAGATCCAGAAGGGCATTGTGGCCTGGAACAAGGTCAACATGGTGGCGCCCAACAAGTTCAAGCAAGTCGAGAACTGCAACTACTGCGTCGTGTTGGGCAAGCAGCTCAAGTTCTCGCTGGTTAATGTCGGTGGCGCTGACATCTTCGAGGGAGCGAAGAAGATGATCCTCTCGATCGTCTGGCAGAGTATGCGCTACCAGCAGCTCAGGATCTTGAGCGAGCTGGCCGCGGGCCGTGGCGAAATCACCGACAAGGACATCATCGGCTGGGCCAACGAGAAGGTCCGCCAGTCAGGACAGGTGAAGGGCAACATTGTGTCGTTCCGTGACCCGAGTCTGTCCGACGGCCTCTACCTGCTCGACTTGGTGCACGCTGTTGAGCCGCGCGCCGTTAACTGGGACATGGTGTTGCAGGACAAGACGGACGACGCCAAGGCCAGCAACGCCAAGTACGCGATCAGTTGTGCGCAGAAGATCGGCGCGACGGTGTTCCTGACGTACGAGGATATCGTGGAAGTGAAGCCCAAGATGATGATGACTTTTGTGGCCAGCCTCATGCTGGTGGACCACCAGCGCGCCTAAGCTGCAGTCACGTATTCGGACAGGCGTTAAAAGATGCTGGAGTCGCAGCGACGGAAGCTGCTAGAAGAAACGATAAGACCAGCTGAACTATATAGCTGGTGCACCGATAGTCAAATCGGAGACGAACATACAAGCAAAGAGCCAAGAAACAAGCAAAAGTTTTTAACCCATCATCCTTGCTGGACCAGTGTGAAACCATCCCAAAATGGATACAGCTCCGGGGACGCGACTATCCGTGCCTGCTCGTAACTCGCCACTTCCTTCACTTCGAGTTTTTCCAAGCGTACGCTAACGTCGCGTAGTTCACCATGCGTCTTACTACTCTCAAGTGGGCTAGCATCGCTCTGGCTTCCGCTCTACATGTAATGCTGGTGCTAAATGCATCGGCCAAGGTTTGCAACACGACGCAACTCACGCAGCTCACCAACGTGGTCACGACGTACTCCAGCAGTGCGGACTGCACCGGTAGCACCTTGGACCCGAGAACCAACGACGTAGCTGAGATCTGTGCTGGCGCGTGCATGCAACTCGTCCGCCAGCTGCAGCCAGACACGCCCGACTGCGAGTTCGACGGCACCAACCTCGGCGAGTCGATGAGTAGGCTCGTGGCGTGGTGCGATACAGCGTCGGTCTCTGCTTCGGGCTTGGCATCGGCATCGTCCGGCTTCAACTCGAGGGCAGGATGGAATGCTACCGACTCAATCTCGATCTCCATTGATACGCTGGACACGGTCCCAGTCTGCTCGATCGAGAACGTCTCATTGATCAGTGAGATCAACAAGGAAGCTACGAAGAGTGCCGACTGCTTTGGGATGGGAGGGCCCCCCACTTCAGCCGCCAACAAGGAGGAGTACTGCGCTGGAAACGCGTGCGTCACGTACTTGGCCGACGTGGAGACCCGACTACCAAACTGCACCTACGGCGGCTACAACATCAAGCAGGTGATCGCAGATACACTGGCGCTGTGCGATGATAGGACTGTGACAACTCTACCGGTGACACGAGCGATGAATACAAGAGCCTGGAACGCGACGATCTCATCGCCCGCAGCGTCGTCTTCAGCCTCGTACTAAACCGTCGACACTCCTTCCTGCATCCAAGTTGGCGGTGTCTGCTACAACCGAGGTGAAAAGCGTCGGTACTGCGGACTTATCAGCTTGTGAGTGACGCCTTCCTCACCGCTCGATTACATGTGAGCCATTGTTACACTCCACGACAAAAAGATATGGACACCACCAAAAGTGGCTGTAACTTCGTCAATTTTTATCGTTTTAAGGTGCGGTTTGGACCAGAGTTGCAGAACACGCTGATAAAGATCTGCACGTTGCTAACATGCGCGCTTTTGCGCTTCTTCAGGTAGCTCACATACAAATCACTGGTTCTGCCCAGGTGACAAAACTTATGGACAGCTAATCCCCATACAAAATCCTAGATTAATCAAAACCTCTTACAAATGATACAACTTGGACTTTGTATGGGGCGGGGCGACAAAGGAACCCATGATTTCTCCACTCTACCTTAGTACTGAGCCATATATCATCGACCAACAGTTTAGAAAGGAGAAGACAATCGTATATCCAAGAGATAGCAGCATACAGAGCTACAAATTGGCACTAACTAGGATGCAACTGAACGTGCCTCGCAAATCATCAGATAATACATGGTAGCCACCACTCGAAATTTCAGTCGCTTACTACTTGCTCAGTTTTGTGCGATGATCGATGAATTTATTACAGGTTACTAAACACACCTTCTAGTACACGATAATACCATCAGATATTTGTCTAACGTCACGAGTATCCCCGTGAGGCTGGTTCCTTTGTCGCCTATACAAAGTCCAAGTCGTATCATTTGTAAGAGGTTTTGATTAATCTAGGATTTTGTATGGGGATTAGCTGTCCATAAGTTTTGTCACCTGGGCAGAACCAGTGATTTGTATGTGAGCTACCTGAAGAAGCGCAAAAGCGCGCATGTTAGCAACGTGCAGATCTTTATCAGCGTGTTCTGCAACTCTAGTCCAAACCGCACCTTAAAACGATAAAAATTGACGAAGTTACAGCCACTTTTGGTGGTGTCCATATCTTTTTGTCGTGGAGTGTAATGAACCCCGATGTAATTCAGACGATGCCCGTTCCAACGTGAGTTGCGGTTAGTGTCCCTGCCCCCGAAGCGCCTCTAGCCATTCAGTCTCTTGGCCGAGATTGACAGGCGAGGCAGAACCGCCCAGCTATCTGGCCATCCTCGGCCTCGCCACCAAAATGACATCTCCAGCTCGGTGAGCTTGAGTTCTGATGCAGTCACCAAAGCCTCGAGCTAGACATTGCAGCTCTTGGCTTTTTGCGATCTTCGAGCAGCAGAAGTTGAAGTGGTAAGGACCGTATCTATCAATTCTCACAGGAAAAAGGAGCCTGGACACTGCGAGAACTAGTACTTCTAGACCAGCCAGAAATCTTATGTCGGCAGCGCAAAGTGCGGTGTCGTGCCCTGTGCTCCATGCATGGATCGCCTTGCACCATCGGCCACTGGCCGATGCAGCCAGCGGGCCGGGCCAGTCTCTTCTCGATGGGGAAAAATTGCGCTTTCAGCCACGTACGCAGGTCCCACACTATTCAGCGGGTACCGCGTGAGTCACACTGAAAGCTGCGCGAACCTTCCGAGACTGAAGTGCAGCGCAGCGAAGACCGGCTCGCTCGAGCTCAGCACAACCGAAAGTCCCCCACAGCAGCTCAGTAACTCAGAAGAAGCATGACCTCGATCCGCAGTACGCTGGCCGTCGCCCTCCTGGCGCTCGTGGCGCTGCAGGCCGCCCCTGCCTGCGCCGCCAACTGCACGAGCGACGAGCAGACCACCGTGGACAACGTGTACGCCGACCTGGCCAACAGCACGGCGTGCGCGGACCTCATCGCCGACACGGACGCGTCGTCGCTCGACTACTGCATGAACAGCGACTGCCTCTCGACGCTCAGCGACGCCGTGGACGAGCTGCCGGACTGCACGGGCGAGGACGAGATCGACCGCAAGAGCGGCCTGCAGGCCATCGTCACGTACTGCGCCAACGTGACGGCCGTGATGGACCAGTCGGCCTCGGCCTCGGGCAGCGCCACGGGCAGCGGCTCGGTCGTGTCGGCCGCCTCGCGGGGCTCCGTGCCCGCGGCCGCTCTGTCGATCGCGCTCGCGCTCGCCTTCGTCGCCGGACTCGTTTAGAGGGAGTAATAGGACCTGCATCAAGGAGCGAGCGAGCGGACGACGACCCAATGTGGATAAAATATTTTTTGTTTTTGTGATAGTATGCAGCATGCAGTTGCCCTTAGCGGTCTAGGCGCTAGCGGACCGTGTTTCTCAATGGCACCCGCCACTTTACCCAGTGTCCTTGGCCGTTCCGTTGTCGCTGGACTGTTTAGACTTTTCCAAGGTTTTCGCCTGCTGGCCATTGCAAGGCCCAAGAGCGAAGGACTATATAGTAGCAGCGATCTCCGACCCTGGAAAAGATGCTGGCGAGTTAAGCAAGCAAGGAGCACTGCAGCGAGCGCATGAGAGACCATCAACGTGATGATATCAAGTGCTGCTGCCCGTTCCAGCAAGCGGACTGCTCAGCTCGTGCAGTGGCCGCTTCTATCGATTCAAGTCTCGACATCTGACAATCGCCTGCTGGGGCTCTCGACTATGGACTTTGCGTCGCTAACGCCTTCCAAGGAAGTAAGGAAAAAGGCGTTTAACCCACTTCAACGTCATGCCTTCCGCTGAACTGCGGCTCCACTGGATCACTTCCAAAACCTCCGCACCCCACTCAAGTCTCCCCTTCTCATCAACAATGCGAGCTCAGTTCACGGTTCTCCTGTCTCTGCTGGCGTTGGCCCCCACGATCACCAAAGCCACCGAGTGCACCGACGCCGAAGCTGCCTACGCGGACTCTGTATGGGCTGCTGCCGCCAACACGTCGGCCTGCTCACCGTACGTGACGCAGACCGACCCCGTGTACGTCAATGCGCCATGCACCGCAACAGACTGCGTCACCGTCGTGGAAAGCGTGGCCAAGGATTTGCCCGACTGCACCTTCAGCGGCATCAACAACAAGATCGAGGTGCAGAACGCACTCACAGAATGCAACGGAGGAGACGTCAAGGACGCGGGCTCGCTCACGTTCTCCTCCTCTTCCAGCCAAGCCGATGGCTCAACGATGCTCTCGTCTTCAACCGCTTCGTCGTCGGGATTGATTTCAGGATCGAAGGGCTCGAGCTCCAGCTTCGACATGTCGTCCTCGTCCGGATCGATCACGTCTGGATCAACAGTCATGGCTCCGAGCGCCGCGTCCGGCACGGGGATGCTCCCTTCGGGAGACCAGTCCAACAACATCTTGGGCTCGTCGAACTCCAAGTCCGGGAGCAGCGCTGCTGGACCGCGTGTGCACGAGGGCAAACTTCACTTCTGGGTCGTGTCCACGCTTGTTGCGGGGGTTGTTGTAGCGTTCTCGAGCTAAGCGGATGTAGCATCTCGTCCGGAAGGTAGTAGTCCTTGTAGGCTTGCATATTTCTTCATCATTTAGCAACATAGTCATTTGATCGTGCGTTAAAACTTTTATTCGCGAGGGTGAGGGTGATTCACGATTCGTATGCATACTGCTGCAAGGACAGCTGGACGAATCTCTCCACCCAAAGGCTGATTTCCGCTGACGCCGATCAACTGCGCATAACGCCGCTGTTTTATTGCCGTTGCTAAGATGCTCTCCTGTTCATCCCAGCGCTGGAAGGGATACATGCAGCCATAGTTTGGTTGCGACTAAAGTCTGACTAACAAGCGCGCCATGTCTGACTTACATCAAGTGATATGAATACCAGGCCCCAACCGAGCGACTTGTTGCTGGAAGCGCGCGCGCACACACACACCATCAGCGTCTTGCGCAGCGGCACGCAGCAGAATCAAGTGCTGGGGAGTTCAACCCATTGAGCTCCCCTTCGGACGCCTCCGCTACTCGTTGAAGAGCTATACTCGTACCCGTGCAAGTGGTGCGACTTTTAGTCGCGCCGCTGACTTGCTGTCCGAAGCCATTCCCATACAAATCCCAATGAAAGCCAACTTCAACATCAAATGGCTACACTTCGCGCAGCCCCCGCCGACATACGCTTCCCACCCCCGCTCACTCACTTTTGAATTCCCTGCGCACCGCCCACTCAAGCCGAACGCAAGCCAACTCTCCTAACCAATGCGTTCTCTACTCGCGCTGCTGTCGTTGGCGTTACTCTTTACCGCCGTCAACGCCGCCGAGTGCACCGACTCGGAAGCCACCTACGCCGCTTCCTTGTGGGACTCCGCCGCCACCAGCCCGGCCTGCTCGTCGTACGTGACGCAGTTCGATCCGGTCTACATCGATGCCCCGTGCACTGCCACCAGCTGCATCAGCTACATGGAAGTCGCGGCCGAGAACCTGCCCGCCTGCACCTACAACGGCGTCAGCAACAAGATCGAGCTGCAGAACGCGCTCACGGCCTGCAACGGAGGCGACACGGAAGACGCGGGCTCTCCGACGACCGTCACGGACGCTCCGGCCACCACAACGACTACAACCCCCACCCCAACGTCGTCGTCCACTACGGACTGCACGACGGACGAGTACCAGAGCACGGAAGATCTGTACGACGCAGCGGCTGCCAGTTCGGCGTGCTCCGAGTACGCAACGTCCTCCTCTCTATTGGTGACGTTCTACGCGCCATGCTCGGCCACCGACTGTGTGGCTGTACTGACGCAGCTTGCGGCGGATCTTCCTGACTGTCTGTACGACGGAGCTAACCAGAAGACGGAGCTGACCGACAATCTTGGTATTTGCACTGATGATTCCACGGGCGAAGTGGATTCCAGCACGCCGGTGTCGACTTCGAGCGACTCAACGTCGACGACGTCCTCCACGCCAGCGTCGACGGCGTCCAACACGGGCTGCACGTCCACGGAGGTCAATGAGATGTGGAACCTCTATGTTTCTACTGCGGAGAGCGACGAGTGCGCGGACGACTCGACAGTCAACGGCTACAGCGTCTACATCTTCACCTCTTGCAGCTCCGACTGCGCCGACAAGGTCAAAGATCTCGCAGAGGCGCTGCCCAACTGCTACTACGACTACGAGTCCATGAACAAGAAGCAGGACATGCTCGAGGAGCTGGACGACTGTGACGTGTCCTCCAGCTACTACATCAGCGTCACGCTGTACCCGGACAGCTCGATCGAGTTTGCTTCGTCGTCCGCATCATCGGCCGAGTCGGGCACGGAGCCCCCTTCGAATGGAGACACGACGTCCGACTCGGAGCCTCTAGTGTCTGGAGATCCAGCTGACACAACATTGGACTCGTCAACCGTCGGACAAGTTGGGGAGAGCGCGACACCACCACGCGCTTCGGCAGGATTGCTCCAGTTGACGGCCATCGCCTCGCTCCTGGCAGAACTCATCCTAGCTTTCTAGGGCAGCTAAGCTCCCATATCAAGGATACCAAGCGCCTTCAATTTCAGTGTCAATATGCAGCATAGCTCCATTCCCAAACCAACGAACGTCACCATGACGAGACCTGACTATTGACGAAATCCTACTTTGAAACCCCTAATCAATCTCCCGGAAACTAACGGGTACACGTCATACTTCATGCCTCTGCCTCGTTAGTCCAGCTGGGAACGGCGACACAATGGGCGCCTACCAAAACCTAGATCAAAAAGTTTAATCGAAAAATCTGATCACCCGACTAGGCGCATTACTCGCCGGACCAAACGTCTGCAAATCGAAGGTGATAAACACCTAGGCCAAAACCACCATTAAAAGTTATCTGTGTCCGGCGACCTTTGCCGCTTGAAGTATGAATACCTTAATCTAATTATGTAGGTCGAAAGGAGACAATCCGAAAATGAACAAATTTTCACAAAATATCTCTAATTGTAAAGATCTCGCTCGGCGGGAAACGTCGCGTCGACCCTCTACGAGCAACCGAGTCATTTGCCCCCCTCGCATTCTCTCGCGCTTCATCCAGCACAATGTCTCGCCCGGATACGAGCTTTCTGCTGATGCTCTGTGCGTCGTCCCAGACGCGTCGTCGCTCCCTCGAGACGCTCCGAGACTTGAGACGCCGGCTGCACGACGAGCGCAGGCGCTGGGAGTGGCAGCGGCTCACCCGAATGCGCCATTACATCACCCTGGACTGCCTAAAGGAGCCTGAGCAGTCTTCTTGGATGGACACCTGGCTCAAAGGAACCGACGAGAATATGATAAATGTGACGAGCCTGTCTCGGTAAGGGCGGCATGCAGCATTTAAGTGTGTAGTTGGTTTCTAACTGTTGTTTGCCGTTATTGCTTGACATGTAGGGCCTTGTTCAACCTTCTACTATCTCGCTTTGCGCCTCATTACGAGATTCCCATCTTCTACTCGAAAGGAGGGCGGCCTCGAAAGCTCCAACACCACCATCAGGTGTTGGGCTTGCTTCTAGATTTCTACGTAGGCTGTGAGTATCGAGGGCGCCTGTGTCTCATGTTTGGCGTCCCCCCGACGACGCTTACCCGCGTGCTAACTGCAGCTGAAGACGCTCTTACAGTGGCGCTCCGAGGGTTTGCGCCCGCTCGGATTGTATGGCCTACGTTCGCCAGGCAGAAAGCTTTAGCTCGTCTAGTGGCAGCAAAGCAACCCATGCTGCAGTTCACATGGGGCTTTTTGGATGGGACAAACTACAAGGTACTTTCGTCAAGATATGATTGTATTGTATCATTGTTCGTGATCTTACCATCTACATATCATACTTCTACTTCACAGGTGCAGCAGCCTCCAGATAGAGACATCCAGAATGCTCACTACAACGGTTGGCTACATGGCGTGTTCGTCACCGGCACGCTATGCTTCTCAGCGGACGAGCTCATCGTGTGGGCTAAACATAACTGTCCAGGGTCCTGGAACGATGGCGATACCAGCCTAGAGTTCAGGCGGAAGCTGGTGTCGACGGAACTAAATACTGACGATCGATATGGGGTTGTAGCAGACAGTGCTTTCCCTTGCAGTGGTGACATGATCGACAGGATCATGACCCCGCTGAAAGACGGAGATGCAAGTAGACTGGTGCCTTCTGTTCGGGCGGCGGCGAAGGCTTTATCAGAGGCAATAACGTCCATTAGAGAGAGTGCTGAGCGGGGTACGGGGTCTATCGAGAAGGTCTACCATCGGCTGCTGATGCCGTTGCCGTACGACCGCAGCAAACGGCAGCAGCGTTTGGACAGACTAACTAACTACAGAGTGAGAACCGTCGGCATTAGTGAGATACGAACCACATTCATTCATGGTGAGGACGATAGGAGATACACAAGAGTGAGTTGAGTTTGTTTATGTGCATAATGCAACTTGAATACACTATGTCTTCCTTCCTGCACACATCTTGCTGTATACTACTTGTTCTTGTGAATCGTCGAGATCAGTAGCATCATTTGCTCGTGGCGCTGCCGCGCTTCGGCACGGTGTTGCTCAAGGCGGGCTTGGAACTGTCGGCGACGCTCGGCCTCTTCTTCTCGACGCTCCGCTCGAGCTGCTTCCTCTTTCTTTTCCTCGGCCTCAAGGTGTTGTTTTGCATCCTCGCGGTCTTGCTGGCGTCTGGCTTCGACAAGCGCAGCTTCTTCCCTACGAACCCGCTCTCGCTCATCTCGCTCTCGTTTATCCTCTGCGCGCCGCTTGTCGCGTTCCTCTCGTCGCCGCTCCCCCTCGGATTCGGCTCTGCGATCGGCGTCTTCGCGAAAGAAGAGCAGTAGGTCCTTCATTTCCGATCCCATTGCAGCGTCGGCAGCCTCTGCTTCTTTCAATTCTTTGTCAATTGAATCCATGTGCTTCTTGGCTTGGTTTCTCTTCGACGCAGCGTACATCGCCGTCACCGAGCTCTCAGACGGGGGGCTTTTGGCTTTAGCTCCTGGATCACGCCCACCCATCACCTCAAAGTTGTCCCGAAGAACTCGTAGATCTCGCCCACCTAGGCGATCACTGGTGTTGTGCAGCCGTTTGTGTTTTTCGGCCTCTGCTGCATCGGAAGCAGCACGATCCGGGTTTCGCGTTAGGGTGGGCCCGTCGGGCGAAGCCACCGAAGCCAGAGGTTGGCAGTCGCGCTTCGGGCGGCCCACAGCTCTCGGTGTCACCGGCGTGGGCCTCGCCAACGCCTTTGGCGTTGATCGAGCGTCAATGGTCGTTGCAGAGGCCGCACTTCGGTCGCTCCGTGCACCATTAGCTGTAGTTTGGCCGTCTTGCGCATCACGCACCTCTCCGTCGCCAAGGTTGGACTCAGCCTGCTGGAAGTCAGCAGCGAACTCGACCGGAACAAGGCCCTGCTGGGTCATCACGACCCCAGCAAGCCGCGTATCGCTGCCGTGAAGCTCGGCAACGGGAGGAAGAGGGGGGGGGGGTCACGAGGCTGGTTGGCGTCAGCCTCTTCGGACGTACCCTCCTCCGAGCTTTTTTCGTCGTTGACCGAGTTGACAGAGGAGACCGACTCGTCGTCCTCCTCCGCCACCTCCTCCTCGTCATCCTCCTGCTGCTTGTCGATCCGAGCACGGTTGCTGTCTCCACCGCCCTTGGTCGAGACCGAGTTCGGTTTCACGGTGAAGGGCTTGCCCACCTCGTCCGCGAAGAGGGCCACGTTGACCTCATCCATGAGGTTCTCGTCGTCCTCTCCGTTGTCGCGCCCGTCGTGCGAGGTGTGCGCCCCTCCCTTCTTCTCTATCTCATATTGAGTCTCATGAGCCATGAGGATAGCTCGCTGTTTGAGCGTCAGGCGGTCACCCTGATTGCCCGTGGGGTTGGCCTTCCCGTAGAGCTTGCGAAACTTTCTCCGCAGTGAGTCAAAGTCGCGTTCCCGCCAGGCAGGGTCCCTGGAGTCATTGTACTCGGCCGCTAGCGCCATCCACATGTTCTTTCCAGTCGGAAGGATTTTTGCGGCCAAGTCGCAAAGGAAAGCTCCTCGTTAGCACCGTAGTTCTGGTATCCTTGCTGCCGGCCTCGCTGTAGATAGACACGTAAGATACGACGCAGGTTAGACCCAAAGAGGAACGCATCGAAGGGAGACAACGAGCTGTACGAGACCCACCGCCATACTCTCCGTCGTTGCTTGTGTCGAAGCCGTCGAGGGGGCGAATGAACCCATCGCGTCCTGGGTCATATGTATGATGTTCAGTATGTCAATCAGGAAGCTTCGAATTTCAAAAGATTTCATTACACAACATGTACACAATTTTCAATGCAAAGCTGCCTTAAAGCCGCTCCCGGGAGGTGGATTCAAGCAGAGTCCGAGTCCTGGTGCAAGTGTTGCAGGTGGCGATGCTGGCACCCCGACCACCCGCAGCGACAGACAAACCACAACTTGTTGCCGTAGGAGACCGTCACCTCCTCGCCCGGGTAGATATCACGAATGCTGACGGCGACCACCGTCAGGCGCTGGCCCGTTTGAACTTCGTGGAACCGGGCGCTTGGATTGCAGGCGTGGTTCATGAAGCGGAGGTTGCCGCCCACTTTCAAGGCGTCGATGCCGATGAACTTGTTGCCCGTAGTGCGGGTCCGTAGGTGCATTCTGTAGCCGTCGTTGACTGGGCCGTTCTTGCAGGGCGGCCCGAACAAGTCCATGTGGCCAAAATACTGTCCGATGACTTCTCCAGCAGGAATCGCAGCTTGCGCTACCAAGCTGCGCATTCCAGTGCGCAGGTTGCGACCAATTGCGAGTGCGCGGCTTTCGTGAAGCCCGTTGCCGCACTCGGCAGCGAAGGTGCAGTTGTACTCCGTGCAGAATCTGCTGCTTCGAGCGTTGAGGCAAGTGCTTGCCTTGCAGCGCTCCTCGCACCCACAGCCAAGCCCCCCTCTCACCCCCACGCTGACGGCTGGGAACTTCCAGCGGCGCGGATTCAGCTGCGCTGACGTGAACTGCACGTCATCCGGCCACGTCTCGAGCTGCCACTCGTCGCGGGGTGGGTTCACGGCACCGCCTTCGACAACAGTAAAGCCCGGGGAGTTCATGCGCGAGGCGGTGAACGACGGGCGTGCAGCTGGAAGTGGGGAGCCGATGAGCGGCGCCGTCTCGGGTTCGTCGCTGTCGGAGGCGACCGCCACGGTATACCAAGCAGGAAGAACCTCTGCACGTTTGTGCAGGCGCGACCGGAAGGGGCTTTGGGGTGACCACGGGGGAGTCGTGGTTTGGGAACTTGCCGTCGCAGGCGAGTATGCAGCATCTAGACTCGGAGCTGAGCGCGCAGGTGTGACCGGGGGCGATGGTTCCGTCTCAGTGCTCTGGCTGGAACGAGGACTGAAGGGGCCATCACCCGAAGAGGCAGGCGGGGAGAGCCGAAACTCCGCAAGTGGAGCCACCTGCATCGTCACAGACGCATTGACGCCTTCGGGCAGCACCACCCGACCGGATCGCGTCCTTGGCGACGCCGACCATTGGTGGTCAGAAGCAGCGGGGGCTCCTACGCCGGAGGGCAACGAGGCCGAGTGCTCGGAGATCTCTCTGGACAGTTCCTCCTCGGCGGAGGGCGTCGCGCGTGGCGACACTCGGGTCGTGACAGTAGTCTTCACGGTCGTCACGGTCTTGACGACCGTCAGCACCGTGGTCTTCTTGACCTTCGCGCCGGCGCGAGGTCCCGCCGGTGGTCCCGTGGGCGTGACAGCAACGATGGCCAAAGGAAGTGGGTTGGCTGGTACATCAGCAGCGACCTCGCTGCGTGGCTCTGCTGATGGCGCTTTGCAGCGGTTTGACTCGATCGCAGCGGCGTCGAACGCCACGGCGCTGAGCTTGCGGCGTTTGGAGACGAGAGCACTCAAAGTCTCGTGAGCACAGCTTGTCTCGTGGCGGCGCTTGCTCGGGGGAAACGGGTGCATGGTTGCCTAGGCAGTGAATCAACAATCTTTTAGCTGGTATGCACAACCACAGCAACTCATACAGTGTACGTACACGTTTGCAGCAGGCGGGGGCTTCGGCACGACGAGGCGAGATTCTAAATGAGGCGTGGGCTGTGCGAGCGCGCGCGCTTTCGCGCCTTAAAGCCCTCTAAGATCGCGCGCGCAACTTCAATTCAAACGAAATCTCTAAATGAGGGAGCTGTTTGGACCCATACATTCTTTAAGATATTTTTTAATCGAGTTGCCAAATAAGGGGGTGATTAAAAGGACGACCAAACCCATTTTCGAATTGTTTGAACGGAGACTTTTTTGATCCTCCAAACAATTCCGTTTAATCGCTCCGTTTAATGAACGGTTTAATCCAGACCTCCTTTATTCCGGCACTTGAAGTTTATATATGGAAATGTGCCTATTTGAAGTTTTTTCGAGTGCCGAAATAAGCGACCGTTCAAAATCGCAGAATTCAAGCAGTGAACGATGGAGAAGCTAAAGCCAAGCGTCTCTAAGAAGCCCCCCTCGCGTAAAACCCCGTTCCAAGACGCTCACAAGCTGCAGTACGGACTCGAGGTCGTAGCGTGTGACGCTGGGGGAGCGGCTTGCTCGGTCCGCTGCCTGTTTTGCCGATATTTTGGTAGAGAGGAAACACCCAAGGGCAGACGAAAGCTTACTCAAAATATCAAGTACTACAAGGCTCCTTTCCGACCCCAGAACTACATCGAGCACAATACTTCCGCGCACTCAGCTAAGTGGGGAGAATACACAGGTCTCAGGGACGCAGAGAAGGCTGTATTTTTTGCTGATCTCACTTCTCGAAGCAACCAATTGGTAGCTCATTTTGACACAGAGAGTGCTGTGTTGCGGTTTTATTTTCCAGAGTTGATTGTGACTGAGCTGATTGGAAAGGTATTTTTCAATGCTGAAGATGAAGATGATGATATGACTGTTGCGAGGGCTCTTCGTACTTTCGGCTCGGTAGTGGATGGGGTCTACACAGTGGAAATTAAGACGCCTCTGCGGTTTACTCTTTCGGTCAAACATCTCTCGGTTGGGTTGTCGTTTCGGCAGACGGCAGCAGTAATTCAGCAGCACTAGGGAACTCGAAGCTTTACGGTATGACCGACGCTATGGCAGGCACTTATGCTCGTATTCTAGTTGCCTATTCGATTCAACGCATCAGCAACCTCATCGCAGACCCCAATATGTGGGGGTTTGCATTTGCTTGCGACATCAGAACCCACACCGATCGCTCTTTCATGAATCAGCGTGTTCGTGTTGCCGTCAACGGCGTGCTAGTCAACCTACACTTGCTCGCGGTCCCTATGTTTGACCGCCACACTGCTGTGGTCCAAGTTCACCTGATTGTTCGAGTACTCGATATTTTGTTCGCTAACTGGAGACAGAAGTTGGTTGGTATTTCATCGGATGGAGAGAACACTATGACAGGCCGTCATGGTGGGGTGATCACTCTTTTAGAGAAAGAGGCCACCCACTCGGTGCTGAGAGTGTGGTGTGCTGCTCATCAGATGGACCTGGTCATGAAAGCCGGTTTTGCCATTGTTGGAAATGGAGACTTTGTGAAGAATACAAAGGATTTAATTGTTCACCTTCGCCGCCAAAAAACGCTGATTACTGAAATGGGAGGTGCCGCCAAAAAACTAACTAATCGGTGGCTGTACATGGGAAACGCATTGCAGTGGATATTAAAAAACCATTTTCGCCTCGAAGAACACCTTGATGAAAACGTGTCTGCGGCACCAACGCCATCATGGTGGGTCAATGCAGCTGTTGTTTGTGGGATAACGGTGGTGGTGAACGTCACGTTTGTCAAGATACAGGGGAAGGATGTCCTGCTCTCGTAGCAAATGGCAGAGATTGAGCTCCTTGAAGATCGCCTTCGCAAACTGCTACGAGTTGAACGCGTACCTAGCTCTGAATTCCAATCTAGCGCTAATGACACGATTTCTACGAAGTACTGGCTCAAAGAGCAACACTTGCTCGAGTTTATTCAAGACCAGGGGACGTTCGTCCAGAATCACATGAATAGTGTTGCAGATGCCGACAAAAATTCGATTCTGAGGCAGCTTGCCAAGTTTGTACTGCATCTAATTGAAGGTATGGAGCATGCACAAGCTGAGCGAGACAGCAACATTGACGCTGCCACATCTCCGGCTCCGCCAGTAATGCCAGCTGAGCTTGTCACAGTCCCTCCTCGCCAGTTTGCAGAAGATATTTTGAATCCTCGCCGCGATCAATTGGCTTTGTTTTGGAGTGAGGCAAAAATTGAAGCCGTTGAATGGGATAATCGAGAGCTGTGTCAAGCCAATCTGCTTGATGAGATGGTTCGCACAGCCCTGGAGGAAGAATCGTATGAGACCAGCTTCAACGACGCCTGGGATTCAGTGCAAAACGCTGCTGCTCCAAAGACATTTTCACATCTCCGCCAGTTCTGCTGCGGATTGGCAACCGTATTCGCGAATACGGCGCCCGTCGAATCCGATTTTTCCGTATTGAAGTGTGAACTGAACGACCGGCGCACTTCGTTGACTTCTCTAGCCCTTGAAGGCATCTTCCAGGCTAAACAGTTCGATATGCTAGAGAAACTGTAGTAAATTGCATACTTTATTTCCTTAAACTGGCACTGTGCCGAAATAAACAAAACAAGAGTGCCGAAATATAGCTAATCCGACACATCCCGGCAGGTGCCAGTATAAGGGAGGTCTGGTTTAATCCCCCCTACCCCTAATGACCAAACCGTTTTATATAGGTTTTGGAAGGCGCCCAATGCCTGAAACTATTGCCTCAACAAATTGCGAGCTTCTTGCGTCGATCGGTTTGGGGTTCTTCATTCCCCAATACCAGGGCCCCAAGTCGCGGTCCACCCTCAGCAAGTCATGCATTGCTCCTGGTCCATTTTGGTGGCATTCGCAGCCTTGTCGTCTCTTCATGTCGATGCTGCAGAGTGTACGGATGCGGAATGGCAAACCAGCCAGAACATTTGGTAGTGGTGTCCCGAGTCGGAACGGCTCGGACCGTTCCAACTCTGCGTGGGCGACGACGAGTGCCTGAGGTCATCCACCTGCTGTGACCGCGGGCGAGAAGTAGTGGGTCGTGGGCCGGGTTGTCTCGAAGGTGGAGACCCGTGGGCCGCTACCCAGAGGTATCGTGGAGGGATGATGTGCCTCGCAGTGTCGTGGCGGGACTTCGGGGACGGATGGCATGTTGGGCGGCTTTGAGGGCCGTCAAGGTGAACGGATCAAGTTTTTGGGAGGGGTGAGCGGGAACGGAGTCACCCGAAGGCACTGAAACGCAAGGATCTGCAGGTAGAGAGGAAGAGTTAGGAGTAGAAGGAAGGTCAGTCGTGAATTTTGCTTAAAAAGACCACACAGGTCGTAAGGAACACTTATTGCATTTTGCTTAGTGATCTCCTTGCTATTTGTGCCCCATAAACCTATAAGCACAGGCAGCACTTACTACTCCAATACAGCGGCGGCCGGCCCCAAACCGGTCCGACAAAGCGACTCGCGACACGTGGTGGAGAAGCAGGGTAGTGTTGCCGAGTGTGGAGTGAACAGTGCTGAGAGCCTGTGCCCGGAAGTGAACAGAGTCAAGAGCCGAGCGTCTGGACCTGGTGACTGGACGTGTGACCCCCCTCCTCGTGTTTAAAGTGTGCCAGGGAAGGACCCAGGAGTCCGCACACGAGTACACGCCGCGCGGGAAAAGCGGCGTCGAGGAGCAGTTAGAGGAGCGATCCAGGCCGGAGGACAAGGGAACGGTAACGTAGACACAAGAGCCAAGTGTGCACGGTCAAGAGCAAGAGGTCAAGTGAACAAGGAACGGTAAACTGAGAAGAGAAGATGCCAGGAGGACAAGGAGGAAGAGGCGGTAACGCTGAGGAAGCAGCACGCCGCCGGGCTGAACAAGAAGAAAGAGCGCGTGCAGAGCGCGCCGAGGCAGAGCGTGCCGCGCGGGCCGAAGCCGAGCGTGCCGAAAGACGTCGGCAGAGGCCCTCGACACCGGCTTCCGGGACGCCGATGATCGGGATAGCGCCGCCGCCGTCCCAGCGACCGAGGACCCCGCCGCCGCCCAGCCAAGCTGGAGCGGGCGCGCCGGACCCGGTTGAAGAGGGATTGAGGAGTCTGGAGCGGTGGAGAAAGACCGCTGAGTATGCTGAAGAGGGAGCGTCCGTGTCGGATGTGATGCGTGAGCTCTGGAAGATGAAGAAGACGAGGACTATGAAGAGAAGGAGGCGGTCAAGACGGAGACCGCGACTGGAGTCCAGCCGGTGACCTCGGCTGGAATGAAGACGGAGACCGTGGCGGAGGCCAAGGCGGAGCCCGCCGTGAAGGGCGAGCCGGAGCCACCGGTCTCGAGTCCGATGGGACGGTCGAGTGTGGGGCAGCCCTACGCTCAGCCGACGGACTATGGGTACGGCTACGGGATGTACGCCGACGACGAGGAAGACTACCACGACGCGATGGAGGAGCCGGTCCCGATGCAGCGAGGCCCGAGTGGGTTCATCACCCGCTACACGGGTCCCGAGGCCCGCCGAACGGATCGCCCTGCCTTTGGATTGAGCTGGAGCGCTCAACATGGTTCGGGGAAGGCCCCCGAGTATGGAAGATGGAGTGGGAGCGGAAGCGCGGTGAAGTCGCCGACCAAGTCGCCCCCTCCGATGAAGAAGTTGCAGTTCGCCGGCGGTCCGGCTGGGCTCTCGAAGCCGCTCGTTGGCGGAATGCCTATGCAACCTACAACGGGCCCTACGGCAAGTCGGACGCCTGGAACGGGTACGGCTCCGCCGGCTCCGACGGCTGCACCGTCGACGAGTTGGCGCGGTGCCAGTGGACTTTCGTCGAGTGCCTACAACCTGTCTACGATGGTCTCGCACGCCGTGAAGGTGCTGCCGATGTTCCATTCGGACACGGCCACGGTGGAGAAGGCGCGGGACTTCTGGGAGCTCTTCGAGGACCACACGGACAGTTTCCCCGACCGGTCCAGATTGCTGGTGTTCCGTCAGAAGCTGCGAGGCCGCGAGGCTGGCCGGTGGTGGAACAACTCGAGGATCAAGTCGTTCAGGACGCTCAAGGTGCGGTTCCATAACCAGTTCCTCAGCCGGACGGCTGACGAGCTGTGGGAGCTGCTAGAGAACACGAAGAGGCAGCGCGGAGAGTCCGTGGAGGAGTGGGGTGACCGAGTCTCGGACCTGTGCGGGTCCCTCGACTACCCGAATCCGCAGATGCGGTACCAGCTCTTCCGCCGAGGACTGCGGAACAAGCGCATGCTGGCGACCTTGGACGCGAGTCCCGCGTCGGACATTCCGGAGGCGTGCGAGTGGCTCATGTTCAAGGACATGCACCGTCCGATCGAGGAGGAGGACGAGTTCTCGGACAGCGAGTCCAAGAAGAAGAACAAGAAATCGGAGGAGGCCCCCGCGACGACTGCGGTCGAGGCCCTCGCTGAGCAGATGAAGTCGTTCATGGAGCAGCAACAACAGTGGCAACAGCAACTTATGCAGCACCAGTGACAGCCGCCTAGGTCGCCTCGCAATCGAGCACCGGTAGTGGCCGCCACCCCTGCCACTCAGCCCGCTGGAAACGGTCGTGGACCAGGGAACGCTCAGCCATTCCGGGGCATTCGGATGGGCGATGATAGTCGCACGCAGGACGGTTCGCCTGTGTGTGGTCGCTGTAACTTCATGGGACATGGTCGCGCTACATGCAAGCGCGCGTCGATGAGCTGCAGGCGCTGTGGCGCGTTTGGTCATATCGCGGTCGAGTGTGACAGGCCCCAGAACGGTGGAGGCCAGACTGCAGCCGCTGGGGGTACTCAATCTCCGTCTGGTTGTGTTTTCTGCCAAGACGCGAGCCACTCCGTGATGCAGTGCCCCGTATTGGCCGCGCTTCGTGATGCGACTCCGAGTTTGCTGAACGCGGCCGCCCAGAGCAATCCGACCCCTCGACAGTGACGGGGGCGGGAGGAAGGAGAGGAGGGAGCCACTCCTTTCTCTAGTCTAGAGGATGGCTCAGGGGGTGATCGTAGGAGGCAGGCGAGACGAAGGCGTTCTGCGGTCACGGCGAGGAAAACGGTGGACAAGGTTGTGAAGAGTAGTGTGAATGAAGGGAGCGTCGAAGCGGAACGCGTAGAGGCGCCAAGAGCGGAAGTGGAAGTTGAGACGGTTGCCGGGCCCCGGAAAGAGTGGATTGTACCCAGCGGCGTCTCCGTCGAAGAAGAATATGAACGAGAGCAGCGGCGGACGGTGTTGTCCATGCGGGAAGAAGGTGAAGCTGAGTGCTGGACGGAGTTGTCTGTGCACGGCGAAAATGAGGAAAGCGTGGCGGAAGAGCCTGCATACTGCTACGAGGAAGAAGCGGCGTGGGCCGTTGCGAGTGACGAGGAGAAGATGTACCCTGCGGGGAAGACGGCGACCGAGGAGAGCGCCGAGCAGGACGAGCCGAGTGCAAGGGTGAACGGGGTGTGGGCCCATGATGGGGCCGCCCTCGATGATAACGATGAAGAGACTAAGGAGGCCGAGGCGGCCAAGCTGGACGCCCCCGCGGGCGATGGAGACCCCGCGAGTGGCCCAGACCGCAGCCCCGAGCGTGGAGTAGGCAACGAAGAGGGGACGGCGGCTGAGACCGTCGACTCGGCGTACGACGAGGACCGGTCCGTGAGGTCGGAGGAGTCGGCGTACTCCGAGGAAGAGGAAGTCGACGGTGATGTGTTCTATGCGGCCGTGCGGACGATGAAGCGTTCTGTGCTGCACCTCCGAGCGCGAACATACCCTACAAGGTGCCCACGGAGGAGATGCCGCCGCCGACGGAGTTGAGAGCGGTGCCGAGGTCAGTGACTGCGGCCCCTTTGCGAAACATCCTGAAGAAGGAAGGCCCCCGTCCGCGTTGGATGACGGAGGAGCCCTCCTTCGAAGGGTGGGGCGGCGCTGTAGATGTGGGGGACACACTGTTCGCCGAGTGGAACGACGACGGAGGATCGCCGGCCGGCGAGCACATCGCCGAAGAGAACGTCAACGTAGTCGTAGGGCCCGAGCCGGTGGCAGGGCCCGCCACCGAGTTGGCTGTCGCCGAGGAGGCCCGAGGCGCTGCCACCGAGAGCAAGGAAGTGCCCGAGAGTTCCGAGGTGGTCGAGGCGGCCGAGGACGTTAAGGAGCCGCCCCGCCCCGCCACGCTCGCCTCTTCACGGACGAGGAGCTGGACGCCATGGAGTGCGAGGCGCCGAAACCCTCCGTTCCAGGCATCAGTGAGGAGCTCGAGGAGTATGACAAGGAGCTGGAGGACAGGCTCCACCCCGTCGATGAAGTGGAGTTGATGCGCAAGGTGAAGGAGAATGCGGAGAGGGCCAAGGGCCCGTCCATGGAAGAGATGTCGAAGTTTCTGGGCGTCCCGGTCGAGGCGCTGACCAAGATGAAGGACGCCTCGCCCGAGTACTGGGAGGACTGGTACAGGAACATACTGGAGAACTCGGCGGAGGCCAAGCGAGCCAACCGTGACTTCAAACAGTCACTGGCCAGCAGCCTCTCTAGAACGCTCGACCGAGGCGACAAAGTATGAGTCGTTTGGCCTGTCGGAGTCCGACCTGGACCCGAAGGCCTCGACCATCTCGGTCGATGGCTCCGTGATGGAGGAGAGCGTAACTGCGAACATTGCGGTCCCCGTGAATGTCTGTGAGGAGAACAGCGATGAGATGGTCACTGCGGTAAGCGTGAACCCGCCCGTGGACGCTCCTGAACCGAGTTCGAGCGCTTCTCCGAGCGAGAGGTCGGAGGCTCGCAAGGCCGTGTACTTCTTGCTGAAGGAGACCAAGGACGAGATGTTGCGTGCGAAGAAGTCGGTCGTCGACCCGCTCGGAGAAGGTGGCACGGTCGAGATCCCCCCGATTCGTGATAAGCCACCTGATCTAGACTGAGTGCGCCTCGTGCACGATGTTGAGCAAGTTGCTGGTGAAAATGAAGACCAAATCGACTGGCGAGAACCTGTGAAGAAATGGACGAACGAGTACTACAATGAGAACGCTGCGTATATTTGGAATAAGCTACTAGATCGAGTTCGAGAAGCCCACTCGGCGAGTGCGAAGCGTCGGCTGCGGCGTCGCTCGCGACGGCCCGTACGCTTTGACTTCACGGCGTTGTACCGCGATTCGGCCGAGGCGCTGGACGGGGAGCTCCGTCCTGAAGAAGACGACGACGCGACGCACTACGTGCAAGTGGTCCGTCCCGAGCGTCCACCGCCGGAGCGTGGACGGAAGACCGGGATGGTGGAGGTGGTAACCGTGAACTTGCCGGATGTCTTCGGCGTCCGTGCCGATGAGGACGATGATGAGTGTGGAGCCGAGCTCCCACGCGTAGTTGCCGGTGGTCGGCGTGTGGTGTGCACTGTGGGGAACTTCGAGGCGCTGTCGTGCGGGTACATCGACTGCCTGCCTTCGCAGATGTTGGCGGACACGGGCGCAACGCTCAGTTTCGTCGACTTCCGTGTTCTGAAGCGTCTGGGCCGAGCTCGTGAAGCTCTGGAGGCCTACGACGGGCATGTACGCAGTTCGTCTGAACACCGTCTGCGCATTCGGGGGTGGATCACTCTCCCCTAATGCTGGGCAAGGTCGGGGTGACCATGCGGATGCTCGTGGCCGACAAGTTGCATGTGGACGCTATCTTGGGCGTCGACTCGCTGGGCGTGTTCGGAGCAGTGACTGACGTGGCTGAGCGGACGCTCATGCTGAAGAGCACGGGCGAAGTCTTATCGTTGGGCGTGATGGTGGTCCACGAATCGTTCATGGCCACGATGGCCGTGTCCGTCCGCTTGCCGCCAAGGGGCCAGGCCCTGGTGGTCACGGATGTGGTGGGCGATGCCCCGAACGCGACTGTCCTCGTCGAGGGCTCTCTCAACTTGCCGCCTTCGCTTTGCGTGGCGAGAACGCTCTGTACTGTGGACGACGGTCGAGTCGTGGAGGTCTGCAACGCATCGACAGAAGAGTTCTGGATCAAGAAGGGCACGGTGGTGGCCTCGACGTCCGTGGTGCCCGAGTCGGCGTTCGGCTTTGAGCAGCCGTCGGCGGAGAAGTCCGAAGAGACGCCCTGCCGTCCGCCCGAGACTAGCGGGGCGGTCACCGTTGCTGCCAGTCGTGAAGAAGAGGCAAAGGGGCCGGATCTCGGCGAGACTGTGAGGGCGTCGAGGCCCGATGTGCCGCCCGACAAGGAGGTGGCGCTCGAGGCCGACTTCTCCCAGTCGAGGCGTCGGATGAGCAGAAGTCGCTGTTCCGCAGCGATCTGGAGCGCTTCCGAGACAAGTTCGTGGAGTCGTCCAACTCGCCCGGCAGGACCGACTTGCTGAAGTTCCAGATTGATACTGGGGACAGCAAGCCGATCAAGCAGCAGCCCTACTGCGTGTCGTTCGCCGACGGCGAGGTGATGGAGGCGGAGATCCAGCAGTACCAGAAGCTGGGCTTCGTCCGGCCCTCAAACAGCCCCTGGGCCAGCCCCGTGTTGATGATCAGGAAGCCCGACGGGGGCTTCCGTTTCTGCATCGATTATCGCAAGTTGAACGCCGTAACGGTCAAAGATTGCTATCCTATGCCGCTGATTGACGACATCCTGGACGTGCTGAGTGGAGCCAAACTGTTCTCGACCATGGACATCGCCTCAGGCTACCGGAACGTGCACATGCATGAAGACAGTATTGCTAAAACGGCTTTCACATGCAAATACGGTCTATTCGAATGGTTAGTCATGCCCTTTGGCCTATGCAATGCTGTACCTGCTTTCGAACGGTTGATGGAGACCGTGCTTGTCGACCTCAAGTGGCGCGTGTGCTTGGTGTAGTTGGATGACATCTTCAGCGAGGACTTCCCGTCGCACCTCGTTCGCCTTCGGACAGGCCGGCTTCAAACTGAAGATGAAGAAATGCCACTGGGGCAGGAGTCAGGTCGCCTTTCTCGGGCACATTGTGACACCCATGGGCATCCTCCCGAACCCCGAGAAGGTGAAGGCCGTCATGAACGTGCAGAGGTCGCGCGATGTGCATGATATCCGTTCATTTTTGGGGCTGACGAGCTACTTCCGCCGGTATATCCCGGGGAACGCTCTGATCTCTACGCCGCTGGAACGCCTGAAAATGAAAGACACTCCGTTCGTCTGGAACGAGGACTGTGAGGTGGCGTTCCGCCAGCTGAAAAGGGCGCTAGTCACTCCTCCTATCCTAGTCTACCCGGACATGAAGAAACGATTCAAGCTTTACGTCGACTCGTCGAGGTATGCTGTCGGTGCTTGTCTAATGCAGGTGGTGGACTATCGAGACCGTGTTGTCGCCTATGCTAGCAAGTTACTGACAGGCTCTCAGAAGAACTGGATCAACAACCACGACGGAATCTCTGAAATTGAATGCTGGGGCATTGTCGGAAGTTCCGCTGCTACCTAGATAAGCGAGAGTTTGATCTCTACACTGACCATCAGGCGCTTACCTGGATCTTCAGTCCTGGCAACCGCACGACCAATGCTAAGCTCGCTCGCTGGGCGATCGAGCTGTCCAATCTACAATTCCGAGTGCATCACATGCCCGGGACGAGCATGGGGCACGTGGACGGCTTGTCTCGCCTCCCTACCGCGAGTATGAACGCGCTGACCATGGCGGACCTGCTGAACCCGGGGGGCTCGCCTGTGGGCATGGCCGACTTGCTGAATCCGGACGACTCGCCCGAGACCGTGGCCAACGACTCAGTCGGGGAGCCGTCCGATCGAGCCGTGGCTTCCGACTCAGTCGGGGAGCCGTCCAACGTGGCGCCCGAACCGATGACTAGAGACGGCGGCGGCGAGATGGGCACGGAGACCGCGGTTCCGTTGCCGGAAGACGCTACTGAGGACGAGTCCGCGCCGACGGACGTCCCTCCGTCGTTCGTGGACTTGTTCGGACTCGATATGGAGCAGTTGAAGGTGGAGCAGCGGAAGATCCCGTGGGTGATGGCCCTGATCGCGTTCCTGACGGGTGGAGCGCTGCCGCTGGCCCCTAGCTTACGAGTGAAGGTTGTGAGGATCGCGTCCAAGTTCGCCGTCGAGAACGAGCTGTTGATGCGCAGAGTGAATCTCCCCGCGCGCGTCGGGCCCGCTCGATCGCTGACCGTGCCCGTGATACCGCTTCCGTTCGTTGAAACAGTCTTACATTTTTGTCACGCTGATCTACTGTCGTCGCACCTCGGTCTCACGAAGACGCTCGAGAAGGTGAGGCGACACGCGTACTGGCCAGGGTGGCGACAGGACGTCGAGGAGTATTTGCGCGAATGTGATAAGTGCGGAAGTGGCAAGGGTGCGCGTCCGTGGCGCGCTGGTCGAATGCAGAGAATGCCCATTGTGGATCTGACGGGGCCGTTCTCGTTGCTCGTGGTGGACGCCGTGGGGCCTCTGCCCGAAACCGAGCGTGGCAATCGCCATATTTTAGTTTTCGTTGATTACTTCACTCGCTGGGCCGAGGCGTTCGCCGTGGAGCGCTTGGACTCCATGACGTTCGTGGAGGTGATGGTGAACGGAGTGGTGTCTCGGCACGGAGTGCCGTCGCGGTTGCTGAGCGACAACGGCTCGAACTTCACGTCTGAGGTGGCCAAGCCCTTCTATCAGACGTTGGGCATTAAGAAACTCTTTGGTGCTGCCTACCACCCTCAGACTCAAGGACTCGTCGAGAGATTCAACGGAACGCTCATAGGAATGCTACGAATGCATGTGAGTGAGGCTCAAGATGATTGGGATATTTATCTTCCTAGAGTGCTTTTTGCCTACAGGACGGCCTACCACGAGGCCCTGGGAGATTCGCCGTTTTTCTCGCTGTATGGGCGCGACCCAGTGCTTCCGATGGACGTGGCCTTCCTCAATCTTGGCAAGAAGTGGCGGAGTGATGAAGTGGCTCAGTATAGGCGAGAGCTGTACAGCTCTCTCCGTTCCTCGCGACATTTGGTTGAACGTCAGTTGTTGAAGGCGCAAGATCGGCACGAGCAGCGCCTGGAAGGAAGTCGAAGTGAATTATGAAATAGGAGACCCGGTGTGGGTCTACCAGGTGTTCATGGCGAAACGCGGCGAAGTGCGCACGAAGAAGCTTGCCTTCGCTTGGCACGGTCCCTATCGGATCGTAGCCAAGGTCGGCGAGAACGCTTATCGGGTCGACATCCCGACTCACCCTAACAAAACGGTGACCATGAACGTGAATAGGCTCAAAAGCTATTGTGGCAAGTGGACCCGGCCTTATATGGATGAAGTGCCCGAGGGTCTGGGCACTAGTGATGAAAACGAAGAAGAGGGGCCGTTGGAAGAGGCCGACCTCCCTGCGTCGAGCTACGCGGAACGGTTGACACTAGGAAATGAGGGCGTGGAAGCCCCCATCGTGGAAATAGTGGCGAAGATGAAGGACGGTCAGGGCATGAAGTACCTGACGATGACCAGCTCGTATGAGGTGTTCTGGCTGCCCAGGGAGGCTTTGATCTCCGAGTATGCGTCGTTGGTGACCGCTTTTGAGCAAGCGGATAGGAGGAAGAAGAGGTTGCCGGAGCTTCGTCGAAGTGCGCGTTTGGCGGACGCTAACGCCCAAGTCGATGATGACTATTTGCTGCTGGCGTAGTTGGTGATGTTCTTGAGCTGAAGAACCTGTGATTGTGGATATGGATTTACGAGCAGCTCAAGAATGGTGGATATGCATGTCAAGTTCATGTTTTTATTTGGTTTTACCTGCAAAATTAGTGCTGCGGCTGCACTAGACTCGACTACAACGAAATGAAGAAGATAAACGGAGATCCGAGGTGTGCGCATGACTCACTTGGCCTTGTCGACGCTTGCGGAACGCGACTTGATCTTCTTGGTCGGAGGCTTGCTCGCTACCTCGCCGTCGTCGTCTGCTTCGTCGCCCGGCAGCGTATCTTTGGCCGCGACGGGGGCCTTGGTGGTCTTGGGTTGGGCCTTGTCGTCCTTGTCGCTGTCGTCCTTGGCCGCCGGCTTCTTCTTGTCGTCACTGGAGTCTTCGGACTCGCCTGACTTGCTGGAGCGAGAAACCGGACCTCCTGGCTTGGACGGAGTGGTAGCTCGCTGTTTGACGGCGGGAGCCCGGTACTGCACGGGGGGCGTCGGAGGCAACGCCGTGAAGGCTCCGTCCTCGTCCTCGAAGTCCGAGTCATCGTCGCCCTGCTCTCGGGGTTGAAGGGCTTCTGGTCGTACACGGCCACCTTCATGCCCAAGTCCAGGAGCTCGACCACCTCCTCGATGGTGTCTTTGAGCGACGCGTCCGACAAGGGGGCCTTCCACGGGCCGCGGGTTCGGTTGCCCACCCAAGAAGGCACGGGGGGTGGCCCGCTGGTGACGTCGAGCTTGATGCGAGCGACGGCCTTGTCGGAGAGTCGCAGGTGTGGCGCTCGCGTGGGGTCGATGAGCTCCGCCTCCTCGAGGAGCTCCGGAATCGAGGCGTAGCCGTGTTCGTCGACGATCTTGGGGTCGAGAGCTCGCTCGATGACCCGCTCGTAGTGAATCTTGTCCTTTGCGAAGACAACGCCGAGGTCCTCGTGCGCCGCGCCCTTGCTCTTAGACGCGCCGGCAGAGTGCTTGGCCGCTCTGCCTCCCAACCACATGAGCGTGTCATGAGCACCGTTCTCGAAGTCGTCGAGAAAGCCGAAGTACACTCGCTCCTCGATGTTGTAGCTAATGAGCTCGTTCCGCGCTCGGCACGCATTCATTTTCTCCTTGCGCCGCTGGTCGGCATTCAGACAAGGCGCGTACAGCGCCCACAGGAAAAACAGCTCGCGGAAGCGCATGTTGGCACGGTAGTGGACGAGGTGCAACTCGGGATACTCGGATGGCGGGTACCAGCACCGCTGTTTGCGACAGGGGTACGCCAAGCGGAACCGAGCGAGGCCCTTGCTGAAGGCGTGCTGCGCAAGTGCGGCCAGGTCGATCTTCAGTCGCGCGGGCGCCGTCGTCGGCAACCGGAAGTCGTAGGCCTCGGCCTTCTTCTTGGCCGCGGCCTTCTGTTTCTTCTTCGATGGCGGTCTCGTCTTGGAAGACGTCCGTGGCGACGATCTGGTCCCTGTCGATGGACGCGGTGGCGGTGACGTCGACTCTGGCGTGGGCACCAACGGCGGCAGCGGGATCGACAGGACGGAGTGCTCGGCAGCGCCGGCCTGCATCTGGTCGGGGTGCGGCAGGATCACGAGGATCTGGTTCAGGCGGTGTGCGTCGCCACCCGACAGGACGTCCATGGCCATGGCGTCCAGGACGTCTAGCCCCTGGGACGCATTGTTAACGGAGAGACGGGTCCGGAGGCGCGCCCAAAACTCGCGCTATGTCCGTGGGCCTGCCGTGCAAATGCAGCCGCTCCGAACTCGCGTGTGGAAGTGTTACGAGGCCCTGCTGGCCACCCCGTTGGTTGTGCTGGAGTCCAAGGGCGAGCATGAAGACGGGCTGTGGAGGTTGGTCTACAAGTGGCTTGACGCCCTCCACGAGTGGTGGTGCGTCTTCTTGCCTGAGACTTGGGCGTCGGGACGGAAGGCGTGCTCCAAGTACTGCACGGGGGCGAGTCTGGTGTCTGGCCGTTCGGTCGCCCGTGCCAAGCTTGTCGCCAAGGTGGTATGGACGCTGACGTCCCGGATCCTGTTCTCGGCGTTCTACGCCGTGCTGTTCACCTACGAAGTCGTCGAATGGATCTGCCAGGGCGTGGCCGGCGTGTTCGCTGTAGTCGTGGTCTTTGATTGCTGGTTCGCCTCCGAGGAGGGCGAGCATGCAATAGTGACTAACTACTGGTTGCTGGTGGTGAATGTTTGGGTTGCGCTGGTATGCATAACCAGTAAGTTGTGGAGGTTGTACGAGGCGTCGGCGGGCGAGCGTTCGCCGCTGACTATGGCCACGGAGGGCTACGCTGCGTGGTGCGCGGCTCTCGAGGAGCAGGAGCAGGCTGAGCGTCTAAGTGAGGCATTTTGGAGGATGGACGGTGGGGGCAATGCGCCGAGAGTGCAGGTGCGGACGCGAAGTGGATTGCAGGCCGAACGGAGGGCCTGGCAAGTAAGGAGAGAAGTGGATCAAGCTTCGTGCGCTCGGCGAGGATGCCGAGATGCAGTCGGGGAGGATGTCCCGAGTCGGAACGGCTCGGACCGTTCCAACTCTGCGTGGGCGACGACGAGTGCCTGAGGTCATCCACCTGCTGTGACCGCGGGCGAGAAGTAGTGGGTCGTGGGCCGGGTTGTCTCGAAGGTGGAGACCCGTGGGCCGCTACCCAGAGGTATCGTGGAGGGATGATGTGCCTCGCAGTGTTGTGGCGGGACTTCGGGGACGGATGGCATGTTGGGCGGCTTTGAGGGCCGTCAAGGTGAACGGATCAAGTTTTTGGGAGGGGTGAGCGGGAACGGAGTCACCCGAAGGCACTGAAACGCAAGGATCTGCAGGTAGAGAGGAAGAGTTAGGAGTAGAAGGAAGGTCAGTCGTGAATTTTGCTTAAAAAGACCACACAGGTCGTAAGGAACACTTATTGCATTTTGCTTAGTGATCTCCTTGCTATTTGTGCCCCATAAACCTATAAGCACAGGCAGCACTTACTACTCCAATACAGCGGCGGCCGGTCCGACAAAGCGACTCGCGGCAGTGGGCCGCTACGACGTCGGCGTGTGGTCAGTACGCCGTCGGGGACGACTTTGTCAGCGCACCATGCACTGCCACATCCTGTGTCGCCGTCATGGAACAAGTCGGAGAGCAGCTCCCGGACTGCTCCGTCAGCGGAGTGAACAACAAGGTTGAGGTGCAGAACGCGATGACGGTTTGCAACGGGGAAGACCTCATTGCGACGGACGCGCCTTTCGTGAGTCCCCCGACTGCGGCGCCTCTGATCACCACTGCTCCAATAACGACGATTGCTCCGTTCAAGACCAGCGCTCCACTGTTGTTGTTGGCCCCTCGGCCAGGTGGTTCGGCGAGTGGATCGGCCGAGACAACGTCCACATCCACGGCAGGGTCTTTTGGCTCGGGTCTGGGCTCGTCGCTATCGTCTGGTAGCTCAGCGACCCTTTCACCAGCGGCTACAAGCTCCAGTACCAGCTGTACAACCGCGCAGGTTGCGAGTATCGTGAATCTGTACAATGAGGCGGCCAAGAGTTCTTCGCGCGCGCCCGATGCCACCGTCAGTTCGTACAGTGTGTACGTCTTCACCAAGTGCGAGTCGTCCTGCGCGTCCAAGCTCAAGATCCTCGCAGCTGATCTGCCCGATTGCTACTACGACTACGAGTCTTCGAACAAGAAGGCCTCGCTGCTGCAGGAGATCGACGACTGCACGGGGACGAGCCACACCATCTACATCAGGACGACCGTATACCGCCATGTGGTATAGCCTTCCAAAACCCATATAAAACCGATTGATCAGTTTAATCCGTAATTTATTTTAAATTACCGAAGCGCTTAATGCGCCCCAAAACGGTTGCTGGAACGCGACCTTCGAGTATAGTGGAGTTCAGTCACTTGTTTAATCACGTTGCTAGTTAAGAGTCGCATTAGAATTGTTTGATGAGACCAAAAAGTGGTCTCATCAAACAATTCTCCGGGATTAAACTTTTATGCGCGACCTTTTGGTGAGGGTTTTGGAAGGCGCACTACCAGCTCAGGAGCTTCGACTGGACCTCGACAATGTCGAGTCGACATGTTGGTGTTGCAGTTGCTATGGGACTTGTTGCCAGCGTAGGGGTTTTGGTGTAGGCTAATGATTCCTTAGTAAGGAAACAAGTTGGCGTATTGATCACTGCGATGCGCGCTTCAACGTCTCGCTGCTCGAGCCACCTTGTCGCGCGACGGTCGTCGGAAGGTGACGAAGGAGGACATCACCTCTTTGATGGATTCATCACGCGCGGTGTCTATGACGAAGAGCACCAACGCTTTACACACCCGCTCAGTTATCAAACCACTGTTCGCTTTGAACGTGTTTGCATGACTTCCTTCGAGGTGTTCGCGCTCACGCTGCTGGTGCAGCTAATCTGCACCAATGGAGACTCGATATCGACCGGTTCTGCATCGTCGCCGTCGGCTTCGAGCATATCGTCGTCCAGCGTCAACTGCACGAGTCAGGAGCGGAACGAGACCGTGGGTCTCTTTCTAAACCTCACGACTATCGACGAGTGCGCCGGCGACGCGTCCATTTCGAACAACAGGATCATGGTCTACCCTGCCTGCGGCTCGGCGTGCGCTACGAAGATTCAAGAGGTCGGAGACGAGCTGCTCGACTGCTACTACTACGTCGCGGGCTACGACAGCGGCAACATGAAGGAGGAGGTGGCCAACAGTCTCGCGCAGTGCGAGCTGTGGATCCCGCCGCCGCCCGTCTGGGTCAGCATCTACGCCGACCACAACCTCTCCAGCCCGGAGGCTTCCGGGAGCGACGCCGGAGCTGATGAGACCTACGGAAGGTTCGTGTACAACAACAGCGCAGCGAGTACCAGCGTGGTGACACTGGTCTGGGTAAGTGCGGGAGTTTTTTTCGGTCTTATGCTGTAGCTGGCCGATGCAGCCTGGTAGGCAGCAGCATGTATGAGACCAAAACTCACGATCCAGTCAATGCACAGTCAGTTTAGTCGCTTGATGGCCTCCTTGAACGCGAAGTTCGCGACTCGCTACTAGCGAGTCACTAGCGAGTCGCTAGTCGCCACTTCAAGGTGGTAAATCATCCAGGTCGTCCCACTCCGAAGTGCATACGCTTGACCCGATCGTGGCGATCACCGTCGGCTCCATCTCGCTAGGATGCTGCATCGCTGTCCTTAGTGGCGGCTTGACGCAAACCTTGCAAGCGGCAATGAAGATTGATTCAAGGCACCTCGGACGCCTACCGCTGCAGGCAATAGTGCTTCACGTCCATGACCCAAACGATGATTCACTTCGATTGGGTCCCACTCGCCTGACAAATGCAGCCATTGATTAATTGAAGCGCGATTGAAGCTCATCAACCAACTTTCATTCGTGAAAGCGCCGCACTTCGACGAACCACTCGCCCAGCCTTGCATCCCCACGTATCCTCCCTCTTGGTATCGCTCCTGTTGCTGCTTTACATCGTAGGCGAGACCAGCGCAGCCGACTGCACCGACGCTGAGGACCAAGTGATCACCGACGCGTACACCGCCGCAGCTAGCACCAGCGATTGCTCGGAGTACGCGTCCGTGAGCAACCTGTTGGTCACCATCATGCCGCCGTGCTCCTCCACTGCCTGCGTCTCCGTCATGAAGCAGTTGGCCGAGTCCATCTCAAACTGCACCACGGCCACGTACTCCGAGAAGGACCAGCTCCTGCAGTCGCTCGACATTTGCGCCACGCCAGCCCCAACTCCCGCGTCGACAGCGTCGTCGACAAACTGCACCAGTGACGAGGCCGAAGCCATGTTCAACGCCTTCTACGAGGCGGCAAATGGCTCGTGTGCGAGCTCCACGACGATCGAGGCCTACAGCATCATCATCGACACGCAGTGCAACTCGACGTGCGCTGCGGCGGTTCAATCCTTCGCCCAAACACTGCCGAACTGCAACTACGAGCTGTCGGGGGAGAACACCAACAAGAAGCAGGACATTGCCACGCAGTTCAGCTACTGCGAGATGCTGGACGACGCCACGAACATCAGCGTATACGTCGACTCGGTCGATAGTTTGTTGGGGTCTTCTGCTGGTCTAGCACCCGTGGTGCCGAACTGCACCACCGACGAGAACAACGAGACCGTCGACTTCTTCCTGGCCGTGGCAACGAACGAGTCGTGCCAATACGACTCGTCCATCTGCGCGTACGACGTCCACGTGAACACCGACTGCGATACGGAGTGTGGCAGATTGGTCCGCAGACTCGGCTTCGACGTCCCCAAGTGCTACTTCGACCACGTCAACCACCGAGAATACCTGAGCGATCACTGGTACCAATGCGAGTGGATCGTGAACCCTGACAACATCTCCCTCAGCTTCCACTACTCGGAAATAGTCCTCAACGCCACGTTGAACTCCTCCGTCGCCTGCAACCCCAGCTTTGACTCCACCGTCACTTCCAGCGACAACGACCAAGACTCCAGCGCAGCTTCACAAACCGACAGTGCTGCTCTAAAAAGCACGACAACTGCGTTCATCTACAGCATTGCACTCATCTTGGCAACCCTGCATATGTAGTGTACAAATATACGTCGTGCTTCTGGAGGGTACTGCCGTAACCTTGCTGAGTGCTTCCTCAGCAAGGTTACGGCAGTACCGGGGTTAAATTGGTAGTTGAAGAAGACAACGCGTTGTAGGTACACTCTGAACACAGGAGACCCGACCTTCCATGCATGGGGCCGCTCGCACAACGCAATTCCCTCGTCCAAGGTGGCACCTAAATGCGGCTGTCCTCTTGGTTAGTTGTTGCTGCTGCTGCTGCTGTTGCTGTCAGTTTTGGCTCAGTTCTGGCAGCTAGCGACACTTGCTCCGTGTTTGAGATCCACACGACGATCCAAGTAATTGACGGCGTGCTGTCGAGCAGCGAGTGTGCAGACTACGTGAATGAGGATTCGTCGTTGAAAGTGCTGTGCGCTGCTACAAGCTGCGTGGCTGTGCTGGGAGATTTGGTGCCGAAGCTCCCGAACCGCACGCTCACCGCCAACGACAACGGAGACACCAGTGTCAACAAGAAGTCGGAGCTGCAGAATCATCTGGACAAATGCAGCGCAGACTCGAGTTCCTCGGTGAGGGTGGACGCTGTAGACACGTCGACGAACGGAGCGAGCATTTCGGTGGATGAGTGTACGCGTGTGGAAGCGAGCACCACAGCTCAGCTGTACTGGGAGGCAGCAGGTTCGTCGGCTTGCGGTCCATACTCCAGCATGGACGAATCGAGCATGGAGGTCTACATCAACGCGCCTTGTTCAACTACTCAGTGCTTATCCGTCATGGGGACGCTTGTAGAGCAGCTTCCGGACTGCTATTCAAGCGGGGTGAACTTGAAACAAGACGTCATGAAGTCGCTTGCATCGTGCACCGGAGACGATTCTTTATCTTCGAGATCTTCTGACGAGTGTTCCAACTCCGAAGTCTCTAGTCTGGCATATCTCACGAATTCAATCGTGACGAGCTCGGAGTGTAGCTTGTACGTGATGTCCACGTCGACAGAATGGTACATCGCTGTGCCGTGCAGTGCGACTGCGTGCCTCTCGACTCTTGCGAGTGTAGTCCGGCAGATGCCATACTGCCAGTACGAAGGTGTCAACTACAGGGAGGAGTTGGGTCTACAGCAGAGCTCGTGCTTGACTGGGAATGGGGATGACAGCTCGACGGACAGTTTGAGAACACAAGCACCAGACGCCAGTGTCAACTCGACAGGTACAAGGCACAACTTAGTTAGCGTTTGGTTGTTGCTGCTAGTAGTTACGCTAGTAGCTACGGAGTAGTGAGCACAAACACGCTTTGGGAAATAAAAGAGATCGTATTGTTATGCAACTTAGTCGGATCAACATGAACGCCCCAACACGGGCCGGTGGAGTTAAAGAGCAGCAGCAAGGACAAACGCCACCACAGCAGCGGGGATCGCCACTCCAATCGTCGATGCTGCCGACGACCCCGTAGCAGGAGGAACCGTGTTCCCAGTGAGCTTGTCGCTCGTGGTCGAGCCCGTCGTCGTGCTTGTCGAGGGAGCAGCCGTTCTCAACGAAGAGGAGGAGGAAGACGACGATTCAGTCGGAAGCGCCGAACTCGACGTCGAATCCGTCGCGAGCGCTGCCGACGAGTCCGTAGCAAAGGCCGAGCTGCCTGACGTGTCCGTGAAGATCCCGGACGTGTCGGTCGTCCCGCTCGTGCAGTAGTCGACAGCCGATTGAAGGCCTTGCTTCAGGTTGATGCCGCCGCTCGAGCAGTCCGGGAACCCGTCGAGCATGTCGGTCATGAACTGCAGACAGTCCGAGTTGGTGCAGTAGTCGGAGGCCGTGATGTCCGTGGTCGTCGTGAGGTCGGGGCAGGAAGCCGGATCCTCCGTCATCGCCGAGCTGTAGATGCTCGAGATGGTGGTCAGTTCGTCCGTCGTGCACTCGGCAGCGCGGACAAGCGTCGCGTCCAGCGTTGCAAGGATCGTGGACAGGTAGAGAGCGGAAGTCTTCATGCTTGTCGATGGATTGGGGAGCTTGAGTGAGTGCGTGAGTGAGTGTCTTGGAGGAATGGAAATGGAAAGTGGCGATCAAGGACGGAGAGAGGATGAAGACACGCAGCCATGGAGCTGGGTTGATTTCCCGATATCCATACGAACAGTAAAAGGGAAAGCGATAACGGCAACAACTGAACCTTCTTTCCGTAGACCCACAAAGTGCACGTTTGCAGCTTTTCCACGAAGTGCCACACGTAATGGGTACACCAGTCACTTCAAGCAGCGATTAAAAATGGATACACTGTGTCATCCACACCACATCTACGTGCACCACACTAACCCTGTCAAACTCGTTCATTTGGTGCGAAATGGCTGCCATTTTCATACTCGACGCAATGGCTGCACGTGGATGGGAGCGTGACGAAGACTTGGCCCGGCGGGAGGACGCTGCGCCTGCCACCAGGGCAGCGAATGCAGCAGCAGGTAGCCAAGACGTGGGCGATGACTTGGGTACAGCGGCGGCTGCCAGTGTACCCGCGAAGCGGCGGCGCAACCTATTGCGCGAGTCGCACTTGGTGTCGGCCGAAGGTCTCAAGAAGGTGCACCGAACGTTTCCCTACCAAGTGAGCGCCGACGTGTCGGGCCGCGAGGCGCAGGCGCTGGCGTCGCTCGTCAAGATGTACAAGCAGTGGGCCTTCGACCTGTACCCGGGTCTGAACTTCGAGGACTTCGTGGAGAGGGCGGAGGCGCTGGGCAAGAGCCACCAGGTGCAGGGGCTCATGGCCGACCTGAGGGAGAAGGAGAAACTCAAGGCCATGAAGAAGCGGCCAAGAGAAGAGGAAGAAGAAGAGAATGATAAGGACAAGAGCAGCGACAGTGAAGGAGAAGAAGCCATGCTTTAATTAACTGACAAAGTACTGAAGTGAATAGAATGGGTGCAACGCGAAGGTATTCACTGCGACGTAAAATGTAGCCATGTTTTCAAGATGTAGTCTGCTTCCGGCGGTGACACAATGGACAGGGACTCCACACCATTCGCACCATTTTCAGGTCAATTTAGGGCTTGCAGCATCCACGGTTGTGAATGCTACGCAGTAGTTGGCAGACCGAGTGTGCGAGCAATTTGTTGTAGTTGCATGCAAGTTAACATCTTGTTGACAGTGTCGTCTGCATTCCTAGTGCTTCAAATGTTACGACGTGACTTTGGCTGATGCTTTGACGTTATGGGTCAGAATGCAAATCACCAAGACGCAAAGCATCGGATGCTGCTAGCTACAGTGTGTGTGGAACCACGCTCTCGTTTGGATCGAGGTTTTGCTCTGGAATGACCTGCATCTCCCAGGTTGAAACAGTAGGAAAAATAATAACCAATAGCTATAGAAAATGATCAAGTAAGAATTCGTTTCCCGAGAAGTTCATGTACGCGGGTCGCGCGTATCCAATGGATTAATGCTCGTCGTGTACAGCAGTTCACCGGCTTTCCCAAGAACAGAGCCACGCATACAGTCACACCTCTATAAATGACACCCAGTTCGCTCGGTCTAATACGCTGTTTCAGTTAAAGAATTGATCAGATAAAGAAATGACTACACTTCTAATGTCTACATTTTCAATTGTTAGGTGCACAAGGGCTTTCTTTACCTGTTACCCCTCCAGCATTTCCGTACTCTTGTTTTGTTTCGTCTTCACACAAACAGAACTCACCCAATAACGGTAGGCGCAGTATTGTCTGTTCCTACTCCTTCTTCTCATTGGTATTAGCAGAATCGCACCCCCTCAGGTTGTACGTGAGTTTCAATGCAGGGAGGTTATAGGAATATTTGTTGTCCCGATATCCTGCCACCATGCCTGCATCTTTTGCTTGGTATGTACTGCATAGCCCCTAGTTGTCTCGACATCATAATATTTTATTTTTCGTAAAATTTGTATGTAGGCTGCGCCTGATTGTAAAATACTGTGGCTAGCTTATTTATCACAAGCTTGCAGTTACTGCAAACTCTTTGTTCCAACTTAGCATCCCAAATAAAATATCTCTCTTCGCTCGATTTGTTGTGGCGGGAGTAGTGGTATTGTGCCTTTCAGAAACTTTGGTCAATATGACCTCAAAAAGGTGGTCTTAAGAAGGAGAGCCTCTGCTAACCCTACATTCTCCTGAAGAGGGTAGGGTTAAACCTAGGATTTGCTGTTAGCCCTGCATCGGATTACGGAAGTCCTACGTAGGAGCTCCGTCTTCATCTAAAGGGTACCTTTTTGGAAATAAGGACCGAATGGCCATGTTAAGCTGTCCATTCGGGCCTTCGTAGGACTAACGAGCCCTTCGTAGGACTAGATCACGTCAGTGTGTCTGACAGCATCTGTGGCAAATGCATAGTTTGGCCACACTCGTACAGGCGGAGACTCAGGCAGCACCGCAGCTAGGTCACCATGCCAGCGTGGAGCTACGTACGGGTACGTGTGCTACAGCCTGTAGCCTACAGGTATAACGGTACTGCACACGCTCATTTGTTGGCCTCCCTTCGCAAGCAATTCGCTCAGTTTACATTCAGTTATTGTTTATGCACGGTTTTACTGGCCTTGGTTCTAACTTTTATGAGGTCTTACGTAGGAGCAAGACTCCTACGTAGGACCTCAAATCGGAGGGCGTTTTGGGAGAAAGGCACAATAGCAATGGCATACGTGGGAGGAGGCAGGCAAGTTATTGAGAAAAATATATGAGTTTGGATCTATTACTACTGCGTCCATTTAGGGGGTTGAGGCGCCAACAATGGCGACCATTTAGAGAATAAAGAGGTTTTTGATCAGTTATAGAACACCTATAGTGAAATCGATATAATCCCGTTTGCAGTCGAGGAATCCTAACCAGATAGGGAACACATGGTCAGTTAGAGGGGTTCATTTAGGGAGGTGTCACTGTATTAATAAATCTAGGAATACTAGTGCAACAATTATTAAATAGTAAGCATGTGGATATCCTGGGAAACGCTGCCGTAAGCAATCCTTTGCTGTATCGACGCGAACAAACCTCGAGCTAGACCACATCATTCTACAATTTACCTGGCAACCTACAAGCCCTTCATAAGTTTCAACAAGAATGCGTCTCACCTACATCTTTGCCGTCGTCATTGCCGCTACTCTCCAAGCCAGTGGAACTGCGCTCATCACCACCAGGACCTTAAACCACGCCGCGATCTCCAACGTGGCGTCGGCTGACATCGTTCACTCTATTGATGCCATCGAAGGAAATGGCGGCCGGATGCTGCGCAAAGCGAAGGAAGACCCTGCGTTCGAGGAAGACAATGAAGAGCGAGCAGGAGGAGCCTTTACCAAATGGCTGAAGCACAAGCTCGAGTACTTGAAGGTGTCAGCTAAGAAGCGTATTCCTCGCACGTACGAGAACGAACTTCACCGCAATTTCAGGAATGCGGATTTCAACGGGCGGTTTAAGAGAAACCAGGCCGCTAACATCCGTGCTTCGATAAACTGAGCTATGCTTAAACGGTGGCTACACTGTATCTTCACCACACATCCGCTGCCACTAGTATGGTATTTCTTTTACGAAAATACCGACTGATTACAGATTATTTCGTGGCTTTTGAAGCTTACGTTAATACATGATCCTACTGCAACGTTTTACTTGGGTATTTGATAAATGTAGCGATGCCGTTGCCACGCATTATGGGCTTCATGAGTAGCGACTTTATGGTATCTATATGTGTACATGTAGATATTGATTTACCCTTAGCAAAGTTAGAACTCAAGTTCAGTTCGTCACACCTTGATCGGGAGCTTACACGTGTGCGCGGGTATGTGAGGAAGCGTAGCTTAGTTTAAATTAGAGTTAATTATACTCGGGCCTCCAAGTATAGATTAATCTAAAGAAACGATCCAAATAATGTTTTTGGGTTAAAATGAGAACTGCTATTTTTGTTTTTTATGTTTCTGACTTCCTCTAAATGTAATATTCTAAGATAGGAATCTGCCAACGGCTGATTGGCAGAATTCCAATGCTATGCATGTCGCTCATTGACTAAAAGATGCTACTCTCAGCCAATAGGAATCCTAAGTCTCTAGTCGTGGTGGTCGTAAATGTATGTAGCCTTTGGTGTGTCTATACCAAGGTCGAGAAAGTCTTTCGAACCTCTAACAGACGTCGTATCTGTTAGAGTTACAAGTGACTGTTGCCACTTGTGCGTGTAACCCTGTTACACAAAACCGTACAGACCCGACTTTCTTGCGAACGAGGACGACGGGGAAGCCCCAGCGTGCTCAATCACCCCAGCTGATAGCATAGCGTCCACGTTATTGTCAACCATGGCGTCCTCCGTCTGCGCCTGTCGTCTTCGTCTCATCATAATGAGAGCAGCATCCCCAGTGTCAATGTTATGCTCAACATTGAGTGTCGTAGCAGGTAGACACTCGTCCTATGCGTTGGCTAGGTCGCGATAGGCTCGTAGTAGTCGTAGGATAAGGGTACGGGCATCTGGTTCCTCAGCACCGATGTCCACATCATGTTCGTCGTCCGACGGCGTGTTCGTGTCGCCCAACTCGTTCAACCACGCCTGCACCCGCTCAGGTTGTAGCTCACCATGCATCGTCAAGAGCTCAATGTCTTGATCAATAGGTATCCACACACCTAACTCCTTCCTGCTAGGTAGCTTGATGCGACCGCCGTACGGGTTGATCACGGGGACCAGAGCCTTGCCCTTCTCCACCTTGGTCACCGCCGCCGCTAACAGCACCACTCCATTGTTCACAGTAGGTAGAAACACGCCTTCTTCGTCATCCGGCGCTGCAATCGCCACTTCCACCGTCTGGACGGCGCGTCTCTGCACGTTCGTGGCACTGACCGACCTCACGGCCGCCACTGCTGAGTCATCCTCCGCTTCCGTCGTTCGGAACGGAATAATCACGTCACGGCCACGCTCAGCGTACCGTACCTCACCACGATCAAAGTCCATAGTCGCCCCACGTCCACCTAGGAAATCAGCACCTACGAGGAACACACTCGTAAATCCCTCGATGATGCATGCCTCGATCGTCACCTTCTGGCCGTACACGTTCGCCATCTCAAACGTCCACACACCGGGCACGCCAACAAGAAGCCGCCAATCCCTTCAACATACGCCACGGGAGCGTCAACTCGCTTCCGGTCGCCACGAGCCATCCAGTCGGTGCCTGCCACCGAATAGCGCGCCCCGCTGTCAATCTTCTACTGCTGCGTCGTGCCGTCGACGATCATCTCGGCCGTGGGCAGCCCGTCACCGGCTGTCACGTCCGCATCGCCGCCGCCATCTGCCTCCTCGTCCACAGTGGCGCTGTCGTGCCACACCAGGTTCACGCGGGCTCGTTCGTCAACTCGCATTTCGTCACCGGCAGCACGCTGCTGTCGTCGTGCTTCCAGCGCGTCACGCACTTCGTCGGCTTGCCGCCGTCGCCGTAATACTCGCTCGGCCTCAAGTTCCGCCACTACCCGCGCAACTTCGTCATCGTCACGCTTGTCCTTGGTCTTCTCATGCGCCCGCTGCACCCGCAGCTGTTTCGCTGCGCGCTTGGACCGCTTCACGGCCTTGCGCACCTTCGCCACGTTGCCCAGCTTCACCATCGCCTCGTCCGTGAGCTCCATGCCGAGCTCGAGCGGCGAGGTCTCCATACTCGTCATCTCCGTCGTCACGTGGCTGCCGTGCCGCCTTCCTCAGCCAGTCCCACTTCATCCGTGGGCTCGCCGCCTTCCTCAGAGATTGGCACCTCGTCGGTGTGCGCAGGTGCTGGGCTCGGTGCCGTCACCGGGCTCTCGTCAGCCGTGGTCATCTCTGTCGTCGCCCTCTTCGTCACCATCGTCATATCCACCGTCGAGTGGTCCGTCACGGCGCCGCTGACTTGGTCGTCACCACCGTCATCTGCACGTAGCGCAGGGTGGCCATGGCCGGCCTCACCGTGCTAACGTATCGCTCCGCCCGTCCACTCTCACGACCCGCGAGCTCATCATTCAATTGAGCAGCGACAGCTCTTCTCACTGCTGCCACGCTCCCATCATTCGACAACCTTGCCCTTGTCGGTGGCCACCGTCGCCGGCACCGTCGACGTGTCCGTCATGCACGCCGTATCACCATCGTCGACGACAGCTGGGAAGTCCGTCGTATCCATCTGGACCCACCAGCGGGCCGCGTTGTCCTGCAGCTTGTTTCCCAGAATGTAGTAGAGCTCCTGGTCCGTCCAGCCGCCTCGTCCAGATAGCCTTGCTCCCTCCAGCGCCAAGTCCACGCGTGCAATCCACGTGGTCACGGACGTCTGCGGTGTAGGCAGGAACGTCGGCAGGTCCCAGTCGCGTATGGTTCGGCGTCTGTTGCGATGGAAGTCACCGTCGCCTGGGCGCGTCATGAGTTGTCGTCGTCCGCGTCGCCCACCACCGTCGTTACCGTCGGAGTCATCGTCGCTGCTGGAACTCGACGAGTCATCATCGTCGCTGCTGTCACCGCCGTCGTCACCATCATCGGTCGACTGGAACACCACCTGCCGGCGCGTGGCAGCTGGCTGATCTTGCTGCGGTGCTGCTGGTGCCTGCGATGTACTCGTTGAAGCTGACGGGTTCGTCACAGGCGCTGGCGGCTGCTGCGCTGCGTGTCGGAGTCCGTGGGCGCCCGGGTCGTCACCGTCGTGCTCAGCTGGTCCAGCCGAGCGTCCATTCTGGTCACCATCGTCACCATCTGCTGCAACGCGGCCGTCAGAGCCGTCAGCGGAACCATTGCTGCGCGGTCCGCGCTGGTACTGACGGGTTCCTGCGTCTCACTCGGGGCGTCGTCGCCGCCGCGTTCGTCGTGCCCGTCGCTCGGGGAGGCTTCACGCACTGGCTCGCTCTCCTCCGTTTCTTCGTCCTCGGCTTCGTTCTCAGGCCTTCCTGGATTGGACTCTACAGCTGGCGCCGGAACCGTCGTCTGGGTCTGGCCCGCCGGCTGATTCCGGGTCACACGCTTCGCCGACTGCACGACGACTTGCACGAACTTGGCCCTCGCCATGGCAGCGTCCTCCGGCGTTCTCGTGAGTCGTGGGCTGCGTCTACGTCGATGACTAGGCCCCTGTATGACCACCATGCAACGTGTTTAGCTCCACACGCTCGGGGTTGGTCGTGACCATGCTGATGCGGTCTGAAGTCCGTCTGGTCGACAGTGTCAAAACGCCTGACACTGCGCCGGTGCGTGTCCGACTGACAGCGACACCTATTTTATTTAGGCAAACTAGTCGCGGTATCTGCTACCGTCTAGCTACAATACACGTCTTCTCGCTGTGCACGACTTGGGCTCCGTTTGTCACGCCGTCTCTAGCCCTCGGGTGTACGCCCACTCGCACCTACCCTACTCGTCGCAGCCGTCGAGAGACTCGGAAGCCGTATGCTCCCTATCCGTCGCCTTCGCCGTCGTCCACCGCGTGTAGTCGTCCACCGAGGTCTCTCGTGACTCTGCGCCACGCCCCGCTTGCCGTTCGTTCGTTCGTTCGTTCGTTGTGCCCGCTCCCGAGCACGCGTTGTCTGAGTCGTCCGGCTGTTCGTTAGCCGCCCGATTCGTGAGTCCTCTGGCTGCTTGCGCCAAAGACCTCCAATTCTTGAGTGAGCAGGGCTCACGGGTTCGAAGGGAGTCGGGGTCCAGTGCCACCGATCCTGCCGCCCATGCGGTCCGCTGGATACGCGTTCCACTCCGCCACGAACTACAACACCATCAGTTGGCGTCTCGACGGCGCCCGTCGTCTCATTCACCGTCGCGACGCCGGCCTCCTTACAGCTCCTTGAGCCTCTCCATGTCCGCACGCTCGAGAAACACCAGTACATCCAGTCCGTCAGCTCCTCCGGCAGCTTCCGCAATGACCACCATACCGTCCAGGAATGGGACCTTGGCGATCCCAGCGTAGCACGGACGAGTGCCGTTGAACTGGGCGTCGTACAGCCCCAAGTTGGCCCACGACGTGACATGAGCTCAGGGCCGAGGATGTACTTGGTGCTAACCACGACGCGTGAGAGGTGCTCCTATTCAGCAATAAACTCAATAGCGTCGCGCAAAAGCTCGTTGTCGAGCTCCAAAATGGACGCACGAATTTGACGAGCGAGTTGGATCAGAGTGACGGGATTGATCTCAGCGTCTTCGCCTTCTGTCTCACGCTGCAGTTCCTCTTTGCTGTAGGTCGACAAGGCGCTGAAGACGCAGTTGCCTGCGTAGTTCATGGGCAACGGTGGGTCGAGTCGCCTTCGAGCATTCACACCCGTCGTGATGCGAACGGCTTGGCCGTGGCCTCAAGCTCGTGAAATCAGCACGACGAAGAGCGCCGTAATGATATCGATTGTGCTGACGAAAGGTGAGTCTGTTCTGGATTTTGGAGCTTTAGTATCTACAAGTGCCTTGAGCTTGACCCTGTTCTGTCTGGAGATGTGGAAGGCGTGCTGTGTGGTGGCTGGTAGTTGGGAGATTGAGATCATCTCTCCACTTGGAGAAGACACGATCTTTACTGCTCGATGTGGTCGTTTGTTTTTGAATTGAGGATCATTATTGTCACTTAGCTATCAGCTGGGTCTTCAGATACCAAACCTCGTCATCTGAAGAATGGGGTCCTACACTTTGTAGCTCGATGTGGTCGTTGCGATCCTCGCCCCGTTCCGGAGAGTAAACGCCGGTCATGATTAATCACAAGTCTGTCTTGCCTGGTTACTCAATTATAGCGTCATCCCCATGCCCTCATGAAGGTGAAGAGACCTTCCCCGTCTATCAGAGTATGGTTCACATGCCAGCGTGATTCTGATGGTCACACCACCGTCCGCCAGAGAGGTACAGCGGATTGCAATCGACTCCCTCTTCTCCAACTTCGAAGACATGAAACTCCACTCAAGAGACTGCATGACTTCGTCCGAGGTTAGTGAGTTCTGTGGCTGGTGCTCGAAGCGGAGACCTGCTGCGCATTGTCGTCGAGCTTCAGGGGTCTGCAACACACTCACACGACCAGTGCATGCAGGTTTCCGACGAGAAATCGGTAGTCTTCATTTACCAACTCTTGAAAATAGACCTCCAGCTTCTGGAGATTAAAAGCCCCAGTACAATCCACAGGCGCCGGGAACACGTAGATCACAGCGAAGCCATAGCTCAGCAAGACAGCGTCCATGGGCGACAATGGCACCAACCGATCCATGTTCTCTGTATTTTATCCAGAGTCCATGGGTGAAGGCCACTGAGGTGCCATTATTCTCACCACAAATACCTGCTAGATATGGGTTTGAGCGCTGCTGGTGTTTATAGCTAAAATACCTGCTATACTGGAGAGCCTGCGATCTAATCAAATTTATGCTGCTATGTTGACCCATCCGGTTGAGATTAACGCGAAAGGGTTAAGTCAAATTACCTATTATTTTGCATACCCTTTAATCAAGTATATATACCTGTGATAGATTATCTGCAACTCAAGCGACATCCATCGGATTTTGTTTTCGCTCCAACAACATGCCGACGGGATCCCATCTTCAACGGTGACGACTTATTAGTTAGGCATTAAGACGAAAGTATCGGCCACTGGCACCTACATGATTAGCTATGGCCTGTGGCAAGAGCCATTATGTCCGGTATCATTAGTGAAGACCCAGAGGTCATGCGACTCAGGCCTCGTGCGCAGGCAGCTAGCACCGGAGCCGTGAGGTGATGCCGTCTCTCGAGAACGCGTTCCAGTAAGTTGATGGAGCTCGGTACTCCGTTCAACTCGACAGGAATCATCAAGAATCGCGGCTACATCTACGTAGACGAGATCGACATCCTTACGATCGTCGGGGTCGGCTAGCTTGCTACAATCCCCAACTTCCCGTGTGTTATGTTGTAAATCAGTTTCTTCTTACTAACAGCGGTGCAAATTCTGGGCAGATGCTGCGGCTGCGAAGCAGGCTCAGAAGATGCCCTTGGGTCGTACGGGTCTTACTACCGAAGTATAACCAAATTAGTTTTTGTACTTTCCTATTCAGTATCAAACGGCCTTTATTCGTGCACTTGATCGGTCGGCTAGAATCGGTATTTCCATCAAGCGAAGCGAGGTGGAAATTAAGTTTTCCTGCACAAGAGGAGAAAGCCACGTTGCCACAACTGGAGCTCAGTCATGATTCGCGCTCAGCTGCATCAAGTTCAGCGACCTGCTGATGCTGGAGAGCCCCATGGCTATGATTAGGATAGACTGTCCGATAAGCGATTTTCATCCGGGGGTACGAGGAACCTTCGGTTCTAAAGGCCCAGCGGTTTTGCTCCGCCACATCGCACAGAGTAGTTATAGATAGGTAGTCGTTCTTGATCGTCTCGGCCGGCCAGTCGCGCTTTCACCTGCTCGGACACAAGAGGCATTCCGACGGCCAAGACACCAGCGCTGCGGCTCGACCAATCGCCCGCGCTTCGATTCGATACCCACCACACCACTCCCTAGGCTGCCTCATCTCGGCTCATTACATGACCCTCACCGAGGCTCGCCTCATTAATCAAGAACGACCACCTTTGCCCCCAACGTGCGTTCGTATCGCAGGAAGGAAAGCACAGATTCCATCTTACTCAGTTAGCGATCTCCTTACTGCATGATCACCATTAACGTTGGCCAGCTGCTCGAATTCATGTTGAGCAGGTTGTGTTTTCTTATGCACGATGATATGGTGGGTAAGATAATCAGTAAGCGTTGGTTTGAGTGATATTTTAGTTTTTTTCGGCTACTGTCAGGTAGTTAAATAAGCTATGTATGTGCAACGGGCTTTCTGAAAAACAAAATACAGTCATTTACCGACCCTAGCCTACGTGAAGCCCTAGTACCGCAGCAGTGCGTCCGGTAATCAACACCTCTAGCTCTGTGAATAATTGGTCGTTTCGCTTGTGGCTAAAGGGAGAGACTATGTTGCTCCTTGGTCCTATTATTTCAAATTGCACTTAAAAATGTCAGAACTGAAGTACTTCAAAAATGCACTACCAGCTCAAACCTCTAGTGAATTCAAGAACGGCCACTATTCGTATAAATCTGTTAATTCAACTAATAGTGGTTACCCTCAGCCAATACCATATCTCTACTCCTTTCTGCAATTGGCACGTAGAAACAAGATGCCGCAGTACACTAACTTGTATACCCAAGAGCGACGTAAAATCCAGAGCTGTTTGGGCAGAGCACGGCCTTGTCAGGAGCAGCAGGAGTGTTCTCCGGATTGTATATCCAGAGTCCATCCAGGCATGCCAATGGCGGTCCTAATACACGAAAAATAAATATCTTGACCAATCAGATTTATGACGTAGGGAAAAAAGCTGATTCTTACCTCCGACAATATATATCCGGCCGGGTTGTGATATTATGCTCGTATGTCGACCCATCCAGTGAAGATTGCGATAAAATGCCTAGGAAATGTTCTTCTCTGTCAGATCAAATAAAATACTGTCAAAATCGATTTATCTGCCCAGGATGTCGGGGAAATAAATATTACCCGTGGCAAATGATAAATCTATCCCGCTCGAGCAACATCACGGATGCGTCAAGTTCTCCCTGCCTCCGCATTAGATCGGCCTAGACTCTGCATCACCGACTCCTCCTTGTATAGCTCAAGCTCATGCACATGTAGCTAAAGACCTTCGGATTCGTGAAGCGCTTGTTAGAGTGATAATTGACTCCCGTCTAGTCTTGAGGAGGCTCTTGGAGATCGCATGAAGAAGTTTGCTCCGCACAACTCTGTGGCGGAAACGAACTGACATCTACGACTGTTGCTTGCAGTGCGAGTCCGAGGCACGAAACACGGCTCGACGCGTGCTGCGCTTCGATACAGCCCCAGCACGTCGCCTCTTGGAGTTGGAGGACGGACCTCGTGAAGAAAGCGCTTCTGGCGCCACGAACCGTAGCCGAACTACAGCAACTCAACGGATCGACCAGCTGGAAACTGGATTGACGGATTTAAGGCAAGAATTTGCGGTAGCTCATGATAGTCTACGGGTTGAAGTCACCGCTGAATTGACGAACCTGAACAGCAGTATCGGTGCAGAAATGACCGAGATTAAAGGGCATCTGTCGAATCTGGTGCAAGCGCTGCACAACGTCAACGACGCTGAACCAGATTCAGGCGGCTGCAGCAACGGCTATAGATAGCTACAGATAGCTGCGGAAGCTCGGGCCCAAGCTCAGGTTACCCAACAGAGTGCCCCAGCTACAGCGTCAACTGCGCCAATTACGACCCAGCCCCAAGCCGTATCTGCCCAAGTCCAGCGGGCTGAGACTCCGGCGATCGCTGACGTGAACATGATGACTCCGGCCGAGGCAGGAAGGACGTTTGCGTCCACACGTGGAGATGGACGTCCACCATTACGCAAGATGGACGTCAGTCCGCCAACATTTGATGGATTAATTGACGGAATCAAGCTCAACTCGTTTCTCTTTCAATTCGAGTCCTACTTCCAGCAGAAGGGCTACCGTTTAGATCGAGATGATCATTGGCTTCCTGGAGAATTGAACCAGTGCGTTCGGAAGAATGCTGCGGTTTGGTACGAGCGCTACATGACGGATGATACGACGATCAAGTTGTGGAGCGTTATGAAGGTTGCGATGATCCGAGGGTTTCGCGAGCCAAATTTCCAGGCTAAAGTGCGCAACCAGCTGCTGCAATTGAAGCAGACTGGAGCGTACCACGGCTACGTGAATAAATTTCGTGAACTACAACGAGTAGTGGGCCTTGATGAACTGACGGCGATCAACGTGTTCGTGAATGGACTGGCCAACACGCAAATGAAGATTGCAACCAACGCAAGCAGCCGATTACTCTGACCGCTGCGGTACAAGAAGGATTCCTCGAGTGCGAGCTGCAGGAAAAACCAGCAACGACCAGCCAGCGCGGCAATGACCATGTCGGCTTTGGGAAAAAGCAACAAGGAGTGAAACAAAAGCGGAACAACGAGAAAACTGATCAGCGTGGTGTGAAAAGGCTCGGTGGATTTCGCCTCCGAACCCAGGTCCAGCTGACCCGTATCAATCCAGGATGCTGACCCGTATCAATCAAGCAGACTTCAAGTGCGTCATGGCCGCGATGGACCTGGATCACCAACTGTCGGACACGAGCCGTGCGATGAAGGAAGCTGAGCCCGAGGTCTGGGCGGAGCTCCGCTCAGACTCTGGGCTTGAGTGAAGTTTGTCTGAGACCTGAGATGTCTGGTGTTGGGTATCCCAAGTCTGAGCTGAGTCCAGGAAGCAGTGAGAAGTTACGCAGAGTTTGAGCTGAGCCTCGAGTGTGATGACCGGAGTCCCCGCTCAGGTCGAGGAGCTGAGCGGATCCGGGTGGAGTTTGAGCTCAACCTCCCCAGTGGTTGTGGGGCCGTCGTCCAAGATGCCGAGATGAGTCGAGGAGCAGGCGTCCGAGCGAGGTCGTGCCGAGCCCGTCTTTTACTGTGATCATGTAACTTTCACCCAAGTCGACAAGCTGGGCAAGGATCGAAGGTCTGAGCGAAGTGACGTGGAGTCCGAGCCCGGCCTCGAATGCGATGTTTGAAGTCTTTGCTCAACTCGAGAAGCCGAGCAGAGTGTTGCGGACCTGAGCGGAGTGGCATGGGTCTGAGCGGAGTTGTCGGAGTCCTGTTGAAGTGCTGGGTGGAGAGTCGCTGAGCTTAAGTCCGGACAGTGGTACTGACGGCGAAGTTGGTGGCACCGGCGAGTACACTCATCCGGTGAATCAGCCATGAGCCAGCCTACATTGGGTGCGACCGCCCAAGATCGCGGACACTTCAAGCGGATCTCAACGGCCTCCAGCGGCTCAAAGACGACGCCCGCCGACGTGGAGCCGCCGCATTGGCCAAGACCGGGGGATATTACGCCCCCACTTAGTGAGTCCTAGTTTGTGCATGTGTAAACATTTAAACAGAGTTCGTTTTGCCCCGAAGGACGTAAGGGGTAGAAGTCTTTGGCCAGAAGGTGTCTTGGCGACCATTCACACAAATTCAAGCTAACATATCAACGTTGTCAGAGTGCTTCGGTGCGACGGCAGTACGGTTATTTCATACTAACCGAGCGCCGCAGCTACGCAGCGGTGAATTTTTGGTTGGTTAGCGCTTCGCTCGCTATGCTCGCTGCGCTATTGAAACAGGATGCCTACGCTTCGCTACGGCAGTGGCGGACCCGTTCCGCTCGCCTCGTCGGCTCGCTGCACTACTCTCAATGTTGAGTTACTATAGAGAGACCGGGGCGGGTCCTGCGGCCCCGCAATATCGTACGAGGGGGTCGCCTTCGGCAACGGAGCCGCCTTCGCTGCGCTCGGCAGCTAATCGGAATTAGTAGGAATCGTACTTAGTGAATAAGCGTGACGATTTTGTGACGGACGGACAGCGCGTCTTTCTGATTGATTTCTAGGATTACTGTTACATCTTAGGGTGTATTTCATATTTTCGGGTGGAAGGTGACCCATTCTGAGATTTAGGCAGGGTAATTGTATTGTGTGCTTGGGGACATTGGCGTGCCCCGGTGCATTGTGTGATTATTAGTATCGGTTCATTGTGGACCTGGTGCGCGAGTAGTCCCAGGGTGTGTGTGAGTGCCTTGGATTCGGCCTAGGCTCAAACCGAGTCACTAACTCCAGACCGGGTCGTTGCTTGACTCGAAGAGAAGAAAGGACGAGCCTCGCCCAGGCTCAGAGAAATAAAGGCGAACTCGGCCCAGACCCAGGCCGACCGGGAAAGAAGGGGTGTTGTGGTTCTGAGCCGGAACCAAAGAGAGGAAGTGGAGGCTATTGTGTGTGGTGTTGTGTTCCTTAAGGAAAACCCGGGGCATTTCGGGCTGTGGACACGTGCGGACTGGGACTCGTCAAGTGGGGAGCGAGTTTCGTCTGGGAAACCTCCGGAGACCTTCAAAATCGACAGCAGCTGGTGTGGCCGACGCGAGTCTGGGCCCACAGCGTAGCCGTGATCAAAAGAAGCGCCAAGGGCATCGCAGAGTGAGGAACACACGCCTCGCCCGACCCGAGGCGGAGCTGAGCCAAGCGTTCAAGCGGCTAAGCCTAGCGAAGCGGAGTGGGAGTGTTCGCTCTGTGGAAGGGGCTGAGCGGAACTATTGCAGCGCTAAGCAGGGCTGAGCCAAGTGGTGCAAGGGCTGAGCGAAGACCAAGGTCGAGCGGTCTAGCTACCTGAGCCTTCAAAAAGCACGGGCGATTCGTCACACGTGGTGCGCGTGCCTGGATCAGGGATAAGACTTTGGACGGACAAGCTACAGTCATGTCGACTGCTGCTGATTCGAAGGAAACCAAGACTGGAGTTGAGAAGAGCGAGTCTTCGCTTCGGCGAAGTTTGAGAGTGGCTGGATTGCCAGCCGTGGTGCCGACGGAGACTGGGACGTCCAGGGCGAGAAGATCGACTGCGGGAGCCCGGACACCCAGTGCTGAGGGAGAAGCTGCATCGTCAGGCGAGACTACGCCAAGCGCTGAGCCGGAGGTGCCACTAACGACGGAAACCGCTGTGCCACCACCAAGTTCGCCCGAGAAGAAGAATGAGGATGAACAAGGTGGTGGAGCGGGTACTCAGCCAAGTGCTCGTGTTGGTGAAAGTCCAAGCCTGGGAGAGCCTGCTGTGAGTCGAGCGTTGACGCCGCGCAGGACTTCTGAGGCTGCGACTGCAACTTCTCAGCCGCAAGGTGTTAACCCGAAGCCAACTGCTGCGGATCTCCGCAGTGGCCAAGCCGAGGGTGGTGCACTGAGCGTGCTTGGAAGCCGAGATGCAGCTGCGAGCTCATGGTGCTGCTGGGACTGGGACGGGCCCGGTCCAGTTCAGCTTTACTCCGGGAGCTGGATACTTCGGAGCGTCAAGTGGTGGCGGAGCCTGGTCAAGTTCACTCTAGCCGGACCGACGCCCCTACCAGAGGCTGAGAGGAGTCCCCGAAGGAGTCGAGGCTGACGGCCGAGCCTTGGCCCAACAGTCTGAGCTGTCGGAAGTTTAGATGCTCGCGTACGGCCGAACCCAGTTCGAGATGTGGATGTCTGTGCCTGCTGGAGTCGTGCACCTGGTGGATGGGGCCTATTCACCATGTCATGGAGGCTACGATCTCTGGGGTTTCATCCGAGTGGCTGGAGCTACGGCCAGAAACTTGGTGTCTGTGACTCGGTCGCCCGCTGCGAGATGGCTGAACGTGTTCCATGCTGAACGTCGACGGATTCCTGCCGTCTCTGACCTGAATGAAGGCAGTACGCGTGGCGCTGAGACTGATGCCGCCCATTGCATGCGTCGCTTTGTTGCAGACGATGCTGCATGAAGCTGGCTATGAGTTCCTGAACCAAGTCCCAGTGTGGCACACGCTGTCTGAAGTTGCTGGAGTCCCGGACTCGCAGATCCGGTTTGAGATCGAGCGCATCGCCCGATTCCTCGGAGCTGAGCCCAGTGCCTGGAAGGCTGCGGTCGGGTCAACCCCATACTACTTGAGGCCGACCTCAGACTCTCAGCTGATGGCCGCTCAAGCTGCCGAGACTCAAGTTGGATTCCCTCTGGACCAGGATGGAGACGCGATCATGGATGAGGACACTCAGCTGTTCCTGGGGCCCGAAGTCGTGATGCGCCTTCAGCTCACTGGTCTCAGACCTCGAAGTCCGACCTCAAGTGTCGAAGGCGAGCCTTCTCGAAAGCGTGCATTGCTGACGAGGTCTTCTGGTAGTGGCTCGATCCCGAGCTACCACGAGTCTGGCGAAGCTCCTGCTGAGACTGCGCTCGGATTCCGTAATGACCGAGTGCGAAGCATGGTTGGTGCAAGCTCTGGTTCCGACATGTCTTTGATGGTCACGGATGAAGGGGGAAACCTGTTTGGAATAAGTTCCTCTGGTTCCTCTCTGATGTCTATGACTGACTACATGGTTGGGACTGGGACGCACATGCCCATGTCGACGGCGACGGTGATGCGAGGCTCAGCTACGACGATGTCCCGCAGCTCATTCCCGGGAATGAAGATCTCAGTCACACCTCAGCTTACTCAGGCTGGTCCCGTACCGGCCAGAGCTGAGCAGAGGCCATATTGACCTGAGCATCCAGCCCAGATACCGCTGCCAGGCAGTCCTGAGTCCAAGCGTTCAGCCCCGAAGCAAGCTGAGACCCGACAAGTGCGGTCCTCGGGATTCCGGTTCACGCATCCATCAGTTATCGGCTCCTCCGGAACGACGACTTCTGATGACTTGCCCTCAGTCGAGCGAGACTACCGGCGAGCCCTTCAGCAGAGTGAAGCTACAGCCTGGGCACGCCTTGATGCACAGCAGAACCAACGCCGAGCTCTTGAAGCTCGATTGAGTGCAGCTCTGAGGCGGAGCAAGCCCGGCTGCAGGAGGAGTACCGGAAACTTCAGGCGACCAACGTTCGGATGTCCGAAGCCCAACAACAGGCCAAGACGGAGCAGCAGAAGCAGCTTGAAGCCTTGGAGAAGCTGGCCCAGCGCCGCGCTGCCGAAGAAGCTGAGAAGCCCAAGGCGGACGAGGTTTGAGCTCAGCAACTGCTCCAAGTCCAAAAGGCGCTCCAAGAGGCTGAGGTAAGGGTTATGCAAGTTGAACAGCGGAAGGCACAGGAAGAACGAGCTGTCGAGTTCAAGACTGAGCACGAGCGGGAACTACTGAGGCTGAAAGAGAAGCATGCGCAGGCAGAAGCAGAGCACCAGTGGGTCATGCAGGAGCAGGAGGAGAAGACTTGCCAGCTCCTTGCAGCCCAGGAGCAGCCCGGTCTATATCCTGGCCCCGTCTCCTCGACTGCTGGACGTGTGCCATTGCCAGCGGATCCCCCGGTCCCTGCACCTGTCGTGTCGGCTCGATCGCCGACCGATCCGGTCCTAGCGCAGTTTGCCTAGCTCACGAGCGTGATGCAGCAGCTGCTCCAAGCCAACCAAAACAAGTCTGAGGTGACTGGTATGAGCCACAGTGCTGGCAAGATCCAAGGTTCGGCCAAGCGTGCTGAGACCAAGTCTAAGTCTCGCGCATCAAGCGCGACGTCTGGCGCGAAGGGCAAGGCTCGGGCGACCAAGCCTGGCAGGCCCGGAGACTCGGACGGGGACGACTCTGGCTCGGACGACTCAAGCTCAAGTGATTCGTCGCAAGATGAGCTCGAAGGACAGTTTGGTGCTGTGGCGCAGCCTAAGGGGACTGATACCAGTTCTGGAACCCGCGTGGTCGCTCAAGCGATGATTCCCCATGATGCTTTGGAGAAGTTCGACCAGAAGGGACCGCTGGAGGACCGAGTCAACTGGTGGGAGAGGTTCATGCACTACGCTACGATGGCCCCCTGGGACGAGAAGACCCGGGTGGTCCAGTTACGCATGAGACTCACTGGTTCCCTCAAGGATTGGCGCACTCAGCTAACGGATGACGTTCGATCGGACTGGAAGAAGTTGTCTCACGTCTTCAAGAAGGAATGGTGCCGCACGCTGAGCTCCAAGGCCGAGCGGTACTACTCGATGGAGATGAAGGACTCCGATACACCTCGGATGTTCTTCTACCGTCTGAACCATGTCACCAAGAAGGCTGGAATCCCGTATCGGGGACCGACCGTCGATCGCGAGGCTCATATCCGACGTTTTATCAAGCCTTTCACTGACTCAAGGCTGAGGACTACTCTTCGGGAAAGCGTTTTGATACTTTGGATGAATTGGAGAAAACCCTGAAGAGGATTGAGGATCTCCGCCAAGACGAGAGCTATGAGCAGAAGCGGCGCCCAGCGCAAGGACTTCAGTTTGGACGTTTCAAACCTCCACAGCCTCGAGCTGAGGGACGTGCGTTCAAGGCGGAAGGTGTGGAAGTTGACCCAAGTCTGGGACGACATGCACACTTCCAGGATGACTACGACCTGAAGTACGAGGCTGATTCTGCAGAAGATGTGGACCGCTCGGCTGAGCGAACCGTGTCTTCTCCTGTCCCCGCGCCAGCTCCTGCTGCTGCAAGCTCAGCTCAGGCTGAGCCCAGTCGCTCTACCTCCCTGACCAATGAAGAAATTTTCCGAGTCGCTGAGAAATTGGCCTGGAAGCCGAACGCTCAGTGCTATGACCGTGGAGGAGACCAGCACCCAGAGCAGAAATGTGACGAATGTGGCAGTCGTAACCACCCGACTGACAAGTGCTGGAGCCGACTTATCTGTGGGCGATGCCACGATGAGGGTCACCCGACCCAATTCTGTAGGCGTCAGACGTGTTCCAAGTGTGGCGAATACCATCGCCGTGGTTTGTGCGATATGTGGTCGGCGCTCAAGGCGGTACGCGAGGCAATCCGTACTGGAGGTTCGGTCGAGGGCCTCGCTCCTGAGGTAATCCAAGCTCTGTTGGATAACCCGGAGCTCCGAGAGAAGTCGTTAAACCACTAGGCTCGCTGGTTGGGAGACCAGTGCGTGACGAGCCTAAGTCCCAAGCGCTCTGTGCCTTTGCATATGTGGGCCCAGCCCTTCCATGTTGGCGCAGAGATAACCCCGAATGTGCAACTTCTTATCATGAAGCTGGTGTTTATACTTTCGATCCTGACCTCAACACGCTGGACCCGGAGGATGAGATGGAGAACCATCTCGAGTTTGCTCTGACTCCGGGCGAGAAGTATGGTTGGTGGAGTGAACACACGCTGCCTGGCGAGATGCGGAAGATGGCGATGGTGCACGGAGCAATCTTTCATCACCGAACGCAGATACTACTGGATACTGGAACTACGACAAGCATTTTGGGCTTGGATCTTGCACGCAGATTGAAGCTCAAGCTACGCCGTGGTTTCAGACTCAGAGTAACTGGGATGGGAGATGCTCCGACCTACATTACCGCCCAAGCTAAGATCAAGCTGACGCTGGGAGTGCGCGTGGTGTACGTTATGGATGTCTGGGTTGGCAACATCGGTGAAGGAGTTGATTGTCTTCTCGGAATGGACTTTATGGTGGCAGCTGGAGTACGGCTCTGTGCTCGTCAAGGTATTGTGAGGCTGCCGGACGAAGAATCTCTGTTGTTGGTTGGAGGACCTGAAATCGACCATGTCGGGCTGGAAGGCAGCGTCTGGTTGAATGAGACTGCCTACCTTTACCCTGGACAATCTGTGATAGTCCCGGTCAAATATCACCAAACTGACCCAGAGAAGGTGATTCCCTGGGCCGGGTGCGGTGATCAGTGGGTTACACAGTTCATCTATGGACCTGGGCGGAGGCCGAAGGCTGTCAAAGTGGTCAACATCTCAGAGCGAGAAGTCATGATCCGCCAGCACACTGTGGTTGCTTGCCTTGTGGAGAAGGGTTACCTGCCCAACGGGAAGCGGTTCGCGCGACCTTACTCGTGGAAATACAGCGAATGGGCTCAACTCATCTACGAAGCCGAGCCCTCTCCAGATTTTCTGAGGCAAGAAGAGGAAGCGGCTCGGCTAGCTGAGCTCAACGCCCCACCCGCTGTGGAGAGGCCAGTCTACAAGCGACCTATGAAGCTGCTGCTGCTGAAGCAGTTGAGGCGAGGCGGGTGAACGCCTTGATCGTCCAGGTGTATAGCGCACTATGCCGGACCGAATCGGTTCGGAGTACCAGAGATATCCGCTGCAATCCGGTAGTCCTCGGAACACAGGATGTGAACCAGAGGCCGGGAGGATCGCTTGGACTTGGCGTGTGTCCTTGTGTCAACCCCTATAGGTATCGATTACCTTTGGCGGACCGGACTTCACCGAGTGAGTTGTTGTAAATACAGAATCGAGTCTGCTGGGTGTGTTCCTGAAACAAACTACACCGAATGAACAGAAGGTCAGACCGAATCGAAGGGACCACAGTCAGATCCACAATTCAATATAACCAACACACAGAAATACAATGCCGAGCTAAACGTCACAAAATATACAGCCACCACTTATTCTTAAGACCCTTGGGTGGGGGGTCTATACGCCAGTCAACTTACGAGCCGTCACCCAAGGCACTGGTCAACCCTGGATGCACACTCACTTACGCGCACCACCCTCACAGAGTGAGGGAACAATACAAAATATAAGTCAATCCTATCACACAGTAGTCAATCAATTCAGTCTGGGGGGTGACTACCTCTACCGCCTAAGACACACAGGATGGAATATGAAATGGATGCCCGGATAGAGCACGCAAATTGGAAATAAAACTCTCACAGATCACTCAAGGGCGATACACCCCAGTCCCTGCCGGCTTTGCCTTGGTACCTTTGAGTCCCCATTACACCAGTGCTCGCAACACCAGTGAGGCCTTGAAGCGTCCTCCGTTTTAAGATCGCACGAAGGCGGATCCCACGTATAAGCTCTTGAAGATGTCAATGTCAGGGGGAATTCCCAGCCCGAAGAAAGACGCCCGCGTGTTATCGGCAAATTGGTTTCTGTTCGATCTTACGTTTGGCTAGCTATCTGCTCTACTTCACTGACTTCTAATAAAGGTTTCACTATGCTTGACTTGTCTTGGATATGCTTCGGCATTGTGCACGGGACTTCGATCTTCTTGCACTGAGCTTGGGTATGCTTGACTTGGCTTGGTTATCGGGGAACTTGTCGACGTCAACGTTCCTTCGGCAACACTCATCATCTGGCGACAGAGGTACGTGGGTACAGCGACTCATCAAATCCGCACTGGACCTCTGCGTCTAATCACGTGAGCCATTTTGTGTCGCTTGACGTTCTTGGTCGATTCGGTCCTGGATTGCTGCTACACACACAGCAGTACTGGACATGTTGTTGGTGCGGTCACGATCCAGTATGGGCACCAGGGGTCAGACCGAATTGATCATCCGGTCCGGCCTCATTCGGTACGGCACCTTAGCATCCGGTGCGTCGCTACCGGGTGCACCACGATCCAGTCCGGTAAACAGTGTACTTTGTCCAGCGAGGTCTTGTGCGCATGGGGGCATGGTGAACTTGGGGGTAGGTCCGATGTCTTGACGGAGCCAATGCAGGCAGAGCCAGGATACGTTCACTGGCTGCACTTGCGCGCCTTAGGCTTATCCTGCGGTCAGGGAAGTCGGCGGACGGACAGGATGTGTTACTCCACACCGAATATGAGCGCTCATCCGGTGGGCACATCTCCGATCCTGTGAGCCCATGCTTACTGCAAGCACCGGGTCCCGCCAAATCCACCTTGCGCATCCACTATCCACATGTCACACTCCACGTCACTGGATTCCTGTTCACTGCGACCAGTCACAGTCAGGCGAAGGGTCGTCCCATCCCAGCGGTCAGACATGGGTGCGGATAAAAATCCTTTCCCACATCGTGTCACAGTCTGATGACCCGAAGGAAGACCGAGCCAACATGAAGCAGCGGAGAGCTGAGGCGTATGCCGCCAATACCGTAGATGGCCCGGACACATCTGGGACGTCCTGCCTCATGGAAGCCGCCGCTGCCACGATCGCCTCACCCGGATGATGTGCAGTCAGGGACGAGTCAAGGAAGCACATCGGAAAGAGCTGACACTCAGTCTGCGACTGAGCCAAGTTCCTCGGAGTCAAGCCCAGCTCGAACCTCTCCTGCTGGAGGTGGTGTGAATGCCCAAGAAGCTCAGAACGAGCTGGAGCGAGTGTTCAGGGCTGAGCCGACCGACTTCGTGTCTGATCCAATTGCTCGTCTTCAGGAAACGTATGCTCGTTGTCTCGGAGTTGAGATCAGTGAGGACGCCGATGAAGCTACGGTGTACTTCCATGAAGGCACGAATTGCTGAATGACCTCCGGGACCAGCTCGCCGCTCTTCCGGAGTTGAAGGATCTCAGTCCAGATGCGGACCTCTCAACGGCTAACGTGGGAGAACCAGGCGTTACGACTCCAGAAATGGACGCTCAAGTGCGGTCGATTCTGGAAAGACATCATGCCAGTTTTCTCGGGGACGGGAATGCAGTACCAGCCCCTGCCCGTGGAGTTGTCTGTGACTTGGATATTGGGGACGCGAAGCCCATAGCTCAGAGGAATCGGCAAGTTCCGACACACTTGCTCGACAAGGTATTTGCTCTGATCAAGAAGCTGCTGGAGACTGGGCTCATCGAGTATTCACATTCAGATTGGGCTTCGCCAATTGTCATTGGGATGAAGAAGAACGTGTGGACATCAGGCTGTGCTTCGACTATCGACTAACTGATCAAGCTCTCACACTACCCTCTGCCCTTGATTGACGATCTGTTGGTCGGGTTTGAGAAAGCGATGTGGTTCCTGAGCTTGGACATGGCCAGCGGATTCTGGGCAGTGCCGATGCCACTCCGAGCCATGCTGATCTCAGCCTTCATCTGTCCGCTGGGACACTTCCAGTGGAAGCGCATGCCGTTTGGTCACAAGAACGCCCCACTGATCTACCAGCAGATGCTCGATAATTGTCTGTGGGGTTTCGTGCGACTTCCGCCCTGCGAGGAGGCCCGAGTTGGTCCGGACGTGCTGGAATTCCTAGGCATCGAGGTGAACGACTCCGCTAAGGAGGAAGAAATCCCTCCTCTGTCTGAGGAGACTACCGTGTTCCGGCGAAACATTCCGGCCCCGCCTCAGCTGAGTCCTGTTCTGGGACGAAGCTCCTACATCAATGAAATCGCATATGGAGCAGAGACTTGGGACCAGATGTGCGAAGTCTTGGACCGGTTGCTTTATCGACTGAGGTACTGGGGAATTTCGGTGAGCTTGCTCAAGAGTGAGTTTGGCAAGAAGTCTATCTCCTACCTCTCGCATGAGATTGGAGCTGAGGGGATCCGAGCTAAGCCGAAGAGTCAAGGACTTGCCGTTCCCGTCGACGTTGAAAGGAGTGCAGTCATTCCTGGGGAGTCTTAACTACTACAACAAGTTTATTGAGGACCTCCCGGCTGTAGCGTCTGTGCTCTACGAGTTGACGGATGAGCAGATCCAAGCTGGACGTGATCTCGGCCGAGCTATGGAGGCGTTTGAAATCCTGAAGCAGAAGATTGTCTCTACCCCGCTGCTCAGACACCCGGACAGGGAGAAGCCGTTCGTGATTATTCTACACGCTAATCCCTGGGCAGTCTGTGCGGTGCTGGGCCAAGCGTACGATGGAGTCATTTTCCCGGTGCGATACACTGCATGATCAGGAGCTCAGATACCACCCGGCTGATAAGGAGGTTGCAGCGTTGCTCCGAGTTCTCAGAGTCTTCTACTCGATGCTGAGTGGTTGCAAGCTGCTGAAGGTCTACACGGTTCTGAAATGGTTGTTCAAGTATCGGTCTCTAGAGGGACGCTGTGAGCAGTGGGCTGCACGTCTGTCGCCCTGGCCTTTGGAAGTTCACAAGGTCGAACGCGATGAAGATGGTTTGGCCGCGATCATGGGAGCTGGGATCACCCCCCGTGAACAGTTGGACAAGATCGCAGAGAACCTCATCCCAGACAAGGGACGAGTTGTCCGAGCCCCACCGATCAGCTTGGAGATGCTGGAGGTGGACTACGAGGGATGGCTGCTCAGCTTTGATGGAGCTGCCAAACTCTCGGATCACTCTGGTGCTTCTGGCTGCATTCTGTGTCCTGGGATGTGGTTGAAGCTCGAGGATCCACTTCGAAGGCATTACGGTGAACGAAGCCGAGTACCATGGACTGGTCGAGGGAGTTCGCATGGCGAAAGCTCGTGGCATCTAAGACCTCGTGGTGGTCGGTGACTCTCGGCTTGTCATTCAGCAAGCTCAGGGCTTGATCCAGTGCCTGAGCCCAGGGCTGCAAGTGCTGTTGGCTGAGTTTGAGACGCTTCGCCCAGAGTTCCAACGATTGCGCTTGGTACATGTGAAGCGAGAATATAACGCAGTTGCGGACTACCTCACGTCGAAGACGCTGGTGATTCAAGGTCCTGTCACCATTGAGGATCCGGTTGAACTGGTTCAGCTCAAACAACTGAATCGGATCCCGGAGAAGCTGATCAAGGTGAATGAACCTGAGCCTGCTGAACCTGAGACAGAGCAGCCTGACACTCAAGCTGATGTGGAAGTGGTGGCTGAGCCAACTCCGCTGGAGGATGCTGCCAAGCCCCTGCTGCCCAGCGCTATGATCTTCGTGGTGACTAGGAACCAAGCTCGGGTCAGGGACGCTGAAACCACAACAGCCAGGGACGACTCCGATCAAAGTGTCGATCCCGACCAGAATGTTGAGCTCCCCGCTGAGCAAGCTCCAGTGCACTCACCTGAAGCGGCAACTCCTGCTGCGTCAATCGCTGAACGATGGAGACGCATCCTAGTTCTGCAGGGGGCTGAGCCCTGGACGAAGAAGCTCAAGGATTATCTGAACGGAGACTTGGGGAATCTTTCAGCTACTGAGGCTGAAGATGTGGTCAAGGTGGTGGACCAATTCACCCTTGATTCGAGAGGAGTCCTGTACTATCTGAGTCGGGCTACTCCGGGGAGGCCCAGGGACGAAGCTGGGAATCTGAGATTGGTTGTGCCAACGGCGCTGAGAGATGACTTGCTTCAGTTCAGCCATGAGGAGTTCCAAGGTGGTCATCAAGGGATCACTAGGACCTTCGAACGACTGCGCAGGTAGTACTACTAGTTGAGGATGTACACCGAGGTGGAACGCTATGTGAAGGAGTGTGTGGATTGTGTCACTGCCAAGGGAGCTCCGCCCAACCCTGGGCCGTCGCCGGGAAACATTTTGGCGACTAAGCCCTTTGAGGTGGTCTCTATGGATTTCGTTACGCATCTACCCAAGTCCGACCGTGGAAATGTGTTCCTGGTCCTATTCCAGTGTGCATTCTCAGGCTTCATCATGTGCAAGCCGATGAGTCTGACCACAGCCCAAGATGTCGCTGAGGCCTACATGGAGTGTGTGTTCCAGAGGTTTGGTGCGAGCTCTCTGCTCCGCCCTGACCGTGATCCATGTTTCATGAGTGAGGTGTTCGCCAGGTTCCGCGAGATGCTGGGGAGCCGGCAGCGTGCGACTCTGGCGTATAGACCTCAGGCAAATTGTCAGCAAGAGCGCTCAGTGCAAACAGTGGTCAGAGCTATCCGAGCGTACGTCGCTGAGCCAGATCAGACGACCTGGTAGAGAAGTTGATGTGGGCTCTGAACACGTCCTTCGACGCCACCCGTCTAGACACGCCGTTCTACCTGGTTCATGGCTGGGACCCTCACAGCACTGTTTCGGCCATGCTGGGACCATCTCCGACGGGTTTGGATCAGAGGACTGCCTATGAGTGGCATCGCAAGACTCAGCGCGAGTACGAGTACGCTTAGGCCTGGGCTAAGGATTTTCAAGCTGAGCCCAAGGTAAAACGCTCAGCTGCTTAGACAAAAATCTGGGCTGAGCTGTCTGAGAGACTCAAGAAGGGTTTCAAAGTTGGTGATGCTGTGTGGCTATACCTAGCTCGAGTGCAACCTGGGTTCACGAAGAAGTTCGCTCACCTCTGGCACGGTCTGTTCCGGATTCTGGAGACCTCAGATGACTTCCGATGCAAGCTGAAGATCGAAGGGACTGGGTACAAGTTGTATCCTTGCGTCCACATAAGTCGACTCAAGCCGCGTGCCCTGTTCCCTGAACGACCTACAGTTGAGGTTGAAGTTGCTGAGGATGATGATCTGGACGCAGCTCTGTTGTATGAAGATGCTGAAGAACCCGATGAAGCTCAGAATGTGTACGAAGTGGAGGTCATTCAGGATGTGCGCTGGGTTAAGCGGACCCGGACTTCACGGAGAGTCCGGGAGTACTTGGTCAAGTGGAAGGGGTACCCTGACACTGAGTGGCTTCCCATGTCTCAGCTAAGTTATGGAGCTTTGCTGTACGAGTTCAACAAGAGCGCCAAGGCGAAAGCACGATTCCAAGCAATGCAAGCTGGGGATGAGCCTCCTGAGCCCGATGCTCAGTAGAGGCACCTCAGCTGTGAACCTGTGTATGTCGCTGCGACGTTCTATGTGTGAACCCTTTGTATTATGTGAATTTACGACTACCCTACGTGATGTGGAGAATGACTTGGAGTTTATCGTGGAGAACAGTGGATGAGCGCGAGGTGACCGCGCGCCGAGGACCTGAGATCAATGAGGAAGGAGACGAGAAGTATCAAAACGAGTGGTGAATTAGAAACAATCATGAACGCTCGTTGCCTATGCTTCCTCAGTCTCCTCGTCTTGCACGGCTTCCAGAGCGCGAAGCACCTCAGCAAGCGTGTCGTGGTTGTACTCCGGTGCTGGGATAATTGGGTTCGCCTCTTGTTCGGCTCTGCTCTTGGGTTTGAGCTCAGGCGGGACGATCGCTTCGAACTGCTTGTCTGAGCGGCGGGTGGCCCATTGCGTGTGAACTAGTTCTTAGTCGTCCAGGGTGAAAAGTTGGTCAGCCAGCGAGATCTTGAGATCTCGGTCTCGGAGAATCCAGTGGCACGGATCCTTGGGCACAGCCCAGAGTCCGGGCTCGAACCAGATCCGATCCGAGTAACCCTTGACGCCCCTGAACTGGTCGATCAAGTCCCTGCGACGAAGCTCGAACCCTTGGGCGCGGTCCTTGCGCTCTCGGTAGACGATGGCCAGCTCAGGCAGGCCCAGTTCCTTGCTACCATCCTACAACCAAACGATTACTGGATTCTTGCCCCGACTTCGTCCTCCATGTGCATCCCATCCTGGTCGATCCCCGATCGGTGATCCACGATCGGCTCCCGATCCGCGATCCACGATCGATCGGCAATCGGCGATCAACTCCCGATCGATGACTTGTGCCGGTTGCCGTGCGCCGCCGATCCATCACCTTCTGTCCTCGGCCATCCTAGATCTGCGAGATCTGTCGTCGATCTGGGCTTGGGTCGGCCCCGAATCACGCCGCGGTTCGTCCTCGGTGTTCACATTCCTACAAGCGGATGTTGATCACTGGATAGACACACATCCGGATACGGAGGCAAACTGCCGGGCCTCCACTGAAGAGGGCACACTGTAACCGTCGTGCATATGCTGGTGCTACATGTAACCAGCACAGCGTTCGGCGGCAAGTCAGGTACGTCCGCTGCAAACGCTTGCTTGTCTTGGAATCCGTGGCCATGTTTGCCAATGCGTCAGCCATCTTGTTGAAATGGCGAAGATGGTGTGTCTATGATCGCACCATCAGACGATCTGCCATTGTACGACATTGAGTGTACAACCCTTGTAAATGTCGTGAACGTGGAAATCGCCGTTCACGATGCTGCGTGATGATGAGATGACTGTCTCCGACGACATGGATGCCGTATAGAGTAGCGCGCACCGCATATCTGAGCCCGACTAGTAGCCCCCAATTTTCAGCAATATTGTTGGTGGTCTTGGATGCAGAGGAGATGCTCGCAAGCCAGACAATTTTCGGTCTGAGATCAGCCCCACCGACCTGGACTATGGCCGACCGGGACCGGGGTTGCCTCGGGACCCCCCTATCGAAATAGAGGATGTGGTGTTGCAGCTGCCGCGTAGGTGACGGCAGCCCCTGTGTCTCTGGCCCGGGTGTAGTCAATGCGAAGTAACAGAGTTTCGCAGCAGCAACTCTGTGGGGCCCAGCAGCATGCGTCGTGCAATGTGCTCGCACGGTCAGATAGTCGCCCATGTAGGACCGCCGCTGCCCTATGTGGCGAGGTGTCCTCATTGGCATCTCGATAAAGACACCCCCGACGCCAAATTGCTTGGAGGGTTTCAATAGCACCCACTCGCCAGCAATCATTAAGAATCTCGTACAAATATCCCCGAACAGCATTGTGGCCCTCCTCAGTGTCATTTTTGTGCGTATCCTCGAGCAATATCCACAACGAAGGGGGCACATGCTCCAGCTTTAACCGGAACATTGCGTCTAGCCGGGAAGTATTGGAGCCCCGAGTTGTGCCTCTTCAGTCACGCGGTGTTTCTCTTTCCTTGCTTGACCTCCTGGTAAAGTTTGTACTCGTGTGTTCCAGGCTTGTATTTCTTGAGGTGGAACTTCAGGTTCTCCCCTTGCTACCTGAACCACTTGCCAAGGGCCCCTCCTGTCCGTTCCTCGTCATTTTCCTCGGACACAGGGCCCTCCTTCACTTTGCGCAGCATCCGGTCGCCGTTCTCTTCGGTGGTGCCGATAGTTGACGCCAGGTTGGAGTTCGAATCCTTGATGGTGGGGGGCGCGGCACCACTGACATGGAGAGTGGCGGCACTTACGGCGGCGATGATGTAGGTGAGGCGCGTTCCAGTTGCTTCGTGTGGCGACGGCCGGGGGAATGACTTGGAGAGTGGAGTGTTTATAGACTGCCGAGAAAATCGCGGAATGAGGTGGTCTAGCCAACCGCAACGAGATGCCCTTGACGGTGTACCTTACAGGAAATCTCGACTCGACGCTGATCGCATCCTAAGATATCCGCATGGTTTTTGGTCTTTAAATCTTTGTATCTGACTGTCTCCTTGAAAGCCCCCGAAGTGGAGTGTGTACTTGAGCCTAGAAGGAACGGCGGCTGTGTGAACTAGGAGTATCGCAATCCAAACCGTTGCCTTGATTCAGTAGGACACCGCAATCATGAGAATTAATCCAACACGCCGGTGGTTGTTGTTCTTGCTCACCTGTTTTGAAAGAGCCTGCACGTGTCATTAGCTACAATGCTACAAGTAGGTATCTGGATTCTCAATAGGCAAAGGTTTTATCTGAACTCTTGATCGGCCAAAGGGTTGAAATATTTAATCCGAGTGAGGCCTTGCTTCTCCGCAATGACTATCTCACGCAATACCTGAATCCAAACCATCATACCGTATGATTCAAACGTACGGACGATGGCAACGCGCTCCAAAGATTTATCAGCCTGACCAACAGAGTTCTGGTACGCTGTAGCGAACCGTAGGGCTCAAAAAGAGTGGACAGTGGACTAAAAACACACGTTCCTCTCGCCCTTCCAAGCATTCATGCGGGGGGGGGGGCAACAACGCGTGTCGTTCTCGCTTCTCGCTGCACTCGCCGGAAAACCCCGTATTTTGTTGCGCCAACCCGCGTAGTGAGTTGCAAAGTGGAGTAAAGAGGCCATGGCCACCTTCGTGACAGTGTGGGGGTAGTTGTACAGTGTCGTGAAGAAGGGCGATCGAGTGGCTGCGCTATGGTTGGGGCTCTACGGACGACATTACGGCGCTCCCCACTTGGTTGAAATCGCGAGCGCGTGACCACGGACAAGATGTGTAGGTTACAAAGGGAATAATACTAGGCTACAATCGATTGGAGCCGCCTTTGCCGGACACGTACGTCGGGAATGCCATGTCAACGCCTTGTCACCCTATTCAAACGATGCATTTCAAGCTGGTGAAGACGAATAAGCTGTGGTCTCGCCTGTACAGTCGGTCCTCGAGCGCAACGTCGCGTACTTGCGGAGCTCCGTTTCACTGTCTGACTGAGCGGAGCAACCTGTCGGCTGTGCTAATCGACACTAACTTTGTACATTCGGCTTTGCAGAAAGCACTCTATCTTCTGGATAGAGAGAGACTGGGTTCATTCTCGGATTCAAGCGTAATGACGAGAGTAAGCTGATCTCATCATGCTACAGTTGTAATGCTGTGTAGTGATGTGGAAGTCACCACGAAGACGTCACTGTTGAACCTACAGTACTTACGTGTTACAGTGCCTGGCTGGTTCATTTCACTATAGCTAGGGTTCATCTGCTTGGCTCGGTTGAGGAGACCGCGTCGCAGCTTCTACAACGCGGGCTTCAATGTCTTTCGAGGAGGTCACTTTGCAATTCCCGCTCTTGCGGATCAATTGCGGGACCCACACCAACACCAGTCTCTCTTCTCCAGCCATGGTCAACGTCGTCACTCCAGTCGTGGATATCGAGGGCGATGCATTCCTCCCGCTGTCGCCGTTGGACGCCGTCATGAACACGTATCGCGTGGTGATTCTCTACATCTACCCGCCGCCTCCGTCAAATGCAGCCAACTACGACCTCGACAAGCTCCGGCGCTCGTTCGTCTCGCTAGTGGACGAGGACTACCCCGTGCTCGTTGGAACACTCGACGTTGACCAAAAGACTGGGACCGTCAGTGTAAAGCAGACGCCCGAGCAGCGACGACGAGGTGGCAGCGCAATCCGCTTCGAGTCGAACTCGACCAGTTCCAAGACTACGGACGACGCGATATCGTCTCTCTCGTGGGAATTCATGCCCAAGACTCGCAGTGGTGGGGAGATCATCGCTGTGAAGGGGTCGATCCTCGCAGACGGAGGAATGGCCATCGGAGTGGACTGCAGCCACGTCCTGTTCGACGGAGAGGCCACGCTCACGTTCATGAAGGCGTGGGGGCAGCACTACAGCGGTGTCAGCAACCAAGATCGGCTGGTCATCAACCATGAGCGACACCTGCTCGCAGGAAACGGGAAAGCTTCTCGTCTTCCTCACCCGGAGTTCCAGATCGTACCGGCCGAGCCTCTAGTGCGCAGAGAGGATGGATCGCTAGCTCCTAAAGCCGCTGCCACGCCACCCAACACGGCCCAGCACGTCTTCCATCTATCGCCAGAGACGATGGTAAAGCTCAAGCGCACAGCAGAGTGTGGATACAAGCACCCGAAGATCGCCCACGGCTCCGGGCCTTCGTACATCAGCACTCTTGACACCATCACCGCGCTGTTCACCATCCTCATCACAAGAGCTCGTGGCCACGGGCGAGACTTCCGAGTCTCGACGGCAGTGAACGGGCGGAAGCGACTGGAACCCCCATTGCCCGAAAACTACGCTGGGAATGCGGTCTTCCACGCGATTTCGCCGTATACGAGCGAGGATCTACGAGGCGATAAGGAAGATGTTCAGAGCGGAGTGTCGGCGTCAACGCTGTCTCGTGTCGCTCGTTGCATCCGCTCGTCGATTCTGGAGCGAGACAGCGAGTTCATGCGGGACGCCATCGCGTTCCTCTCCAACCAGAAGACCGGTCTGTCCAGCGTCAACGACAACGTCAACTTCTTCTGCGGCCCGGACGTCGCGTTCACGTGCTGGGCCAAGATGGGGCTGTACGATGCCGAGTTTGGAGGAACGAGACCTTGGTACGCGTCGATCCCCCGCGTGCAATGTATGGACGGATTCGTGCTCATCACAGAAGCTGTCAGAGGCGCTGATGGACTGGACGTGCTCGTGTGCTTGGAAGCTGCCACGATGAAGAAGTTCATGGGCTTGTGCGCTGACGTAGAGTTTCTTCAAGGTTAGATATGATTGAAGTGGCCCATATCACCAGGATAAGCTCACTGCAGGGCTGTAGGAAATACAAAAATGTATTGTCTCTAAATGAGCTTCCAAATTTACCCAGAGACACCGACTTCTCTAATGAAAGTTTGCTACTTTGAAGTATGTAAATTCGAGACGGCCTAAATACGTGTGCGAGGTGGGCATCTCCTCGCGGCAGGAGGATTATTAGATCGTAAGATAGATACATGCAGCGTCAGCAAATAAATGTGAGAATTGAGCGTCTGACGATCGATACTCATTCTACTCTTCAGTCGTGGAGGTACTTCACCTCTTGAAACATTTTCTGAAGCTTCTCCATTGCTGTGCACTCGAGGAACACGCCGACGTCAACCCCATCGCCGCCCTTCTGGGCCTCCGTGATCATGACGAACCCATCGTAGCACGGCAGTTTGGGGACGCAAGCATACCACGGCCGAGTGCCGCCAAACTCCGCGTTGTACATACCCATGTGCACCCAAGACGTGAACATGAGGTCCTGGCCGAAAAAGAAGTTGGTGCCAACCTGCACAGCAGAAATGTTGCGCTGCTCGGTCAGAAAGTTGATGGCATCTCGGAGATACTCGCCGTTGCGCTCGAGGATCGATGCACGGACGCGCCTTGCTATCTTCCCCAGCTTTGCTGGCGAGACAACGTCGTCCGCTTCGTCTTCATCAGGCTGCAACTCGCCGTTCTTGTAGGTCGATAGCGCGTTGAAAATGACATTCCCAACGTAATTTGCTGGTAAAGGCGGCTCCATGCGACGTCGAGCATTGACGCCAGTCGTAATTTTCACGCCGTGCCCGTGGCCGCGCGCTCGCGAGATCAACACAGTGAAGAGCGCCGTGATGGAGTCCGTAGTACTCACGTACGACACGCCTGCATCCTCACTAACAGACAACCCACCGCGCGTCGCGACTTCCTTGATCTTCTTCATCATCTGGGGCGTAAAGTGAAACAAGTGGTGGTCTGTGGACGGCGGAGCTGGAGCTTCTCCACCGTTGACTTCAGCTTCAGCTTCACCTCCAGACGCAGTTTCAACCACTCGAAACTCCGGGTGCTGCATGGTCGATGGTGTACCCGTTCCCTGTTGCAAGTGCCTGTCATGGCACACAACCAGTCGGTCCTCCTTCTTGACGCCACTATAGTGCTGCCCCCACACTGTCATAAAGGTGAACATGCCCTCCCCATCCACCAGCGTGTGGCTGGCGTCCACCCCGATCGCCAACCCTCCGTCGGCCAGCAGCGAGCCCTTCACACACATGAGCTCCGTCTTGCCTCGGGTCGTTGGCATCAAATCCCACGAACGCTTCTGCATCGCCTGCTCCGTCGTCAAGGGGCTGCTGGAATTCGTCTCGAAGCGGATCCCCTTCGCCCCCTTTCGCTGGGACTCCGCCGTCTGCTTCACGTTGACGACCCCCGTACTGGGGTCCAGGTACAGCTCTCCGATGAAGATCGGGTAGTCTTCGTTCACAGCAGAGAGGAAGGACGACTGCAGCTTGTCGAGGTCGTGGGGGGGCTCTACCGGTGGTGGGAAGATGTAGAGGATCACGAAGCCGAAGCTGTGCATCACCGCGTCCATGGGCGACAGAGGCAGTAGAACGTCGGAGGAGGTTGGAGGCGTTGCCATAGTGTTAGTGGTGGGCTGTGTCGCTTACCACCGTTGGCAACGTTGCGCTCCTGTTCCTTGCGGACGCTTATTTCATTGACATAAAGGAAGACTTTTGAGGAATGCGATGCGATTTACGGCTTCAACGTCAGCTCGCTATGTGGTTCGGCTACTGTACTCGGCACCATCATGAGCATCTTCCATGCTTACAACTGGAAGCAGAGGCTGGCGCAAACTATCCTCCTTGTCGTGGACGCCATTTCGTTGCCGCAGCAGCCAGACGAGGAAGCTGCAGCTCATGGCGTCCGTCAGCACTTGCACCATCATCTGGCATGTCGTCCACGAGTGCGAGTTATCGTGGGGCACTGCAGGCGACACCGTGACGACAAGGTGCGACGTGTGCAGCACCAATAACAGCATCCAGCACCCTAGCGCGTGCTTGGCCGCCGCTCGCTTACTCTTCAGCACGAGTGCTAGTAGGCCGCTAGTACCACAATAGAACAGCAGCGCAGCCCACGCCACCAGCTTTACGCCGGAGATCTCCTCCCACTGACCGAACAGCAGCGTCTGTCCTCGCCGAACAATCGCCAAGCACAGTGCAAGCAGAACGAGATGCACCGACAGAACAGCGAACAGCGCGTACGCGAACCTGGCCACCACCAACTGCTCCCACGGCGACAGCGCTAGCGGTGTTGAGACTCGCTTCATAGTTGGACTGCTGTCTTGTCTTCTCTTGTTATGCAGACAGAGGCCTGTGTGAATGAAAAAATGGGACGCGGCTCGAAGCAACCTCTAAAAACGAAAATAGGCGGGCGAGTGGAAATGTGTCGAATTCACTGAACAGTATGCGCTTCCTCAGTTTCCCATTGCAGCGCGGATCCCTGAGTCTCGCCTTTTCAGCATCTCGGCGTTTCTCTTTCCTTGCTGGACATCCGTGTAAAGCTTGTTCTCGTGTGTTCCAGGCATGTATTTCTTGATGTGGAACTTCAGGTTCTCCCCTTGCTGCTTTAACCACTTAACAAGGGCTCCGCCTGCGCGTTCCTCTTTAACTTCCTCGACCAGCATCCGACCGCCGTTCTCTTCGGTGGGGACGATGCCAGCTGACGCCACGTTGGAGATCGCGGCCTGGTTGGAATCCTTGGTGGTCGGGAGCGCGGTGCCGCTTGCGTGGAGAGTAGCGGCAACTACGACGGCGAGGATGTAGGTGAGGCGCATGCTTGTTGGTTGATGAGACGATAGATGGTCCTGGGGGGTGGTGGTAGTTGTGGAGTGTCGAGCAAATTGTGGAATGAGAGACTCTTCCGAACGACAACAAGGTTTGTTCACAGAGCTGCGCGGGCAATGCCATAGGATAGGACAGCGTATCCTAGGATATTCCACATGTTTGAGGGTTTTTAATTCTGCTAAGTTTTTTTCATACTGATTCAGTAACCTTCAGAGACACGATGATCATCTGTTCAGCTTTGCTTTTCCTCTGCGAGGGCTGTTGAGGAGCAATTACTGTATCGCGACCACGTGGTCTGGCTACCTGTGGTTTATGTAGTGCTGGAAGTTGCATGAAGTCTTCAATAGCACCGCTCACGGCGGCGGAGCTGTACGAGGTGTCGTTCGCGTACATGATGGTCGGGTGGCTGGGAGGGAGGGCTCGAGACGGCTAGTTGTAAAATGAGGTCGGCAAAAGCCAAGCTTTCTTCGGCGCTTCTTCGATGTCTTACGCCAGATATAGTACCGCACAAATTCTCAGAACTCGTGCTGACCAGGTTCTAAGTTGGGAACCAACTTCGGAACTCGTCTACTTTGACTACAAACTCGTGCTCGCCTAACCCAGTCCCTTGTACAAATCTCAGCACAGTTTTACTTAGACCAGGGCCTCAGTGTCTTCAAAAAGGTGGATAAGAAAGTTGTATCGGAGGTTCCTGTACCCCAGAGGGCCAAGGCCACACTCGAATCGAGCCGTTCATTACCTATACTCGAATGAAAAGGGTACTCTGACATGTACCAGGTAAGAGGCTGGTCGCGCTGGCTGGTGCTGGTTCTCGGTCGGGACGGCAAGTGATATGCGAAATGATATCGTATTATTTTTGCTCACTTTGGACATAACCATGACGATTCGCCGAGAACCCGGGAACTCGATCCCCTTGCTGGTTCCCGGGTTCTCTGCGAATTGCAATGGTTATGTCCAAAATGAGCAAGAATACAGAAGTGAAAACTCGAGGCCGAGTTCACCTACCCCTGCCAATCTCTGGAACACCCGACCGAGTGATAAACACCAGTTTTGTATGTATCACTATCAAAAGGGCATAAACTCTAAGGAAAGTCCATTTCGTAAAACATGTCCGGCAAAGTTCAACCCCAGCACGGGTCGCTTGTGACGTCAAATACGCTCGACTTTTCCTGAATCGCACTATAGGAAGTATCTAGCATCAGGTTATTCTGGAACGCATTTAGCTAATCATTTGGGACGCTAAACTAGATTCCGCGTTGTAGTTTTAAGTCCATCTGAAAGCAGCATCACCCCTCGCGCCGATAGCTGTAGATAGTATAATCTCCAGCACAACAGTCAACTTGCATTTGACTACGTATCGAGTGCAATGCAAGCTCACCAAGTGCCTAAATGATATAGTACGTTGAAGTGGTGATGCCCCTAGATAGTGATATAGAGTGGTCCTGAAACTATGGGGAAAATGACTAAACCGGTATGAAATCGCATTTTAAATGCTGAAGCGGTATGACCCCCCAATCACGCATACCGGTCGGGTGGTCGCCCGAACTAAACACCTAGTTGTGAGCTTGTCTATTGTGGACTACTTGCTTGTTTTCATCATATCCTTACCTGAAAGTACTCATACCACAAGTACAGCAACCATGCCATGAATGTTATGACACTTGTCTTGGAGTCTGCAAGAAGCGAGGGCGTCCGTGGCGTGGTAGTTCGCACCTCAATATTTAAAATTAACGCATACGGATTCAGTCACGAAATATACCGATTTGGCATTTAAAATTGATTTCATACCGATTTGGTCATTTTCCCTGAAACTATGTACACGTATCACTACGGACGGGATTGTTTACGACTCGCGCTGGTAAGGATAAAACGATCGCAAAAGAATTCTTGACAATCTGTACTATTCGTTCACGTGCACGACAGCCCCAGATTCACGAAGCAAACATACGATCGATTCACGTTCCCAGGATAATTGGTATCACAGGATTCGATCGCAATCAGTTACATGTACTGTACCGGTAACAAGCACTGAGTTCCTTTTTTACTTTAAACTTATATTCCTTTCAGGTACAAATAAAAAATACAACGCCCTTGAATCATTAACCACAGTGTCGCGGAGGAATTGTGCTGTGGGGATGCAGCTATCGAATCCACCCTTTGAAAGTGCCATCTGCTAATGCATCACGAACCATACGCTTACTGCTGGTAGTAACCTTTCACTAACCACGATACTCATTTCAGGCTGCCGAGCACATGTGCACCTGAAGAGTTTGATGCAGACATACGCAAGTACATGTACTTCAAAGTGCAGTAGATGGATTGGTCTAAACTATGCACTAACAAGTCATTTATTACAGGCAAATAATCACTTCTGGCAGGACAAAAATCTGCGACCAAAAAATGGCGGACGAGCTGCAAGTGACCGTCGTGTTCGGCAAGCTCTCGACGTCCGTGGCCGTGGCCCCGCAAGACCCGGAGGCTCTCGAGCACCTCAAGGCGGGCATCTGCGACCAGTTCCAGCTCGAGCCCAAGTTCCAGCGCTTGGTGCTTCGCGGTCGCGACGTGAGCAGCTCCTCAGTGCTCACGGACGGCTGCAAGCTGCTACTGCTGCGCAATCGCGCCTTCCACGAGCAACCCAGCGCTTCGAAGCGCGTAGAATCGGGTGCGACCTCTTCCTCAGTCGAGTCACCCCTTGAACCCAGAAATTCTGGGTCCAAACCGGTCTCTAGAGCCCCCGAGATCGATGTGAACGAGCTGGAAGACGGTCTGCTACTGATGCAGGTGTTCAGGGGCAAAAGCCGCTACGACGTCATCTTCCCACGCTCCGGCAGCGTGCTAGACGTCAAGAAGAAGGTGAGTGCGGTGCTGGGGCTGAGCTCGCCCCAGGCCTTGAGGCTGGTGGTCAAGGGGAAGACCCCAACGGATGAGACGGTGCTGGAGACGCTGGCAGGGACCAAGAGGGCGATCAAGGCCATGGCGCTGCTGCAGGCTCAGCAGCATGTGATGCAGGAGAAGGAGGAGGACCTGAGAGAGCTGCTCAATGAGCTGGCCAGCGCCCAGGCGGCGCTGCAGCGCGTGCAGCGGCAAATGGCGCGCAACTTTACGTCCAGAGACGAGAGTTTGTTCGAGCTCTCGAGGGTCCTGGACGAGGGCCAGCGCATTGCTGGAAATTTGGAGCTGGTGAAGCAGTATTTGTGTGGGGCCAAGAAGACGGGCCCTCGTGCTAGTGACCAGACTCTGGCTGCTGTGACGCAGGCCATTGAGAAAGCGAATGCGCTGGCGGAAGCTGCTCAAGGATTGCTAGAGACGCACTCGGCCTACTAAGTTAGAGGAAATATGTGAACCAGAATGGGAAGTGAAGACGGGCAAAGTTATTTTTTGCGGTTCAAGTGTTTATTTAGGCGGACTCAGGACCCCGATGTTGGTGGCTGATGCCCTGAAATACCAGGCCGTGAGCTTCAGTGCTATTTGACGACAATAAGGAAGCAGTAGTGTTGGAGGCAACTTCGTCCAGGTACTCCGTCCGGGTCAGCTAGAAGGAGCAGCGTGGCAAGACGTTGCCACGATGAGAGCCCTCCTGCTCTTTGCTGCAGCATTTGGGGTGTTGATATACACTTCCCAAGCTCAATCAACGGCTTTGGACTCTCTCGAGCTATTTGCGACTCCGCTGCCTGCACACTTCGGCGTTCTTGAATCTGTCCAAGGGCTCGAACTTCGGCTGTACTTGACTGGAACGGATTCAAAGGCAGTGCGGGTGACGCCGACCTGCTCTGGAGTGAGCTTTAACCCCAGCTCTGTGGTGTTTACTTCCAGTATCTCGGTTGCAAGTGGCATTATCGCGACAGCACAAACCACCGGAAACTTGGAGATTGACTATGTGGCTACTCTAATAGAAGGTGATGGCTCGAGTAGCGCAGTTCTCTTTTCGCAGTCTGTCTCGGTACTCCCAGTTCCTACAGCTTATGACGTCGATGATGAGCCTTGGGGTGGCGTCATCCTCCAAAGCGACTCCTTCGACGATACAACGGCAACTCCAGTGGCTTCCTCCTTCTGGAGCAACCACCAGCATGGGTATTCAAGCAGCGCGTGTGGTGGGTTCAATGGAACTAATTCCTTGTTCTTCACATCGCTAGGTGAGCGATTGGCGCTGACTGCTCCACTGGAGCTCGAAGGATTTCACGGCAAGATGCACTTCTACCACGTGTACGGATTCGAGCAAGTTCAAGAGTATGACTCAACTGGTGACAACCGTATCGCCTGCGAGATGACGGACGCTGATGAAGAAGTCAGATTCGGATATCTCCCTCAAGGCGCTGATCTCAACAACATCAGCACCTGGAACGAGATACTCGAAATTCCACTCCCGTCCAACGCTACCGCTCGAACAAGCGACTTTACAGCGTACTCGGTGATCCTGCCGCAGCTTTCAATGCACCAGAACGCGCAATTCTTCTGGATGCAGAAGAACCACTCGAGTTTTCCTATTGATGTTGCAACGGGACTCACACGAGATGAAGTTATCGCAGCAGAGAATGATCCAACTGGTGCCCACGGTGAGTTGGGGGTCAAGGAGCGGGAGCTCTGGAAGTACAGGAACCTGTTTGACCAGTGGGCGATTGACGATGTGAGCCTTGAGGTTCGTTTGAATGTGCCGATATTCTCTCTCGTGCCTAGCGCGACTTTCAACAGTACAACTGGAGTGGGAATCGGTGGCACGAACGTCCTGGTTGCTTCGCCCGTGCCTGGAAGTTGGGTCGCAGTGACGTCTGGGGATGGCACGCAAGCTTTCCCTGACTGTACGTCTCCAGTCGTGGGAGACACCGCGAATAAAGCTACTGTTGCGCTGAGCAAGAGCGGGTACGTGCACGCAGTGGCGTGTCTATCAGTCAGCGATCTGGTTATCAGTAGTTATCCCGTTCGCTCCCCTCGGTTCCTGGTTCAAGCAGTGCAGCCGAGTATCTCTAGCTCCGTGGACATCACGAAAAGCGTCGACACTTGGGAAATTGATCTCCAGTGCACCGACTGCGAGTTCATCCGCTACATCACCGTTCCTCTGGATGGCGTAGACGGAGGGTCTTTGTTAATTCCAAGCTGCACATTTGGTTCAGCGATAAATGCCACAACTGGGAAAGTATCTGTCACGTTCAATGCGAAGATTCGGGCGGTGGCGTGTGGAACGGATTTACTACAGAGCAATCTCGTGGAGTCGGAGGATCTGATAGTGCATCCTCGCAAGCCGACATTCACTTACGTCGTTCCGTCCACTACAATCAGCGGATTCATGAATCTCACGATCGTTCCTCCTCCAAGTGCCAACGACCAGAAGCTAGGGATTGCCTACTCGGTCCTGTCGGAGGGTAAAAAACTACCAACGTGTAGCAACGCGCTGACCTCGGGAGGAATCGAGTTGGTTGTGAAAGTTTTCGACGTCGTTCGGGCCGTCGCGTGTTGCGTCGGCGTGGTCTGCGCCGATAGCGTCGTTGCCACATGGGGCCCTGTAGACGTCCAGGCTGTGACGCCGACGTATAGCACGGCGTGTAGTACGATCAAACCGCTGACTTTAGTGGTGAACCTTGCTGCGGTGACTATTGGCGCTACTGTGCGCTACCAGATCTTGTCTGCGGGAGACAAGAAGGCGTTAACTTGCACCTCTGGAGATCTGTACCAGTCTCCGTTGGAAGTAGGCGCTGGAGCCGTGTTGGTATCGGCTGTGAGCTGCTTAGATGGTCTCAAAGACAGCGACTCAGCAGATATCACTGTCACGCTGGATAAATGTTGCGCAGGAAGATCGGCTTACCAGTATGACTCCTGCGCGCATGTACTTCTCATGCAAGACGACTTTACTAAATGCCCGGGCAATGGTGGGGCCGGCAACATGCAGACCAATACGAACTGGAATGCTGTGACGAGTCAATGGGGTGGCAGCAACGTCAATGGAGGCGTGAGCTCGGACAACGTGCGCTGTGTGGGAGACGCTGCACTTGGTAAGAGTGTACTGGAGCTGACTGCTAATGGAGATCTATACGCCGGAGTTGCGCCAATTGGCAAGACTATGGGGAGCGACGGCACATTGACAGACCGCACTACGAGTGATCGATTCATGGAATGGGCTCTGGATGGTATCAGTCCACTACCTTGCAATCCTCTGGAGTGGTGTCCTGCTCGACGTGTCGGAGCTGCGGTGACGTCGGTGCTGGAACAGAACGCAGGTGTGATGGTCCTCCGAATCAAGCCGTGTGCTGCGTTCGGTACGCTCACGCAGGTTTGGTGGGGCAGCTACGAAGCTGCCACTAGCAGCGCTCTACCGTTCCTGCCGCTATGGAAGTCCGCTCTGTACCAAGCGAAGACGACTCCTAATATCGCCTTCACACTGACACCTCCAGAACCTACAGACGACGCAGCGTACACTGAGATTGTCATGCAATGGGATGCCAGTGCAGCACGCGCGAACCTCTACAAGGACGGCCAGCTAGTGTTGAAGCAAGTGGGTATGGACGGTAAGACCGATTCGACTAACTCGCTATCAATCGGCGTCTGGTTCCCCAATGCTGCAGCGGGTGAGCCGTTCTTCCCGTCCTGCCATACTTATGTGGACGACGTGCAAGTGTTCGACCTACAGATCACCGGAGGCAGGTGGTGCGACTTCGAAGACGTTGGGGCGGACACGATATCGTGCGTAAGTAACGACGACTGCGAGGAATGGGTCCAGCTCAACTGCTTCATGGACATCTACGAAGCCGTCTGCACGTATAGCCGCGCTACGGATATCGACGATGGCAACACTTCCGCGTCGTCAAACTCCACGACGAAGTTCTGTCAGTTCCGCCTGCAACCGACAGCACAAACCAGCGTATCAAACACTGCAATGACCACACGAGAGCTGGAGATGGAGTGGGTGGAGGTGGGAGAGCCTAAACAGGAAGCGGAATAATTCTTTAACATGAAATAGACGTGTAGATTCGACATTCGTCTTGTCAAAAAGTGGTTCTACTTGACTGTAGCATGCAATCCATCCACGATCTGTTCTAGCGCCGGGTTGCCTCCTAGCGACGCGATCTCGTCGCGAATTTGTTGCACCGTGTCGTTCAGTTTGGCCAGCGTGTGTTCCACCGCCCCTGTTTCGCGCAGATACTGCACGGCGTACTGCTTGAGCTTGGTGCTCTTGGTGCGCTGCTTGAGGATGCTGAGCAAGCGCGTGTCCTGCGGGTTCTCTCGGATGGCCACGATGAGCGGGAAGGAGAACTTGCCCTCCGTCAGGTCCTCGCAGAAGCTCTTGTTCTCCATGTAGGTCTCGTCCAGCAGGTTCACGTAGTCGTCTCGGATCTGGAAGTACACGGCCAGAGCGTTCACGAGCGGCGTGAAGTCCAGCGTGCACTCACTGAACGCCTGCATGAGCCCCACAGCCAGGCGGAAGAGCCCTCCCGTCTCTGTGGTACAGTAGGACAGTCGTTAGTTATTACATTTGACGCAAACCCTTTCTCACAGAGGTGGACACTTGAAAGGAAGGGTCCATCTGGAAGACAAGGCACTCAACTGTTTTGCACCATCTCGAGGTACTCGTCCACCGTGGGGCACTGCAGATGGTCCCTCCAGAAGATGTCCAGCCCCTGGCCCTGGTGCAGCCGCAGCATCTCGTCCGTGTACACCTGCATGGCCCGCGGGTTGCCCAGCGCCTGGCACTTCTGCAGCGACAGGAAGTACACGTAGTTGGCGCAGTTGATGGTGGCCGGCACGCCGAAGATGTGGTGGGCCACGGGCTGGCCACGGCGCATCTCCGAGTCGTCCTCAATGTCGTCAATGCTGCCACCACGACGATAAAGAAATTGTTGTCAGCTGCATCGCAATGGTAGAACGACGGAGTGGGGGCTGGGCTGTAGAACGGAGGGAGGGGGAGGGGCCCCTACGCACAGGAGACTGGCGTTGTGCAGCTGGTCCACGATGCTCTGGATGCTCTCGACGGCGTCCGCGGGCGCGCGCAGCCACGACTGGAAGGCGCCGATCATCTTGCCGCGCACGTTCTTGCCCGGCAGCTCGCTGATGTACGCGTACGGCTCCAGCAGCTTGCTCTCGTTCTCCTGCACGGTCGCCATTGATGACGTACTCGAGGATACGAAAGGCAAAATGAACCCAACTTTCGTTTCGATAGAACCCGACTAAGTGCGAATATAGATGGAGTATGTAGCCATGTTGATCGGAGACCTGCGCTTCCCTGCGTGTGTGCATGCGCTCTCTGCTGCCAGCTTGGTGCAGTGTGTTTAGACCTACGTTGAGTGATTTCTTCTTCTTCACTGCAGCGCCGGCATTCATTAGCCAGTTGCAGTCTTTTTCGCTGCAACTTGCCCACATTAATTCAAGCTGCGCGAGGGCCGTCTCTATCTGTCTCCGCCTCCATCGCTGTCTCCAGCAGGTGCCACAATACGTGCACTTGCATCCACACTCTTGTCTTGATCTTCCATAGTTATTCCCTCTCAATCCAATAGTCAGTCGATATCGTCGTCTATAGCCGGACGATCTCCATCTTGCGAGGTTTGGTGGTCACCAGCCGCGTCTTCTCCGCCTCCAGCATCTCCTCGCACTGCTTCGCCGCAGCCGCATCCCCCGCCGCCTTCAGCGCCACCAGCATCCCCTCAAACCTGTGCATTAATGCACCCAAAAAGTTACACCTCTTTCCACCTAGGAACGCAAAAGCTACAGCTGAAAAGGTAAACCAACCTGCGCTGTTCCGCCTCCTGCGCCTCCTTCTGCTGCTTCAGCTCCCGTTCCAGCGACTCCGCCGCGTTCTTCTGTGCCTCAACCCGCTTTTGCAGCTCCTCAAGCGATGCACTGAGGCCGCTGGGAGCCACAACCGCGTCGACTGCGCCCTCCACGCCGTCCAGCAGCTGCTGAGTCCACTGCGCGTTCTCCTGGTGCCGCTCAAAGGCGCGGTGCCGAGTCACGCGCAGCTGCTGGCGCGTCTCCCTCGAGAGTTCGAGCGGCGTGGCGCTCACCGGGGGAACAGGCACCTGCGGCGCGCGTGGTACGCGAACCTGCTGCATCTGCATGGCCTGCATTATGGTGTATACCAAGCGAATTCTAGTTCACACTTTTGTTACTTTTTGTTTACAAATACCCGGTCAAGTAGATATGGCTTCGACAATAAGTATTTTGAAAGGGTTTCCGATTCCTTCAAAAATCGTCGCCCAAATGCGCTTACAGTCTGTTTGTATTTGCCTGCCTACGGGAGCCGTAGACCCGCCCGAAGTCAGTTTTTTTATGAGCGCGAACGACGCGGTTGCTCCAAGCACCACGCACGAAAGCAAGAAGACGATCAAAGTCTTGGATCTTTTCGCTGCACTTGGATTCTTCGCCGCAATTGACTGCACGCTCTGGATGTCTCGGGTGGTGATCTTGAGCCCGCTTTGCTCCACCGTGCTCTTGAACTTGCTGAGTTGCGGGTCCGTCTTGACCATCGACTCCAATTTGTTGGGGTCCGGATTCTTCCGCATTAGAGTCTTGAACTTGTCGAGAGAAGGGAGCTTTTTGGCGAGTGCCTTCAGTTTCGCACCGAGTGCCAAACCCTGGGGTCGGGCCTCGATCCTGCATTGCACGTCTCGTAGTCACCACGATAGATTGGTTAATCGTAGTCCATTGTGCATACATGCACAATGGACTACTAATCCTGTACAGCGATCTCCAGCAGCGTCATGAACAGCAGGGCCAAAGCCTGGGTCCGTCTTGACCTACACCGCTCCAAGGCATCGAGAGCTTTTTCTCGCTCCGACAGACACGCGCTGCTGCTCGTGGCCTCCCTAGCTGTCGAATCTGTGAGTGTGAAGGCCCTTCACTGCTTTGCAAACCATAGGTGTTTTGAACAAGCATAGCGGTGGAAAACCCATTTTATGAGAGAAGAAGTGAGCCGCGTTTCAAGCCCGAACTCGACACCACAAGTAGGCGCAGGAGATGCGTTGTAGACGACAACGAGGATTTACACACAACAAATAAAGGCCAAGTGCACTTGTCATTAGTGCTGAAATGAAGCAAACCACAGGTCCAAAGGTGCTTGTTCGACGATCTTCAAAGTAGTCTGCTCCATGCCAGGTTCCAGCAGGCTCCGAAATAAGTGCCTAAATATACGCCACCAGTTCAAAGTAGTGTTCTCCAGCGTTAACAGGGAACCCCCTAAATTTCAGGGCTTTTTTGGGCGAACCACGACTTTGTTTGAAAGGATTTCACTTTTTTTTCTTTCAAAAATGTCGTCGCGCCATCCAATGCACGTTATGTTGGTATCTCCCTGCCCACGGGAGCTGTAATTCCGCCCGAAGCCAGCCCTTCAATAAGTAAGAACAACGCGTACTCACCAGCTCCAAGCAATCCGCACAGCACCACGAGTAGAAACAACATCTTCAGTCTGTTCACTCCAGTCGCATCCGCCAACGAAATCGACCTCACTCGTTGAATGTTTCGGGTGGTTATCTTGAGTCCGCTCCTCTTCACTGTCCTCTTGAGCTTGCTGAGTTGTGGGTCGCTCTTCACCATTGCCTCCAACTTCTTAGGGTCCGGGTTCTTCCGCATCAGAGTTATGTACTTGTCGAGAGTTGGGAACTTGTTGGCGAGAGTCTTCAGTTTGGTAACGAGTGCCAACCCCCTCTCTTCGTCTTCATCGTCAGCAGTAGTAGCAGCGTCCAGATTGGTTGCATATTCTCCATCCCGAAGGGACCGGTGTGTCGTGGCGGGGGTAATCATTATTACAGGTCATGAACGGATTTGGTCACGAGCTTTGGTCACGTGACTTACACTGGTGCTAAGTATGAGAAACCACTCAAGGACACTTTCCATCGATGAAGGATCACCTCAAGGGAAGCCACACCCTCCACGAGATCTAAATAGCTGTCCTAAAGCTAATAAACCCGGGTTGGGCGGGTTTGGGGGGTTCTACACCGAAAATGGACGAAAAAACGATGTTTTGCTCGCTGTTGGCAAAGATGACAGCTTCGAAGCGTCTCAACATGATGCCTGCATGCAGCACGACACGCATAAAGCAGATTTGAGGCCTCCCAAGGCAGGGCAAGCAGCGTATATGACTCAAACAATCATAAGATGGCGTGACCAAAGGGCGTGACCAAATCCGTTCATGACCTGTAATATATTGTTCCGTGGCGGGGACAACATGGTTGGCCTCGATTTCGAGGTCTGCGATCTGATTGTTGTGTCCCGAATTAGGGAGGCCCTGACAACAGACAACGAGGGTGCCTAGCAACAGCAGCAGCAAGTAATTCATACGCATGAGATGAACGCGTTTGGGCACTTGGTCCTGCTTTGGGTGGTAGATTGCCGATCTCGAAGTGAGCTACGGTCGTAATTCACGAATGAAGGCTTGTCGTTATCCGGTTCCGCTGGAACGTCCGGCAATGTTGGTCGGGATGGCGTGAGATAAAGTTTTGTATGTGCTTGTTGCAAGGTACAAGTAAACGATTCGTGCTGGGTTAGAACGGCAGGTTGAGCGCCATACTGTACACCGACCACATCAACTCTGTTTTCTCACGCAATCACACATTAATATGAGCATTGCTTAGTTAGACTGGGAACTCAACTATTTTAGCTGAAGCTTTCAGCTCGCCAATTTTTGCTACACGTTCGTCCAGGATGGCGTCAACTTGTACCGTAAGGAGACCAGTGAGGATAAGGAACGCGGAGTTCGATTTCTTTTGTAAAGTGTTATCCACTGGAATATAGTCGGTTTAGGTGCTAGACTCCATGAACGCAGCTTCGAGCGTGGCGTTGGTGTGCAATCTTGTCCAGCGCCACGTGCTGCTGAAGGTACTGGAACTCGTCCTTCCTTGCGAGCGAAATAGCCTTCATAGTAATGCGCTTTGCCTGGTAAGATCACGACGGAGCAGCAGTGATCAACACGAGCTCGCCTACAGTAGCGATCGTCGAGCGGTTGCATAGTTATACACCCACCTTTTGCTTGCTTCGAGGTCCCTGCGCAGTTATATCCGTGTCGGCCAGCTGGCCAATGCGGCGTAGCATAGAAGTGGCCGTCCACTGCTGTCCACAACAATTTATACCGTGTGTCAGTTCCAGGCTAATGCATTCATAAGCTACATCGTCTATGGATACCTCGCGTTGGCTTCCTACAGATCCATCGCCAGGCATCTCTCAAAGTGAGTGATTTCCAGCAAAATGGGGAGTGTCGGCGAGCGGAGGGCGCGCGTAATGAATTATACCTCATGGGATGGACGGCAACTCACTACACCTTTGCCCAGCCATAGTTGGCCTAATTTGCAAGCAAAGTTGTCATGAATATTGGAGGTACCAGAGAGTAACATTACATTCCCTAAAGTATGACTTTCGTTTCATTCAAAGTTGTCTAATTCCCATCGAGAGGTACATGCACCACATGTAGCCGCAAAGCACGTCTCACCCCCTGCTCAGTGAGGGGCGGTCTCAACGCGCCCCCATGTTCCCCTCCTTGAGAGATCGCGCGCGTACAGTTGCCGCTTGATGAAGGGCATGCAGACGCGGATCGGACACTCAAGAAGCTGCACGCACGCACGCACACACGCCTTCGCCTTCGCCATCTTGCCTCTGTGCTGGCGTCACTTCGCAGTGCGAAGTTCGCACTCTATCAGAGTACGCCAAAGGTCTTGAGTTTGCGAGGGAAAATGTGTATTACGTCAACAGTCGTTGGTGGGAATTAGACAACTTTGAATGAAACGAAAGTCATACTTCAGGGAATGTAATGTTACTCTCTGGTACCTCCAATATTCATGACAACTTTGCTTGCAAATTAGGCCAACTATGGCTGGGCAAAGGTGTACATGTATTTGAGCTATGTACCCCAGAACTCAGACGTCCCACTGCTGTGGATGCAGTCCGGATAATGAGGCGGCACAAATGTTGCAGTGGAGGCGTTCGTTCAAGCGTAAAAAAGCGGTCAGTGATTCATTGCATGTACCGACCAGAGCAGTGTCACTGTAAGGCAAGCAAGGCTACACCAATTTGAACCCTCGACAGGTTGCGTCGTCGAGCGCGCTTGTAGTACACCTCCACACTGTGGGCCGCATAGTTTCCACGAGTCCACCAAGCGTTTGGCCACGTCCAGAATACTGTCCGCGTGAGTCGGACTTGAGCAAGCGCGTGAAGTGAGCGCGACTTCCTCCAGCTCGGCCAGCTCCAGCCTCCCCATGGAGCAGTGTCATCGGCGCTTGCCTTTGGGATCGCAGCCACGGGCCTACACGAGGGTCCCCCTTCACTACATGCAGCGACAGGTCCGTTGAAGGGAGGGTTGTTTCTCCCTCTTTGGGGCCGGGCCTCGATCCTGCATCACACGTCTCGTAATCAACACGATAGATTGGTTAGTCCATTGTGCATACATGTACAGCGATCCGAGCAGCCTCATGAACAGCACGGGCCCAAGCCTGGATGCGTCTTGGCCAACGCCGCTCCACTCGCCCCGCCCGCCGCCCACGGTCCGTGAGCCATCGACGCTGCCGCTCATGGTCGCCTGAGCTGTCGAATCTGCGAGTGTGAGTGAAGGCCCTTCGCTGTTTTGCAAACAAAATCAGCGTGGGGCCATCGCATGACAGCAGACGCGTCTCGCCTTCCCCATTGGCTTTCGGTGCGGTCAGGTCACGCAGTGGCACGGGGCCATTTTCCCGCCGAACAATTGAGCTCCCGCGGAGACGGTAGACCCCGTCGTCTCCCTAGGTAAAGTGATGTGTGGTCCATCACCCCTTTGCTTCAGTTCTCGTAGTACGAGTCGTACCTGGGAACGCAACCGAAGTACGAGGAAGTAGAACCGGCAGAACCAGGGCACCGAACGCTAATCACGTCGCCCTCGACTCGAATTCGCCCTCTACATCTCACGCTGAGATGGATAGGCCACAGGCCGTACACCGACAATATCATCTAAAGCACTACATGTGTAGTATTCGCCAAGCTAAACACCGCACGGCAAGCAGAGCAGCAAGCAAAGCAGTAAGCCAGTAGTCTCCCACATTGGGACCGGCAACCATCGCAACCGAAACGCCGTCGGAGCAGTCAGTGCCCAGCCGATCTCTACGGTATCTATATGCTCACGATAAATTTGGTTCGATTTCTTGAATCACAAGCAAAGTGAGCCTGGGGCTTCCACGCTTACGGTCAAGCGCGTGCACGTCCAATCCAGGGGCGAGTCACCCAAGTTTTCGCGCGGCGAGACATCGTTGCCCGCCTTAGCGCTCATCCCCGTGCACGCCGCGCGCAATGTTCCTGAATGCCACTCTCCTGCCTTATGAGCTCCGGCCCGGTCACGCTGGTCATTGCCGTTGCCCTGCTCTTCGGTGCGGATGACTGCCGGAAGATCGCCGTCTTGACCCTTTTTAACAGAGACAGGAGAGACCGTGCGTGCCACGAGATCCGCTATCAATCAGTCGCCAATTCGCCTTCGCCCACCCGCTTGCTTGCCATGGACGACCAGTTCATGCTCGAGGCCATGCACCCCACGGCCGGGTACCTCTTCGCCGAGGAGCTGGACGTGCACTTCATGGACCTGCACTCGACGCTGCTGCTCGAGGACTTCCGGTCGGCCGCCGACTGCAGCTTCAGCTTCGGCGGCGGCTGCAACGCGCCCAGCTCGCCCTCGTCCGTGGCCCTCCTGCCTCTATTCCACCCGCCGCCTCCACTCAAGCTCACACCCTTGGACGAGGCCGACATCTTCATCAAACTGGAGCCCGTGCCGGTCAGCGTCGGTGCCGAGCACAGCTTCCTGACGCCGGTACCTGTGGTGCACGTCGGCCCCGTGACGAACGAGCGCGAGCGCCTCCGCTGTCGCCAGCGCGGCTACGAGAAGCGCTACCGAGGCCGCAAGAGAGTGAGTTCAGCCTTTCATTGCCGGCTCAAGCCCAACTACAACAACACCAACCAACCGTGACTGTGTGTGTTCACAGAAAAACCTCAACCTGCAGCGAGATACGTGGCTCGGCCTCGAGATGAAGCTGGCCGCCGCGCGCAGGAAGCACTGCAAGCCCTACGTCCACCAGGTCCAGAGCTCCGAGGGCTCGCTGCAGCGCAAGATGTTGCTGCTGCTTCAAGAGGAGCGCGCGCTCGTCGAGGACCGCGTCGCGCTGAAGTCGCTCCAGGCCTGGGAGAAGATCACGCGCATCCGCGAGTACGCGGACAAGGACGCGCTGCGTACGGTGAGCGAGTGGCGGCACAGCGCCGTCAAGGTCATCGGCCCGTGCGGCGTGCTGGCCCCAAGGCGGTTCCACCCGTACGCGCCCATGGAGCCGCTCGACTTCACGTGGTGAAGTATCTACGTATCGCCTCATTATTCTCATTTATTTTTTTATTCCCGCTCTTGGCAGTGAGAAAGTTGAACCACGAGGAAGCGCCAGCTAACGAAGAAGTAGGAGTCGGGTCGGCCATGCAGCGGAAGGAAGTACACTAAACGCGCACTAAGCACAAGGCTTTCTTTCTCTAAACTGCAGTCGTCGTCGATGGTCTCCCTTGGGTGCACGCAAATCCACAACGACCCACTTCAATGACTGAAGGGTTCAACTAGCCCACCTTTAAAAGTGGAAGTTCCACTGTTCTCGAAGGTGACGGAATCTGTGGGGCTTGCATATGCGTAGAGTGTGATGAGAAGGCCACCGGTGGTTGCGTGCAGGCCAGCTTGACGCTGTTCCCCGCTGTCTAACTTCAAGCACCTTCTGGGTGGTGCTGGACCACGCTGTCGGTCGTCGATTGCAGGTCTGCACGCTTCAGCCGATGACTGCGTTTTGATCACGGAGGCTCGCCCTGGGAATCCGGTTGGGTCAGGCGTTGGCCGGAACTTTTAGAGGACCAGCGTCCAAGTACCTGCGGAGATCGTGACACCAGCGCAGACGAGCCGCGGCTTCGAAGCGGGAATCCCCCCGCTGTCAAGGGATCTGTCAAGCTGGCCCGCGCAGCGCCCTGCGACCTCTACCTCGAATCTTCATCATCAGCAGCGTTGATAGCAGGCTCCAGGCAGCGTCACACGATGACAATGTAGCAGCGTCCAGGAGCGCGAGGTGTCCTCGGAGCGACCAAAATATGGCTACCAGGACAGCGTATCCATCATGGCGAAACGTCGCTAAGGTTTCAGAGATCTATGGCGCGAGCGACCTGTCTGTCCGCTTGTCCAGCGATGTCCCCCATCTACCTAATACATGTACAGTAATCTGCCCGAGTAAGGAACGCCTGATATATATAAAGACGCATAATATATAAATTGATGTTAAGTTGAGTATACTTTTCCAATGTACTGATTTAGTTCTTTCAAAATGAACTGAAGAGCAGCTTTACCTACGAGTCCGGAATGATTCCAACAGTGGCGTATGGTCGAAGCACTAACCTTTGACCAGACATCCTCGCACCACAACAGCGATGTCAACTGGTCGACCTCGTAGGGATTATCTAGCCCTTCACCAAGCCGGTCGCATCATTTTAAGTGAGGCGGAGACGCTTGGACGGTGTGGACTTCATGGGTGGAGTGGGGCTTGTGGGGCGAGGTGCAAAAGCAAAAGTGCGAGTCTACCACTACGGTACATGTAGTTTGAAGTCTAGTAAGATCGCTAAATGCGCGCCATTTTTCAAACGAGGGTGGAGAGCTGATGATTGGCACCAGATTTTTCACCTTAGTACCTCAGTACCTTACATCCCCCTATCGCCACATCGACTGGAAAATAATATTAAATATGGGAGGCTATTAGTTGTACACCCGTTCCTTATTCGGGCAGAATTCTGTACAACGGCCAAGTCGGCCGTGGCAGCAGGCGCAGAGGGCCTCCCCATCGTACACTCACACTCGGGAGCCCGTGGCCGTGACAGCCGTGGGCACGAGGCCATTGGCCACTTGACGTCGCCCCCAGAGTAGCCGTAGCCCAACTCAGTGTCGAGAAGGAGGAGAGCGGCCGCCATGGACAATCGAGTGAGATCTCCCGGACGAAACTTGAAGCCATGCCGGTCGGCGGGCCGGCGACGGTCGGTCAAGCACTCCTCGTTTGGTTGTTTTCGTGGCCGCATTCGCCGATTTGCGCCCAACCACCAAGCACCATGGCCGTAGTCGCCGACCACGAGCTCACCGCCGTGTGCCAGTTCCTCAACGAGCTGAGCCTCGACGAGATCTACCGGCTGGACCTGGCCACCTGCGACGACGCAGCCCCGGCCTCGGACGATAGTGTCTGCAGCGACGACGAGACGGACTCCTCCTCGTCCACCGTGACGGGCGTCACCACCGATGAGGGCAGCGACGTTGAAGACCCACCGAGATCCGTCGCTCTCGCGTCTTCAAGGAAGCGCGCGGCCGGCCAACCCTCGGCCACCGAGTCCCCGACCAAGAAGAAGCGCGTGCCCAAGTCGGAGCTCCAGCGCGCGCGCCAACGGGTCTACGACAAAAAATCCCGGTCCAAGAAGCAGTTGTCGCACAAGGCCCTGTGCGAGACGTTTGTGCCCGCGCTCGAGCTCTTCGTGGAGCTGATGGCGAAGCGCGTGGGGCAGACCGAGGTGGTGCTCCGATTGCTGCGCCTCGCAGACGAGAGCGAAGGCGTCAGTGCGCCGCCCCCCGCTCACTTCCAGCAATGGTCGGTGAACGAAAGAGCGATCAAGTTGAGCAACGAGTGGCTGCTCAAATGGAGCGAGAACAGATCGACCGAGACGGGCAAGTTCTTCATGCGCGGGCAGGCCAAGGAGATCGAGCTGGAGATGGAAAGGCTGGCGGCGGTTGGCGAGCAGTTAGCTTCTGTCCAGGCCGAGCTGCGGTGGCGACTCGGAGGACCGACGCTCACCTTTACGTTTTAGTCTTGTTTAGTTTCTCATGTACTACGTAGTTGTGCAATTTTAACAAATATTTACGTCCGTCATCTGCACAATAGCAGTGTATTTACGTCCGTCACCTGCACAATAGCAGGTGACGGACGTAAGTATTTGTTAAAATTGCACAACTACGTAGTACATGAGAAACTAAACAAAACTATTGTCGCCTATCGCCTCGAGACCCGCCGTGACCTGGACCAACTTCGGCTGCTTGCACAAGAGAAACTTAAATGGAAAGCCCTCGAGAGGGCAATTGTCGCCGCACTGCCGGCGAAGAAGGACCCGACGTATGCGGACACCACCTTATGCCGTCGACTAGCAAAGCTGAGCCTAGCGACAGCATAGTGTGGCAACGCGAAAACGTAATACATTACATTACCTGCTATTGTGAAAACCGATTAGTTTGTCCTGCTGAATCGACCAGTAAAGCATCGCTCACAGAGGATTTGGAGGATGCTAAATCGGGGATGCCTCAATTATAATCGGAGTATAAATCGTTCATCGGTCTCGTAATTATGTGCAGCCTTTTCGATCAACAGACATCACCTCGGCCCGAGACTCAACCTGTCGCCTCCGTATCTCAGTTGCATGAATTATAGCGTGCAGCTTTTCCTGCTTAGTCCTGCTGTTAGCATTGAAGCCTTGACTATTATAGCCAAGAGCGACTGCAACGATTGTTGTCTGCGCGGCTGATTTAGCCTACAAGGAGCGAATGCCGGTTGCACATCGGTCAGCTCTGGCTAAATCGGCTGATTAGCAAACCTAAATCCGATGCATATGATTTGGCTCTGCAAGTCGCCCTTGCTAATAATCTTGAGGCTAAATCGATGTGCCCCAGTCTAATTAGGAGGTCGGATTTAGTAAATCGGGGATCTTATATCTTAATAAACCACTAAATCGGCCGATTTACAATCCAATAAGACATTCTAATCGGTTTTCACAATAATTACTAAGCAAATACAAGCTCGGCCAGGTTTTGACAATTTTACTACGGGGTTCAAGGAAACCTTTTTCCGGGAGCTTTTGCCCGAGTCGCCAAAGAGTGACATGGCGTCCCCCTTCTTCCTTTTCTTGCACCGTTCGCTGGCCACGAAGCGCGGACCCATTGGCGGCGAGGTCCTCGAGTGGGTGAGGAGCTTCATGTCCCCCCGACAACCGCACGATGCCGATGGCAGGCAGGGCTACCCCAGACCCAGACGTTGCACTCGAGGGTACTGAAGACACGCGATTCATTTGCGGTCGTCTGAGTTGCCCCCGGTCGGACGGACCCCTCACTCTTCATTTGGCGCTGCGTCACGGTCACGGACTCGAGCATGACGGACCCTGAGATGTCCTCGGTCTGGAAATTCGTGGCCGAAGCCAACCTCGACGAGATTTTCAGCGGCCCCGCGACTATGGACATCGCCAACGACGTGGCCAACACCTTGGTGTCGTTCCACTCGGGTGGCCCGGTCAACGCTAACGATACTGCCGTCGTGATCAAGACCGAGCCTTGTGCAGTATCGGACACGTCGTCGGAAGTTTCTTACGACGACAAAACTTCCGTGGCGTCCTTCAATTCGGACGAAACGAGCGAGGACGAAGACATCAAGCCCCTACTAATCGACGCAGCGACCACCGCGGAGATCAAGCGGCTGAAGCAGAAGGCGTACGACAAACGCTACCGCGACAAGAAGAAGGTAAAGTTTTCGGTCATTTGTTACAGGGTTTTGGGCTCTACACTAACGCCGTGTTTTGTTGGATTAAGATTGAGAAGATATTGCTGGCCAAGGATTTCGTGGCCGGGTTGAGGCTGCTCAACGCCCTGCTGGAAGATCGCGTTGAAAGGACGAGAATGGTCGTCATGACGAGGAGATTGGTCTCTCTCGAGCAGGAAACTCAACCAATTGCTGCATGCGAGAGGGACCGGAAGACAATCGAGAAGGAGGTCAAGGAGCAGCTTGCTCTGAACCAAACGGCGACGGAGTACGCCGAGTCGTGGACGACGACCTGGACGAGGGTCAAGCTTGAACAGGGGAAATATTTCCTCAAGGACACGGTGGTGGACATTAACTTCTACATCCAAGGCCTGGCCAACCTCCGCGAGAAACTCACAGAGGCGACCACCGAGCTGGAGTGGTGCATGGAGCAGAAGCCCAACGGGGTGTGGGTGTAGTTGCTGTTAATCCACCGAGTAGTACTGTATACTGTAATAGTTGTAGTTGTAGTGTAGACGTAAAGATGCAGCGGTCTAATGGAACTCTCCATGCACCTTCTACATGATGACGCGGTCGTCTTCACTTCAGCGTCCCCAGATCGGATGCTTCTCTGCGTATCAGGGTGGACACCTGGCCTCTTTCATTCTTCTTCTTCCCTCGGGGCCACCACACCATATAGTACCCATGGACGACATCGAGCTGCAATCCATGGAGAATTTCCTGAATGAGTTCGACGACAGCGAAATCCCTGCATCCCCTACCTCTGTTGAGGAGCAAGACATCACCAGCGCTAATGCGGCTGCACTTCTCCTCGATAAAATCCTCGAATCTTCGCTGGCGACACTCAACTCGGAAGAGGAGGAGACCGAAGAGAGCGATTCCGAGGACGATCTGCCCCTAGCAGTCATCACGTTCCGGGCTTCCAGGAAACGTTGCCTAAGCTTACAACGGAAGTATGACAAGAAATTCCGCAAGAAAAAAGGGGTGCGTGTGCTGTGGATGTATATAGTAACGGTACTCTTTACTAATTTGTTGTTGAGTACAGCGCAACCATGTCGCGATGGCCGAGACCTTCGTGGCCGGGCTAAAGCTGCTCAATAGTCTGCTGGAAGATCGGATTCAACGCACCAAGACCATCACGATGACGAGGAGACTTGTCAACGTGGATCGGAGCGACAAGTGGTACGAGGTCGACCTGTACACCATCGAGCAAGAGGCCAAGCAGAAAGTGGCACTGAACCACGCAACGATGCAGCTCATCGACGTGTGGGTCGTCACGTGGCACCACAACAAGACTGAATACGGCCAGTACTTCCTGAAGTCGTGGTTACCGCAGATCGACAATGGCATTGGTGAGCTGGCAAAGGCCGGGGAGAAGCTGGCGGAAGAAACGATGGAGCTTGAGTTCTGCATACTGCAAAAGCCGAGTGGGGTCTGGATTTAATATTCCTTGCTATTGTCATGAACGTACTCATCCGATTCATTTCGACGTTTGTTTTCCATTTTAGATGGAGGTCTGGGCAACTCATCGCCGTTATCAAGACTTCGATCACACAGTCTCAATTGGCACCAAAGTTGACTAATGTCGAGTCTTAATTTGTCTGGTGTCACCGCATCCCATGCCATCTCTTCATCTCAACGCTATTGTGCACGAAACACCATGAACAACGCGCCCTCTTTTCGGGAGCCTAGACGGCGATCACGGCAGAGTTTCCGCAGCCAGGAGTTGTTGAACTCGCTCACGCTTTCGGCCGAAGCCATTACGCTTCGAGCCGATTCTGGGGACCCCGAGGAAGCAGCGGCCCGAGCGGCATCGCGACGAACCAGTCGGGCGCAGACGTTCAAAGCAGAGAAGCATCGGCCTCCCGTTCACGACGGTGCAGTGCGAGGAGTCACCACCGTGACGCACGCAAAGATCATGACGCTGAAGAAGCTCAAGTCCATGCGCAAATACCATATCGGCGTTCACGGGCCACTAAAGGAGGACGAAGAGGAAGCAGGGGAAGAGGAGGAGAAACGAGTGAAGATCGAAGGTCTGTCTGTCAAAGTTCGACGGAAGTCGGTGATGCCGATAGACCCCGCCGTCTTGCCACGGATCAATCTCACCTCCCCAACACGTAAAAACACAGTTAAAACACCGCACGAGAAGCACGCCATCGGTAAGTTCGAGACGCTCGACAGCAAGTGGAAGGCCACCATTGACGGCGAAGTGGAGAAGTTCATGTACCCGAGTCTGAGGCTTGAGCCGCTGTACGCGCAGGAGGAACCGACTCCAGATGAAGACGCCACCACGGATGAAACTCTCGATGACAAGGCCATGCCGTCTCCACGAACCATCGATGAGGTACTCGCGAATACATCGAAAGTCAGTTGGGAACTGGAGCACGTGATTGCTAGCCCCGCCGCACCCGTTATTGTGCAAGAAGTCGACAGTAAACGCTTGAGGTTTGACCAGAAGCTTCAAGACGCCGAGGCGATGCTGCGTAAGAGAGAAGCAGGTGCAATGAGACTGGAGCAGCGAGTTGATGGCCTACCATCGAGGAAATTGAGCGTATTGAACGCGGTAAGCACCGATACAAATGTACTCGAAAATCATCCGATCGTTCCATGGCTTTATGAGGAAGCTGAATCACCTCAGCAACAGCAGCAGCCAATTCCTCGCCTCCCAAAAGCTCGAAAGTTCATCAAGAAGATCCAGAAACACACAACGAACGCTGGACAGATCGAGTATTACGCCGACAAACAGCATCTCTTTCCAAAGTGGAAGAAGGTACAAGTAGCACAACACCATCAGCAGCTCAGCCCTCTCCCTTTCCACAAAATTCGCCAAAAGACCGACAATTATGATGACGATCACGGGTTTTCTTGGCCTGATGAAGACAGTGACGATGAACCTGAGCGACAAACTGCGAGCCAGCTATTCGGGAAGCTCTCGCCGCGCTCGCTGTTCTACCACGAATGCGTCAAGACGCAGATTCTACCCGAGCCGATCTTCTCGAGGATCAACGAGGTGGCAGCCCCCACCTCTCAACCTCCCACAGCACGAAAATCATCCTCAGCGCCTTCTTCTTTCGCTGCAGTGGCATCATTACTCATGAATTCCAGGAGTAAAAACTCTAACGATCGTCCTGGTCGTGGCAAGCGTCATCTAGCTCTTCAGCTGCAACAGTTCGGGCTTGGAGATGCCAAGATCATCGCTCTATCCACGTCACTTCGAGAATTCCAGGCCATCCAGGTCTTAGACCTCAGCGACAACCGCTTAACCGACGCTTCTATCATCCCGTTGTTGGAATCCCTTGCGGCCGCCACGGACCGTGAAGCGGATGACACTCAAGATTTCGACGACCGATCCCCAAAGGCCAAGCTTCTAGCTGCTGCAAAGCGGCATAAGCGGGACAGTGTCGACAACTCCTCGCTAAAGTCCGGGTGTATGCTCACTGTGCTCAACCTGAGCAAGAACGAAGTTGGTCGGGAAGGGTGTAAGCAGATCGCCCGCTTTCTGGCTGTCTGCAGCACTCTCACATACTTGGATCTATCCCATACAACACTGGGCGGCGACGACGAGGCGTTTGCTCCTGTTGCGGCTGCAATTGAGTCACATCCGTCCTTGAAACGAGTCAATCTTTCGCATAACTCGCTCGGTGAGCGTGGAGGAATCCTGCTCGGTGCGATGCTGACGACACCCACTTGCAACGTGCGGGCGCTGGACGTGTCTTGGAACAGCATTCGACGTACTGGTGCTGTGGCTTTGGGGATCGCGATGCGCACCAACACTTCGTTGCGAACGCTTCACATGAGCATGAACCGATGTGGGGACGGAGGTGGAGAGCAATTGGCAGCGGCGCTGGCATGCAACACGACGCTCACGCAACTCGATCTATCGCACAACGCACTGACCGGAGCGAGTGCCGTGGCCTTCGGCTTCTTCTTGCGTCAAAACCGCTCTCTACAGACGCTGGACATGAAGGACAACAGCCTTGGAGAAATCGGAGCTCGCGCTCTTCTGCGTGCTATTGCGTTGGGCTCGCGCTGTGAGATCAACTTGTCTGTTCACGACCTGGAAACTTCATCTGTTGGCTCGACTCGAGCTGGCAACACGTCCGCCATCTTCGATGCCAGGCTGCCGTCTGCGTCTTCTCCATTTGAGCTCAGGATAGGGGAATCTCCTTTTGCCTTCGCTGTCGCGAGTGAATTGCTCGATGCTGCGTTGATTCAAGGAAGGTGCGCGCTCTCAGACATCAGCTACGAAGAGGATGGAGGCAGAGGCGATGTATCCGCTGCCAGCACGGCGAGGAGCAGATCGGCCAGGGCCAAGTCAGCCCGGGCCAAGTCGGCCAAGAGGAGGTTCGTCTTGGCCGTAGACCAGGAGCGTCGCTGTCTCTACAGCGTAGCGGGCTCGAGCAAAGCACCTTGGAAGCTGCCTGCGAGGGGAACTCTGCGTGCAGCAGCGACATTCCTGCCCCCACCGCTCCCCCGCGGGCCTGTGTCTTGGCTAGACGAGGACTCCTGCCTTGGCCTCATCCACATCGTCAAACGCGGCTTCTCCTCGCGCGATATGATCAGTCTATTGGACTTGGTGCTCGCGGACCTGCAGCTAACGACCACGCAAGCCTCGTTCTTCGTATCTCATCTGCACCCTTCGTTGCCAAAGCTGGAGCTCCTTGGCCGACTGTGGCCGTGTTTAATTGACGGCGATAACGTCTTCAGCTTCCTGCAGCAGCACTTGACTCAAGCGGAGCAGTGGAAACTCATCGATCGCTTCGGCCCGGTCACCATGCAGTTCTCGACCGCAAACCCAACGGGCCACTGGACACTGACACTCCGAGATACGCGCCATCGCAAGCTGGCACTCTGGTTCGCCTCGTTGAACGCCCACCACGCGGCCACCCTGGCCCGATACCATCCCAAGCGGACAGACTGCAGTCAATACGGCCGCGGCTTCTACTGGCGCAACGTCTTCTTCAACCAAAAGCCCATTCAGCTCACGTACACATTCTTCGATCGACTGCCGTACGAAGGAATCCTCGAGTTCGACTACGTCTCGCCGATCCGGCCCGAGGACAAGTACATTGAAGACCACAGCTTGGACTTCCCGGAGAATTCAGAGCTCGACCAGAGCCTAATTCAGGCAACACAGACGGCAATGACAGACCAGGAGCTGGCCACTTTGCTAGCTCAGGTCGGCGCTGAGGTCTGCGCGATCTACGTGCCCGTCCACAAGCGGCAGAATCTCAAGTATCACCTGGTACTGTTCCATCTCGCCATCGCCGGCCGACGGATACTCACACGACAAGCCCACCACGTTCTCCAGCACTTCCCGAAGAACTACGAGTCAGGCCGACTGCGCGCGTTGGTGGCCATGCACCACGCGATTGTCGACTTGGAGTGCTTTGGTGAGTTACTCGAGCGTCTCGCGATGACTGATCGGCCACGAGTGTACGTGGGTTTGGGCTATTTGAGCACGATCATGCCGCTGGCTGTGGACATGGACTTCGAGGTGGACTTCACTCGCGACGACGAGAAGATGTTGCTACGTGCGCTTGTGGACTTGTCGATCTCGTGCCCCATGGACATGATCCGGATCGACAGCACGCGGTCCACCGTCCTCATCATCTACTCCATGTACCAAACCAACACCATCCCCGCTGCTGGCCGCATCTGCTTCCGCTACGTCACGCACCAAGCTGCAAACCGTCTCGAGTGGCTGCGCGCTCGTCAACAGATCTACCGCCACTTTCTCTGCGGCGACCGGTTGAAGAGCTTGAGCGACACTGCGGCACTCGCACTGGCAGCGAATGCTGGTAACAACGATAACAGTAGCAGCGCCACCGCTGGAGGTACTGGTACAATCGGCAACGCAATAGAAAGCGGGAACCCAGCGACATCTCCAGCCTAGTTCGAAGCTGTCTTCATCCATTGAGTGTATTTTTCCTGTAGCATCATCAACCGATGGATCCAGAGCTCCCTGACCTAGAAGATATCAATGTTAATAATCTTGATGTCCTTGAGAGGCTTGTCGGACTTGTCCACGCGCGCGCTTTCGATGTTTGAGACAGTATCCTTACCCTGCTCGACGCGGCCGAACACAGTGTGCTTGTTGTCCAGCCACGGGGTCGGTACGGTCGTAATGAAAAACTGCGAGCCGTTGGTACCCGGACCAGCGTTGGCCATCGAAAGTGTGAACGGCCGATCGTGTCGCAAGCTGCGGTGGAATTCGTCCTCGAACTCGCCGCCCCAAATGGACTCGCCACCCGTGCCATCTCCCAGCGGATCACCGGTTTGCACCATGAAGTTTTTGATCACACGATGGAAGATGAGGTTGTCGTAGTACCCGTTGCGCGCGTGAGTGCAGAAGTTTTCCACGGTCTTGGGGCACTCCTTGCCGAAGAGCTTGAGCGTGATATCTCCCATCGTCGTGTGCATGACTGCCGTCTCACCAAGCACCTTGGACGTGCTGGACTCCGTGGCCACCTGCGCCTCCTCGAGCGTTGGCTTCTCGTTGAAAACGTCGCGGCCGGCACCAGCGCTGCCGTCTTCGCCCTCGTCCTCCTCGGGCTCACGAGATGAGAACAGAAAGAAGCGGTTACGCTTGAATGACGTGCAGAACAGTGTCGGGTCGATGTTGTCGCGCTCATTTGCGGAGTCGGACATGACCTCGGCTTCGTGCTTGAGTCCAGACGCAGCCTTCAGGTGCTTCTCGAACTGCGTGTTGACCTTGGGCTTCCCTTGGAACAGACTCAGCCGCAGGAAGCGGTCCGAGCTTTCTACCTTACCCAGCACCTTCACAACCTTGTTCGTCTCGATGTTCAACACCTTGATACCAGCCAGCGTAGGGTACAAGATGAAATGGCCTGACTCGTCGAACACGCAATTGGAGACCACGTCCGAGTTGGCCAGCTCTCGCTCCACGGCGGCACGTCGGCCAAAGTCCAAAGCGTCGAGGTGCAGCGTTCCGTCAGCTTGGGCGTCCTCGAACACCGGAAGACTCTCGTCGTACTTGCGCCGCATCTTCCCTGTGGCGAACCTGAAGACCCTAATCTGGTTGTCCTTGGCCGTCACGACGAAGCTCTTGCCGTCGGCCGAGACGTCAATGGCCGTGGCGTACGTTTTGCATTTGGCCAGTTCGTATAGGTCCGTCTCTCCCTTAAACTTGAACTTGGCCAACGACTTGTCCTTCGGGAACTTGTACGTGTCCGCGTCCCAGTACTCAATGATCCCCTTCTGGTCGGCCGAGATGACGCAGTTGGCCACTGGGTTGAAGGCCAACACCGTGACTGGGGCCGCATGTAACTGGCTGATAGTGTGCACGGGTTCGCTGGCCGCGCTCTCGGCCGTGTAGATCCTCAGGGCCGGGCTGTTCTTGTCGGCCACTACGACCTTCGGCTCGATGGCCCCTTTGGCCGAGATCCAGCCGCACTCGGCCGGCGTGAAGGCCACGCTCAGCATGTTGACCATGTCGAAGGCCAGCACGTCGTAGAACTTAATGCTGCGGTCCGCCGACGTGCTGCAGAGGCGCAGGCCGTCGGCCGACACGGCCAGGCCGTGCACCTCCTTGAGGTGGGCCTTGTAGTGCTTGACGAACTCGATGCCCTTGGCCATCTTCTTCCAGAACTTGACGTGGCCGTCCACGCTGGCCGTGATCACGAACTGCGTCTCCGGGGCCACTAGCACGTGCGAGACCGCGGCCCGGTGCATGAAGCTGCGCTCGTACATGGCCGCGCTCGGCAGGTTGCGCAGGTACGCGGCCTCGAACGGCAGCTTCTTGTGCTTCTTCCTCGCCGGCTGGGCCGGCATGGGCATCGGCATCGGCATCGGGCCATCGTCGTCCGAGCTCGCGGCCTCGTCGCGCGCGTGGACAGGCATCGCTACGGCCAATTACGATGTGATCAAATGCGACGAAGATGATTAGCTGTAGCCATATCGAATAGGAGAGGGATCATGTTGAAGTGATAAATCGATGCTATTGGGGTGCTTTTTGGTCCCTTGTTCACAGCGTTTGGACCGGCAGGTGTCTAAGACGCTCGGCTAGATAGCGCTGCATGGCCTGGCCGATCTTGATCCATAACGGCGAGCTCAGCGTCAGTGGGCAGAATGAGGCCCGGCCGCTCTTCAGCCACGAGTCCTTTTCGATGGACGTGATCATGCCGACAAAGCGGTTGGAGGTCGGGTTTAGGATCGGTCCACCGGCGGTGCAGTCGTAGATGTTGTCGACCTTGACTACTCCGCCGCTGATAGAGTCAATCTGAGCGCGTAACCCCAGCGGCACCGTTTGCTGGAATCTCTCGATCATGCCTATCCCAGCCACCACGACCTGTTGGCCGTCTTCCAGGTCAGTTTCCGGTATCAGGCATCGCGCCAGCGGCACGCCTCGCTCCTGCTTCATCAGAGTCACGCCGTACTCATCGAAGTCCTTGACTTGCTCCACGTAGCATTTGATGCGTCGTCTTCTGCCAGACATTTGTCAGTGCTGAGCTTCGGAGACACTGATGGCCGTGAGAAAGAAGCCCTGGGTCGAGACGGCAAACCCCGTACAATGTCCGCTCGTGTCACTCGCTGCAGGCAGGTCGATATCTCGCATGCAAAAGGCAGCTCTGCCCGACACGGCCAATGTTGGCTGGTCGCAATATCGTTGCCGTTGAGCTTCGTATTCTTTCGTCTCTCGCTCTCGGCGTTTGCGATCTCGCTTGAGCTGCGCGGCCATTTCTTAAAAGGGCAGGGAACTTGGATGACCCTACTTTGGGAAATGAGGAGAGATTCACTAAAAGTTCTTGTCCGAATACATCTATCGCTCGGACACTAAGTTCTGATGGATACTCACATGACTGAAAATGTTGGTTTATACTGGGATAGGAAGCAACGTTAGTGCTGCTATCGCACACCAAATAGGATTATATCCGTGGTATGTCAAGTCAAACGATGCCCCTCTTGATATATTTTCTTGAAACCAGTACGACTACGGTGCTGCACTGGGCCCTCCAAAAGGTTGGGCAGACTGAACCGGTAGGATACCTATCACACCGGTATGGCCCCGGTGATGCCTCCAGGGGGGAGGGTCGCAGTTCGTAGGAAAGGCTAATTGTGGTGTACTAGTTGCGTCTACCGTAGTTGTGGTGTATTGTCTGCTAGCCGCAGTAAGCAAGCATACCCATCATTACTAGCCTAGAACTCACAAGGGAGGAACCTAAGTAAGTAGGTTAATTTGTCTTTTTTCCGTAAATTTAAAAAAATTACGCAAGCTTGCTCTCCTCACATAGCTACAGTGAAGACAGTGAAGACGTAAGCATATTCTAAAACCCTGTAAGCGTGAAATACGGTACGATCAAAGGTCCTGATCACCAAGACGCGAATCTAATAAAAATGACCACCGTAGCAAGTTACCTGCGCATGAACTTTTAAGTTTTACCTGTTACTAAACACACTCAAATGCATATCCCACCTAGGTGGTTTGTCGGCCCTTCGCTTGGTAGTAATGCTAGTGATATCAATGCATGACGGAACCTTTAACTCGACCAGGTGCAGACATGTTTCCCGACCGGAAATCCACGCACCTCCTGTTAGTGGTTTCTGGCGCGTAGACATGAATCAGTCGTGCGTTATTAATATCTATTAGAGAGCTTTCACAACCAGTCCTAATCCGAATTGTACTTAATGCTGACTTTATCGGAGTCACTGACCGCACACTTTGGATTAGAACGTTTGGGTGAGCATGGTTTCCTCGCAGTAAGCTTTCCAGATGACGCAAGTGGGCTCGACGTTAAATCGAGCTGTACAATGCGCATTTAATTGTCGTAACGGAGATGTAGTTAAATGATTATCACACCAACAACCATGTGGGGAACTAGATTTCTTTATTTTCCAAATGAAAAAAAATCACAAGCGACTTGGGCGCGCCTCACTTGCGGCGCACAAGTCGCAATAATAAAATATTTTCTCTGAGCTTACGTTAACACTAGGACGTATCGAGATAGTCTTGCGTTCTTTGAATTCGGTCACACAACCCGCCTGCACAGGATCGAGGTTCGCAGCGAGTAGATTATCTTGCAGTCGGACGCCTTTACGCACGTGCTGGTAGACCCTTCCAGCGTAACTTTGTCTTTCGGGGCGTCCTTCAGATCGTGATACAGAGTCTTGACCTTTCCCAGCAGCGAAGGCCTCGAACATGCCCCGACAAGCATTAAGATCAGACGAGTTGTCGATACCGCAGCAATTGTGGCCGAACACATTCGTGCTGCACACGTAGTTGTGCCTTAGCTAACTACTGCCTGCATATGAATCACCCCCTAGAGCACCAGCACGTCCAAACGCGTCGCATTCTACAGTACAATCAGTGAAAAACAAAGTTAAGGCCAAGTTTCTCTATTTTAATGATTGAAATCATAGGAGTACCTGAAGACTCAAGCGCAGGTTGCTGCTCCTTCCTGCCCTTATGCGAGCATCCAATTCATGTCCGTTCTCCTGTTCAGCGAATTCTAAAATGGCATTAATCAAACCGGCCCCGCTCGGATCGGGAACATCATGGCCTATACCACCATCTAAAGGTCTTCTGGCCTATACCTTTGATTTTGTCCCCCCCTGAGTTATGTGTCCAACACTAGTTAATCCGTATACAAATGCTTAGATAAATCGACTCAATACAACAGTAAGTCATTCGAATGCATACAAAACTCAATATATTTGATTTCAATACAAAAGTCAAGAAAATAATTCTGGCGATACCGGTATCTGACATCAAACAGGTAGTAACGACAGTTCTTACGAACTGCGAATAAATCAGGATGGAACCGGTCCGAGGCCGGTCCAAACGGGGGGAGCGGACAGCGCCCGAATAAATCCTGTGTGGGCTGGGCTATCAGCACTTCGTCGCTTCCTATCCCAGTACTTTTGAATTTGAATTTGTTGCGGTTTAGATGGCTATCTACTCCCAGGATCGCGCTCAGCTGTTCCTATCCCAGTACTAGGGCTCCGCGAAGGCTGGGATAGGAGAATTTTGGTATAAACTCCCTCTTCATTTTAATTGATTACTTTTCTTATGAGCTACGGTCATCTCCTGTGCCTGCTTCGCAGCCGCAGCATCTGTCAGAAATTGGCCTTAAGACTGTAGATGCCAGATATCAAGTGGCAATGTTTTACAAAATTAAAAATGCGAACCTTGGCTGAGATTTGTTTGCAGCTTGTAGAAGTTTTATACTTGAAAATGCAAATGCTTATCTCTAGTGCTATTACAGTTTTCCGCCTCAATCGTTATCTTTACTTCAATTCGTTCACTGCTCGAATATATATATACTGAATCATACCGGTGTCGTCGGTTGCACACCGGTTGGTTCTGCCCACGCATATTCGCTGTTGGATGTCAGATACCGGTATCGCCAGAATTATTTTCTTGACTTTTGTATTGAAATCAAATATATTGAGTTTTGTATGCATTCGAATGACTTACTGTTGTATTGAGTCGATTTATCTAAGCATTTGTATACGGATTAACTAGTGTTGGACACATAACTCAGGGGGGGACAAAATCAAAGGTATAGGCCAGAAGACCTTTAGATGGTGGTATAGGCCATGATGTTCCCGATCCGAGCGGGGCCGGTTTGATTAATGCCATTTTAGAATTCGCTGAACAGGAGAACGGACATGAATGGGATGCTCGCATAAGGGCAGGAAGGAGCAGCAACCTGCGCTTGAGTCTTCAGGTACTCCTATGATTTCAATCATTAAAATAGAGAAACTTGGCCTTAACTTTGTTTTTCACTGATTGTACTGTAGAATGCGACGCGTTTGGACGTGCTGGTGCTCTAGGGGGTGATTCATATGCAGGCAGTAGTTAGCTAAGGCACAACTACGTGTGCAGCACGAATGTGTTCGGCCACAATTGCTGCGGTATCGACAACTCGTCTGATCTTAATGCTTGTCGGGGCATGTTCGAGGCCTTCGCTGCTGGGAAAGGTCAAGACTCTGTATCACGATCTCAAGGACGCCCCGAAAGACAAAGTTACGCTGGAAGGGTCTACCAGCACGTGCGTAAAGGCGTCCGACTGCAAGATAATCTACTCGCTGCGAACCTCGATCCTGTGCAGGCGGGTCGTGTGACCGAATTCAAAGAACGCAAGACTATCTCGATACGTCCTAGTGTTAACGTAAGCTCAGAGAAAATATTTTATTATTGCGACTTGTGCGCCGCAAGTGAGGCGCGCCCAAGTCGCTTGTGATTTTTTTTCATTTGGAAAATAAAGAAATCTAGTTCCCCACATGGTTGTTGGTGTGATAATCATTTAACTACATCTCCGTTACGACAATTAAATGCGCATTGTACAGCTCGATTTAACGTCGAGCCCACTTGCGTCATCTGGAAAGCTTACTGCGAGGAAACCATGCTCACCCAAACGTTCTAATCCAAAGTGTGCGGTCAGTGACTCCGATAAAGTCAGCATTAAGTACAATTCGGATTAGGACTGGTTGTGAAAGCTCTCTAATAGATATTAATAACGCACGACTGATTCATGTCTACGCGCCAGAAACCACTAACAGGAGGTGCGTGGATTTCCGGTCGGGAAACATGTCTGCACCTGGTCGAGTTAACCCTTTTGTTTCCAAAACGCAGCATGATGCATCGTTTTGCAAAAGTGGATAGTTTGCTATAGAAAAACGCTGCATCATGCTTCGTTGAACTACCTTGTTTTCTGCTCACACTGGCCACAAAACGGGCGCTTGCGGAACGGCTATATCGGAAATGTATAGTTTTGGCCAATCAATGTGTGGCAGCATAGGACGTGTCACATGATTTATCTTGTGAACTGGTGTATCGTACGCAACTAAAATTAATTCGTGAAGGAAATTACCTATCTGGCAGATTGTTTCCATTAGCTACTTCCCTGTCGCTCGAAAAGAGTCATCAATGAAGCGTGAGCATAGAATTTTTGGAGATTATATGCAAGAAAGTATGCCATACTGTATCTAGTACCATAGCTCTCGAACTAGCGAGTTCGTTGTGTGCATCACATCGACAAAAACGTAGCTACTGCCCAATTATTCAAACTATGTATACGTGTATGTCATACTTTATCCGATATATTTGCCCCGCCTGCAGACTAGAGTGTGTATCACAACTGAACTAGTCATGCCAAACTTCAGCGACGACGAAGATGCCATGCTAGTAAAGCTAGTGGGCCAATACAACAGCGTAGGAGGGAAACCAAATTGGCCGTATATCACAGAAGCCATGAGTATTTACGGCATACCACGAAAGGTACTGCAAAATCGGCTCAAGACTTTGAAGAAAACTTATGGAAAAGATTTATCGAAGTTCAGGCATCGCAGTGCTCAAGGCGTGATCAACTGCTCTCGTAGCATCAAGTATCGTTTAATCTAAAGCCCACGAGGGTATGGAATCGCTCGTATCGTCGCTTTTTGCGCACGTCAAAGGCAAGGATGTTCGCCAATTATCGGGTTGCGCACACTTCAATGCAGGCGAGACGACTTTCGCGGGTGTTAAATCAGTTGTTGACCATCTTCGACTTACACCTGCAGATGTCTTCGTCGACATTGGCAGCGGGATCGGGAATGTCGTTGTGCAGGTGGCGTTAGAGGCATCAGCCAAAGTGTGCGTCGGCATTGAGGTGAGAGGGGAACTGGTTGAGATTGCTGAAGATATCGTTCGGCAACACGGCCGTGTGCTCCCCCAACTAAGCAGTATACACCGACATTCGCAAGTTGGATGGAACTGCCGTCGATCTATTGCAAGGTGCTATGGTTTTGTTTTCGAACAACAAGCTATTTGAGGAGACAGCTAACCAAGCTCTACAAGATCTTGCCTGTCAAGTCAACCATGTCTCAAGAGTTGTCGTTATGGAGGCGTTTTGCCCGCGCCACAGACAGTCATGTCAACGCTTGTTTTGCGCTCTTTTCGGACCACCAATACTACTGGGAATTGTCGTAACGTGGACAAGTAATGTGCAGAACGTGTATTGCTACAAGAAGATAACTACTGCCTAGCCAATAGATTACACCGTTAGCCTTCGTGATCCGTTGAAACATGCGACTCCATGGCTGGAGAGAAAAATGCCGCACTTCGTTTGTCTGCCAGTAGCTTGCAAGAACTTCTCAAATTCCCGTTTGCTGTAAAGAGTTGTTTGGGCAAATAGAAGTTGTGGAACTTTTGCCAGCACGTCCACAGAGTGTTTGGACACGCAAATGACTTTGGGGGGCCCTCGAAAACCTGCAAGCACAACGACACATTGTGCTCGCCGCAATACACTGTCGATTCTGTAGGAAACCGATCTTCGAAGCGACAGATGACGCATTCGCGTTTGCGCCGCGAGTCCGGGAACACTTGCCACGAGCGCCGAGGTATACATGCCTTCACTGGCGTAGTTGGTGTCCTCACAAGTCCTTCTTTTGATGGAGTTCATAAAATATCCATCCTCGTAAAGTAGACCAGTGTCACATAGTGAATTTCTCCAGCCTCCGTTTACCAGGGTGAGCTCAAAAACAAAAGTACGATGGGGTCACGACCTTTGTTCCCCTTCCCAGCTAGCTTCCTCGTGATGAACGCATTGCACCTAGCAATATCAATAAAAGCCATCGCTAGCTTCTGTGCCAGCGCCGAAAGGTATGGCCATCTGCCACCGAAAACCGAGAACGTAGCTGATCTAGTCTGTCAACACCTTGCATCTTTTGGTTGTACTTAATCACACAACGTGGTGCGCCGAACTTCACTTTATTGTTCGCCACACGACGCTCCACTTCAGTCATGGTGGACGAATCGGCATTGGAGACTATATTAACCACCGATCCATCAACCCACGAGGCCGCAATGATCTTGTTTTTCGTGCTCACTCCTTGCCTCATTGCGCCTCGTTGCCTTTCTTCGAGATCATGAAGCACCGAGGAAAGTGCTTGCTATTTTCTCGACCCAAACAACCGCAGACTCTCAAGAAGCTGGCAAGACGTGTACACCTTTGCCAATCCAAGTTGGCAGTAGTGTAAGGCAAAGCCGACAGTGCCGTAAATACGAAAAATATTTTTTCAAAAATTTATTTTCGAGGATTAGTACAGACCAATGTGGATTTAGTCCACAGCAAACATCTAAGTTCCATACTCCATGGGCTCGCTACGAATAGCAGTGGCGACAGAGAGCGCACAGTGTCGCGCCATCTTGTTAACAAGGCGCATGTCAATGCAAGGCATGCAGTGCTCCGCGGCTTTCTCGAGCAGTCGCATCCTACGCTCCGTCTTCTGGCCGTGCGGCACGTAGACCATCTCATCGTTGCTCAAGCCCAGATACGCCTTGATGCGAGCTTTTAAAACGCTAAAACCACCTGAACAATAATACATTGTATCGCCTCAGTACCTCTAAGTATATCGAACCAAAAGATAAGCTAACCGTACCTTCGATCGGGTTACACATAGGCGAGTACGGCCCTAGGCGTAGCAACTCCAGATCCGCCCGCTGTTGGACGAGATCCTCCGTCTGGCAGTGGGCAGGCGCGTTGTCCAGGACGATGACGATGGTCTTGCCGAGAAAGTGGTCGCGGTACACGTCGTGGGCCTTGACCGCGTCGTATACCTCGTCCACAAACTCGGCATTGACCTCCATCTTGATGCTGCCACGACGCGTGGCGTAGTGCACAAGGCCGACTTCGGGGGAAACTGCGCACTGCACCTGTAAGTTAGCCCCCTTAGAGGGAGAGAACTTGACGATAGCGCGTTGTCCGACAGGAGCGCGGCCTTGCGTCCGCTTACAGTACAGGTTGTAGTTGGTCTCGTCATAATACACGATAAAAGCACCGTTCAGCTCATGCTTCAGCAACGCTTCACCAAACACCCTCCTCTTCTCGATATTTACAGCATTATTGCAGGTCTCGGGCTCTACGCGAACCTATCACTTAGTACAGTAGATGGTAAAAGTGATAGCATAATAACTTGAAGGCGTACCTGCTTAACAGTGTAAAGCTTTTCGCAAAGCGTCTTACTGATCAACGAAGTGCTGATGTGCACCCTGAAGTCGAACGCAAGCATTTCCTGCATCTGCACGAGTGTGTACTGGCAGTTGTCTTCCAGGTAGCCCACGAGAGCTTCCTCCATTTCTGGAGTACACTTCGTGCACGCCGCCCGCGCGCCGCCTCTCTTCTTGACATCAGCGGCTTGGCGGTGGACGATGTTGCGGGCATTAGTGGGAGGGATGCCGTTGCAGTCGGCAACCAGCACCCAGTCACGCCCTTCTCGGTGTGCATCGAGCACAGGCGTGCGGGCCGCAAGCCCATGCTTCGGCTCTTGGGGAATGTTGCCGGCGGAGACAGTCTGTTACTGACCAGTGATTTGCGTTTGCTCTGCACTAAATCCACATTGCTCTAAATACTAATTTCAGAAATTATTTTCCGATTTTTGGATGTTACTTAAGTTACTTCACACCATTTTGCTTTACACTGCTGCCAACTTGGATTGGCAAAGGTGTAGAAGTTGTCGGTGTTGACAATTCTCTTAGACCCATGAAACGGTCGAGTAGCTTCAATCACATGCTTCCTTACTTCGGATGAAAATGCCGTCGCCGCCTCCAAACGCGCAATTGCATCGTCGTCTTCCACTCCAGATAGGTGAGAAGCCATATCACTCGAACAATGAAGCCGAAACTTCACTGCTAACCACGTCGACGAGCAGCAGCACATGTAGATCTTATAATGATACTTGCCCGTGGGTTTGGATGCATTGAAGAAAATCAGATGCCTTGCATAGCGCGATCGGCATGCGATGCTCGTTTCGTCAACAGCACAGTCGCGCCCAATGTCAACGAACTTAGACGCACGGACCTTAAGCAGGTTCAGCAATGGGCGAACTCGAGCGGCTGGGTCTCGAGCCAAATCAGCAGGGTCCACATCATACCGAAAGCACAGGTTGCTGCGGATGTGCTGAAATCATCACAGTCTCGAGACCCAGGCTGCCCACTCCAAGAATGCTGTCTTCTACTTGACCCAATAGTTGGAATACCCCCCCCCCCCTTATCCACTAACGTCATGTAGAAAAGAATGCCAATGACGCGCATCATTTCATCCAAGCTGACCTTTGGCTGCTTGAGCGGTGCGGCATACTTGTTTGTATTCTCCACTACCTTCTTCCAGAACGAGATTGGCAAGTAAGCGAAGAAACTCGATACAGCAGAGTGCTCGAAAACAGGCTTGTATTTTCCATGCAGCCTTGTGTCGAAGGAGCCGTCTTCACGCGTAAAAGATCTGTGGGTGCTTCCAACGCGGCATTCGCGTAAAACTCCATCTCAGCAATCTTCTCCACTTCAGCTTGGTCTTCCGGAAGCTCCTCGGCTCCTTCGAAACGAGCATTGGCTTCATCGATCTCGACGAAGTCGTCCCAGATATCATCAATCTCTTGTGCCTCATGATACGGTCGGCACAACGCATCCCAGGCATTTGGCCCGAGTTCAATGCCAACAGCACGAGCGTGGTTAATCACTCCCTCTGATGCCTTGTCGTAGCTCACATAGTGCACGTGCTTCTTTGTCTGGTAGCGGGTTGAAGTCCAACGTACTTCAAACTCAACAGCACCGTTTCCGCCCTTGACGCGCCGCTGCCGTGAAACCATCCCAGTCAAGTAGTTTGGACTAACTTCACTATACAGCGCAGCAGTCATCCACGACTCGCGATCAGGCCGAAAGCAGACATGACTGCCTATCTTCACATTGGATGCTTGTCCACACGGCCCGTCCACTAGATCTTCACTCTGCAACCTCGCACTGTTGCTTTCGACGGTAGACATCTCTGCTCCATCGTTCCTACCGCGCGTAGTGCCCGCTAGAAGTCTCTGCTTCTTCTTTCTGAAGGATTTCACAGCTGCAGCACTGAGGTTTGTCTCCGGCTCCCAGCTATTATCGTCGGAGTCATAGCCCCCCATTTCACAAAGAACATACCGTTATCTTCTTCCAGAATTCTGTCGATCTCGTATCTTGCTTGCTTGCATCGCTCGCGTCAACCTCATTCTCGATGCTACTGTCTGTCGCTTTGTCGAACTCGAGGTTCCGCTTGGCCTTCTTTCGGTTTGACCTACGCGTCTGTTTCCTCGACTTTGCCGGCCGCTTGGCCATCTTCTTATCTTCTAGTGCTTTCTAGGAGACATAATGCAAAGTGAGAATGAGAACACCCACCAACCTTTCGACCATATGCAAGGAGTACATGTGCGGACAGGGTAACGAAAAACGCAAGGCCATATGTGCAACAACGCTATACCATCACCATTACCAGATTACCCCGCTTCCATAAGACATTGAAACAGCAACCTACATGCCTGTCCACCCCAACAAGCCAGACAAAAACCTCTGCCGCTCAGGCACCACCTTAACGCAAGCAGGCTGACCTTACTCAAGCGCACACGACAAAAGGTTTCCAGGTTCTGGGGCCCAGCATACAGCTTGTTGGTTCATACAACTTGTTGGTTCATAATATACGCGCACAGAAAATACTCTCTCCACATGTTCCGTGTGTAACAGCGCACAAACGAGGATGAAGCACAGCAACCAGCGCAATTCTGCCGGTCTGCCGACCGTTGTGTGCTGATCTAGGCGCTAATACCTGGTCAACTTACAGAAGGCGAAAGATGGAAGCTGACCTACCGAGGGTCTCTCGGAGTATTCTTTCTCGATGTCAACATACATCAAAACGACACCCTACAGCTTCAGTATCCACGGCACAATTGCACACACGCCAAGATATAGACGCCAGGATCTGCATAGGCGTGGTCATGCTCGTCTACAGAGGCAACTTGCCGCATCCTAGTGGTTTTCGGCACTGTCGTCTGGGACTCCCGAGCTTGGCTTCTGCGAGTCGCAGGGCAACAAGTGGATGTCCTCGGGCGCAGTGTCGGAAGCCAAAAAAGGTGTACAGGTCTGGCGAGCGCTTTTGTGGTCCTGCTGCGGACAAGTTGTTGAACTCTCGTGCCAGCAAAAAAGACCGACCGAAGAATTTCACCGAGAATGTAGTATTGAGACTACAGAGCGCGGATGGTCAAACAAGCAAGGAGGTTAACTCGCATGATGGATACGCTGAATCTGCTGCTGTATCGGTCTCTGTCGTCGCCGGTAAAGGTCGAAATGACGACTCAAGTTGTACGCAAGTCGAGAACCGTGATGATACTGCTGACGAGGGATTAGTGTACGCAATTGTGGATCGCATGCCGGTAGGGCTTGCGTATTGGTACAGGGTCCAGTGGCGAGATGAGCCTGATGGATACCGGTGGGCCGACTCATGGCTGCCCAGGAAGCGTTTGCTGGAGGACGGCTTTGAGAAAGCATGTGCGGTCGTGGACATGTGGAAAGCGTCTAAGTACGCGTCGTTTCACGAGTTTTGCCGAAGAAATGGACACGTGCACAATATCGGTGCCTCGCCGTCAGCGAATGGAAAATGTGCAGTTGTTGCTGTGGAGACTGCAGTTACGCTTCTCGGTAACTCTGGTTGGGCACCCCCCGGGTGCTCTGGTGCATTTGTGGAGTACTGCGACCAGCGGGGTCGATCCTTGTCGCCTGACGGTCTGACCACTCGAGAGCTTCGTTTCTACATCAAATACCTGAATGATCGGTGGGTGTGGTAGTTCGAAGACAAGTCAGATCAGCATCCGCGTATTCGATGACAATTTGCTAGGAGATGTCAACGACAAGAACGCGTCGGAAGTATTGGTGAAATGCGCTCTAGCGGAGTTTACGTGTGCGCTGCCTACAGCTCACTACGAGTGACGCACTGCTTTGCGATCAAAGTTTTGAGTGGTGATAAGCTCATTTACGATGACAACAATGTTGCGGTGGAAATTCAAGCCTATGACGCAGAGTGGATCATGGGGATTATCTTTTTGCGCCGAATCGCGCTATACCTCCCTTAGTATTTTTGGCTGACAGCGTCTTCGTCTTAGGTATTACCTCGATTGGCTTAGCCACAATATGCATTACGGTAAGACTGAGAGTTTTTTAAATGAAGCCTTGGGTTTGTTACTTACTCGTGTCTTATTACCACGCTGTTAGTCAGGTCAGACTGCAACACGCGTTCATTCTACAAAATCCTTGAACCAACCCAGAAGATCGTAGCACACCACTCAGTATGAGGGCACACAACGCAGTATGGATCTTCGCGGCAGCGGTGGGGAATCGATACGCGCGTTGGTATGCAAGCTTTCGTCAAACTTTACCTGAATTGGAGCGGCGTACGCGTGACACAACCTTCTTGTGTGGCCGTGGCGGTGATAAAATTCGGGACGCTTGGCGTGACATTGGGCCGGAGGAACGCGCACGTCTAATCCAAGCAACACCGGATTCCAGTTTCCCCAATGATACGTACGGCATCATGGACGACGTAAGGCTTACCCAGGACAACGAAAGAAGACGTCTGGCACAACATCGCCCAAGACCACTACGGCCAGAAAGACTACGGCCAAGATGGCCACCGCCAAAACGACTACGGCCAAGACGACTACGGCCAAGAAGACTGTGGTCACAACGTCTACTGCCACAACGACTACGGGCAAGATGACTACAGCCAAGACGAAGCGGCAACACGTTCAACCGACTTCCACGAACACTCCAAAACGTGTTCGATACAGCAGTCGAGTGACTGATGAGCCGATGCCAACCCAGCCTGTACAGCATGATACTCAGCTGCAAACACGATTCGCAGAGATGGAGCGCGCGCGTAACAACTACTACACAGTGCTGAGCAAAGAGCAGGATCTCTGAATCCACGCAGCTTACAATGGCGGGAGTATGGTCGGTATTATCGAAGCTGCTGTGGCCGGTGCGCAGAACGCGGTCGTCTTGGCCAGAATCAAGGACAAACCTAAGACAGTGGAGGACGCGTTTTCCGCCGTCGCACTTCGCTTGGACGATGTACTGGCGGTTCTAATGGGAACCGCTCAGTTCGAACCGGACCCTGAGTACGATCAACCCGATCCAAGGTTTGCTGCGGCGCGGATTAGACGCGCAAAACGACGATATGATGATACCAAAAGCGCCCTGTACAAGTTTTGTGTTGAGCGTGGAGCGGATGTACCTGGTGAGATCGTCATCGGGAATCGTACGAGTCGATTCTTTGGGAGAGTTTAAGTGCATCGAAACTTTTTGTGAGGAAGCGATTTAGGTTGTGGGTATCGTCGATTTCCACAGCGATAAAGCAAAGAATACATGTATTCAATCACCTAGAGGGTTTGACCTAGTCAGTGTTCTCTATTCTAATAGAATGTCTTGAACTGTCAGCGCTGGTGCTGCATGAGCAGGCCTTCCAACGGGCCCTGGGAGACCTTCAGAGCTGGGAGCTGAGGATGTACTGTTCGTCTGCTTCGTTTTTCGGCTAGACGCGTTTCCCTTCGACTTTTCTGGTTTGGATTGCTTACGCTTGGATCCGGAACGTTTTGCCTTGGCCTTTGCTACGATTCTGTTTTTCAACTTCGCCAGTGGGTCGCGTACACTACTGGTGATGTTAAATTTCCGGAGAACCGCTACAACATGCCAGCACATCAGCATTTTCGAGAAGTAGGGACAGGTGCATCGCTTGCGTGTGGTGTCAACTAGCCACCCATCGGAAGGCATTCCTATGCGATGCGAACGCCGTAGAGACCATGATGTGGCTTGCTCGAAAAGCCTTTTCCAATTCGTGACCGTGTCGTCGTCCTCCTGTCCATCTGAATCCAGTCTAGGTCGTAGTATGGCTGGGATATCGCTCGCCGACGAGCTATCGGACGAATCTGATGTTGGGTTGTCTTGCGTGGATGTCAATGATAGAAACAAAGCCAATTGGCTGCTCGGTCCTGTTGCCGCATCGGTACACGTGGAGGGAGCCGCATTGACTGTCTCCAGAAGAAATCCGTTTTCTTCATCAGCTTGTTGGTCTGTGTCGGCGCGTAGAATCTCGAGGACTCGTACTTGGTTCGCATCGCTTGTCCTGGTGATAACAACTCGAGAAGCTCCAAGCATAGCTGTCGCTGCCTTCACTAACTCAGATGTTGGTGTGGATGTATATTCTGCTGGCGCGGGCTTGACGGGACTCGTCGTTTCGATGAAGGTCCCGATTTTTTCGAGTAATCGACACATATGATGCTTACGGCGCTGCAGAAAATGCCTTAGTCTCCATTTAAGTTTTCGCAGGGATTGTTGGTTAATGCGTAGCCCTCAGGATTGTGGTACAGTTGCCATCGCCAATAGCGGTCTGTTAGCCACTGCTGCTCGAAGTAGTCCGCGAATTCAACGAGATGTGTCTGCTTGCGCCAATTAGCTATTTCTAGATCTCGTGTACGCTCGAACTCCAACAAGCTTTGCGTAAAATGCATGTCGACAATCGAGTTCATCACATTTCTCCTTTCATCAAAGGGCAGGTGCTGTGTGCGTTTACGTACATTGTACATAACGTGAAAATATCACGTCAGCTTCGTAGCATTTGCAAAACTGGGCACGTTCTCGAGAGCCAAGAATTGAGCATCCTCAGCATCGCTCATGGTTGCATCGATACGAAGTGTTGCTCCTCGAACATGCCGAACGACGTCAGCAAAACCGCGCAAGCACTCGGTGTATTCATGTTCCGTGCGCCGACTCACCACGAAAAAAGCACCAACTTGGTATGAACGCCCTCGGTCCGTGAAGCCGCAAGTTATCACTGGATAGCCCAAGTCGCTAACCTTAAACGTGGCATCCGCATGGAACTGCACAAAATCACCCGAGTGGCAGAACCGTAGGCAGCTATCGATAAGTGCGAGAGACGTCACCCCAATAATGAAAGGATCGTCGTCCTCGCCGGACCCCACATAAACAAAGCCATCCGTGTCCAACTTAGGTCCAAACAGAAAAGCGGAATCTGGCTGAAGTTCTGGATTGTAGCGGCGAGCGCGAGCCATTTCATGCACGGCCTTGATTGAATTTTTGGTGCCCTTCGAACGCCGGTGAACTTTCAGCGCATTTTGAATCTGGGAGAGCTCTGGCCATCCGCCTTTAGATGGCTTGATATTTGCTTGCTTCTTGAGATGTGCCAGAATAATACGTGGGGCGTTCCCAATCTCATCTTGTGCCGCGATAAATGCTTTCATCGGCTGTGTCACGACTGGCCGATGCTCCGCAGTACAGGGAAGAACACCACGGGCATGTGCCTGCTCGTTTACAGTTATCTGCCACCTGTCCTGAGCTGTGCAGTAGAACACCTTCCAGACCACGCCACATTTGCCAAACTCGCGACAAGTGCTGCTCAAGCACCGAAGACGTCTTTCTGTCATCGTATGTTCACCAGCACAAACACGGCAGTTGTCAAAGTCGACCTTGTGAAATATCGCCGAGCAGCACATCGACTCGTCACGGTAGTCATCGAATTCCCCCGTGGAATTGTGCACGGCTTGCTGATGCCAGCCAGCCATGGCCGCTCCTGAACGAAAACTTTTGTCTGCAGCCGCCCGTGTGGTAACTTGGCCAGCACAATTAAGCTGATATTTATATGCATCACAGTGGTTAGCGGTTATATTGGTGCCCCACAAATATAGTCTCTCCCTGTTGTCACTCCAACTGTATGGTGCAAACCCATATATATATTCACTCCCCATGTACGTATATTTGTGCCTACAAATCTGTATATTTTGACACCATCGTCAGCGCACACCTACTCCACCAGCAAGCTGCTTCTGCAGCCCGTGCTGGCGACGCTGCGCCACGACGCCATCTCCAGCACTACGACGCCGAGCATTCGCTAACAACGGCACACACACACACAGTATTAGAGACATTAACAAGATCGTAGCAAACGCAGCAGAGCAGACAGCACTTTCGTTTTCTTTTGCGACGCTTGACTCTGGCCACTGGTTTGTAGCGGTCACCCCTTCGCTCTCTCGGCTTCCATCCTAAGTATTTTCTCTTGATGTCTGCGACACGACACGGATAGAGTGCAGGAATAAATTACACGGTCAAGGTCGATGACTTTAGCATTATGCTAATTTCCGCCAATCAAGTTGCAGCCGCTAAACGCTGCAAAACGCTGCATAATGCCGCGTTTATCTATGGTGGCTCCATCGCCGTCCAGAGCTTCGTCGTTGCTTGTGTCGTCGTGTCGCCATCGTCTCCGGCAGTATTGGCACGACTGCGCTTCCGTTGGGGCCGACTCATGGCGCCCGATGCTTGGATCGTCGTCCACAGCTAAAGATAACTTTGTAGTGTCTTGCGACCCTTGTGCTTGCAGATAAATTGGATTCTGTATTGAATGCTGCCGCTGCGGCAAAGGCCGCACTGGTTTCTGTTAATTTCGCTGAGCAATAAGCTTCCTAGAGTATGCAGTATAGTGTAGTCAAATACAATCTGCCAGTTCCCAGATTCTCGCTAGAGTCCGTTTTGTAGCTGCTGTCGCATCCGTTGCGTGCGATATGCCTGCTGGCACGAGATGTAGCCATGGCGCCACTACACTATGTTAAAGCGCAGAGGGCACGTAACAGCGCAATCATCAAATGGGTGCCAAAACGATGCAGGATGCATCGTTTTGTGGAAACATCTTGATTTAAGTATGCGAACTGTTAAATAGAATTTGTATGGGCAACTAAAGGGTTAAAGTTTCCGTCATGCATTGTTATCACTAGCATTTTCACCAAGAGAAGGACCGACGAAACATCCAGATGGAATATGTATTTGGGCGTGCCTAGCAACAAGTAGAACTTAAAAGTTCATCCGTGGCGAACTTGCAACGGGGGTCATTTTTTTAGATTCGCGTCTTGATGATCAAGTTGATCGAATTTCACTCGAACAGGATTTTAGAATATGCTTACATCTTCACAGTCTTCTACGTAGCTTTGTGAGGAGAGCGTACTAACGACAATTTTTAGTTTTGAAAAAGTATTAATACAATTAACCATACCTTAGATACTTAGGTACTTAGGTAGTAAGGATAGGTACATATAGTCGCTTACTGCGGCAAGCACTAAAAAACGCTACAACTAGGGTAGACGCAACTAATAATACACCACAATTAACCTTTCTTACGAACTGCGACCCTCTCCCCCCCCCCCCGGGACCCACGGGCTTGACCCGGGGCCCGGGTAACCAGTCATGATCTCGCTTGTCCCGTAGGTACAAACTGGTGATGAACCGGTAGTTTTAAGGTTAATGTTGACCGACGAGAATGATGGCTGACGAGAAAGTCCGTTTTCATTTGAGAATCGCTCGCGCTTCCCGGGCAGATGCTGCGGCTGCGAAGCAGGCGCAGGAGATGTCCGTGGCCCGTACATTATCGAGCTACCTTTTGATTATTTGACCTGTACCTTCTTATGCAATATGTAACGAGCCCAATCGTGTTCAGGGCCTGAGCCTCAGGCTTGCTTTTCAATTAGGGGCTCCGTGTACCGCACAATCGACGAGTAAGCGCACCCGATGAAGTAACTTCCCCTATTCCAACCAATATTATCATGTATCTATCCCAGCCTTCGCGTAGCCCTAGTCTCGCGGTTTTTTTTTCATTACTCCTAACAATAAGGGCCGTTCCTAACCGGGATCGCGATCCCAAACTTGGTCTGTGATTGGTCAGTTTAGTCCCGCCTATTTCCGACTGTGTACCCCCTGCGACCCGAGTCTCGGATCGCGAGCCGAGCGGGATCGCCGGATCGCGCAGCGGCTTCGGCGCAGTGCTACCGCACCAAATATTCGTTGCTGCGTGAAAGGATGGTATCCTAGTAAACTAGAGCTCACGTGCTACGTGCAGCTCTTGTCGGTATGTTTTTTACGTTTCTCATCGGGTGCCCAAAGCTATCAAAAGAGATTTATAGTAAATCCTGCATTTTATTTATAGCATGTTGCTTTTGTTGCGATCTATGGCTGGTCGCGATCCCGTGGGGAACGGCCCTAAGGACGGAATTTATCATTGCCCCTAACAATAAGAGATCGGTCTTCTTATTGGTCAAAACTAACAACTGCCAGCCAACCAACTGTATCCGGGTTACATACGTATACAGAGTAACGTATCGAGTTATGGTAACACGGTAAGCTGTGATACGCTGCTTGCTCGACTGGTAGTAAATGAAGCCCACGACCAAATCTTCCTTTTCCGCATCATTTAGACTGATTGCAAGAGCCTGCAGCTATCGTTGGCGTTTTGTGAACTATTGTGTGGTGGCAGTTGGGTTCTGTCGTGTCCCTGTTCCCCGTCGCAGTTGAAGCAGTGCTGCAGCTCACTTAAGTTTTCTATTGTATACTCTAGCCTAGCGTAATGGAGGCTGCGCTGGGGCGCAGTTCTGGGTGGGCGAACGGTGTGTTTGGCAAGTCTTCTGCGCTCAAAGCAACACGTTTCAGCCGCCGTAAACGCTCCCCCAAATGGCACGAGACACCCTTCGGAGTTTTACAAATGGGCACGAAGTGTTTCGTAGAATTCAAGACCGACAAATTAAGCTCTTGATTGCCAAACTTTGTGTAGGAACCTCAATAGTGGGAGCATCGAATACAATCGACTCTGTGATGTTAACTCGGGAAAATTCTACTGTCGCAAGCTTATCCGCTAAACTAGCGTTCTCCGCCCTATCGGCGTAGTCAACAATCGTGTCTCAAGTGCAGGCGCACGGCGGATAGAGTGAGAGTCGCGTCATGGATACTCTTGAACAAGTCGGGGGACTCTGCAGCGCGCAGCTTGGTGTTGGCAGCAACGGAGGGAGAGCTGACACGACCTAGAACCAGAGGCAATTCAGGCAAGATTCCCGCATGTGGACACACTAGTGTCGCGATGTCTGCTTGAGTGGGCTAACACGCACGCAGATGCAACAGAGGCTCTAATAGATCAACACTTACTAGGGAATAGCGGGGAGGCAGCGGCCGAGGGTTAAACCATGGCAGTAGGATTGTTAGGACTCAGTCCTCATTAGGAGCAATTTTCCAAAATACCTCATCATCATCAGTCAACAATCACTGCGTGCGCATCGCTCAAAAAGGTTGCATTCGGTGATGATCGCGATGTCAAGTTGATATGCTCGGCCATGGACAATGTTTCTGTTGCATCCACCTTAGTACTAAGCGTCCATGCTTCATTTTCAGCTCCTCACCATTTGATAAAGCTACACACCGAGATTCGTAACGATAGATTGGTCTTCGTCCGGTGGAAAGTCCGCTACTGATGTGCTCATTGACATGTGCAATGATGCCGCGGCTCTAGTTGAGAGTGCTGAAGCCAGTCGTTGTAAAATAGCCCACGACAGCGATGATCCCCATTACGAATCTACATTGAAGAAATAAAATAATTAAGCGCTTGCTTAGAGTGATCAACCTCCTGGAATGGTGTTGCTGGGCTAGACCCCAGCAACGACTGCACGATTAGCTGCAACACCTCCGGCTATCACAGCTTACCGTGTTACCATAACTCGGTAGGTTACTCTGTATACGTAAGTAACCTGTATACAGTCGGTTGGCTGGCAGTTGTTAGTTTTGACCAATAAGAAGGCCGATCTCTTATTGTTAGGGGCAATGATAAATTCCGTCCTTATTGTTATTAATAGGAGTAATGATAAAAACCCTAGTCTCGCATTAGTTAAAAGCATTCAGAGCGTGGGGACAACAAGGACGATATTCCCTGATGTGAAGACGGTTAAATCGAGGGGGCAGAGAGAACGACAAGGACGGTATTCGCAGCGTCCTCCGATGTCTTCTCGATTCAATTTTGAGTATTATGAGTAAGGCTCACTTGACACCACCAAGTTGGTGTCAGGTGACCCGGGGACGGCCCCTCAAGTTGAAGCTTACGCCCGCATGTGCTCTGATTGGTCACATTTCAACCAATCCTCGCGTTTGTGTCCGTTGAAGAACCCCCTCGGATCGCATTAGCGAAAGTATCTGATCTCTAGCAAGCGATGAAGGCCCCCTACCTGCTGCTGCTCGCCGCGCTCTCCGCCGCGGCCGCGTCCTCGCCCCTCGCCCCCGACGCGGGCTCGTGCCACGGCTTCACCTCCAAGGACACGTGCGTGAAGAACCACTGCGCCTGGTGCGAGTGCGCCGCCGTGCCGTCGTCCTGCTACACGCCCGAGGAGGCGGACCAGCTGCCCCCCGCCATCTTTCAGTGCGAGAAGGGGGCGCTGCAGCAGACGCTGCCGTGGGACCTCACGAGCGTCCCGTCGACGTCTGCGGAGCTCCGCGGCCTGTTCGCCGCCTGGAAGAGCGCGCACGGCAAGAGCTACGACTCGCCCGCCCAGGACGAGCTGCGCCGCGGCATCTTCGAGGTCAACGCGCGCTCGGTGGCCGCGCACAACAGCAAGCAGAGCAAGAGCTTCACTATGGAGCTCAACCAGTTCGCGGACACGACGTGGGACGAGTTCCAGAGCTGGTACCTGGGCGCACCGCAGCAGTGCTCGGCCACGACGGAGGAGAGCGGCCTGGAGTACGGCGAGGTGCCGACGGAGAAGGACTGGCGCGCCGACGGGGCCGTGTCCCCCGTCAAGAACCAGGGCAAGTGCGGCTCGTGCTGGACCTTCTCGACCACGGGCTGCCTCGAGAGCCACCTGAAACTCAAGCACGGCCAGTTCAAGATCCTGTCGGAGCAGAACTTGCTGGACTGCGCGCAGGCCTTTGACAACCACGGCTGCAACGGCGGTCTGCCGTCGCACGCCTTCGAGTACGTCAAGTACAACGGAGGCTTGGACACGGAGGAGGTGAGAAGAATGGAGTGATGGTGTTGTTGGTGAAGTGTGAGTGGAGGGCTGACTTGGTTGTATGTTGCATTGGGACAGACGTACCCGTACGAGGCTAAGGAGGGCAAATGCAAGTTCAACACGTACCATGTTGGCGCGCAGGTGGAGCAGGTGGTGAACATCACGTCGCGGAACGAGAAGGAGCTGAAGGCTGCCGTGGGCTCCACTGGCCCGGTTAGCATTGCCTTCCAGGTGGTGTCGGACTTCCGCTTCTACAAGTCTGGCGTGTACGAGTCGACGGAGTGCCACTCGGGCGAGAAGGACGTGAACCACGCCGTGCTGGCTGTGGGTTACGGCGTGGAGGACGGCAAGAAACACTGGATCGTCAAGAACAGTTGGGGCGCCGAGTGGGGCATGGACGGCTTCTTCCAGATCGCGCGTGGCAGCAACATGTGCGGCCTGGCGGACTGCGCCTCGTACCCCGTGGTGGCGTAAAACTACCGACCAACCGATCGCGTGACGCTGAAACAAGAGAGCTGCTGCATGTATAACGGTTCGTCATCCCATCCACGTATCAGCCTGGCCAGGTTTCAAATGGCGTGTTCGGGCATCAAGTTGCCGCCGTCGGACAAGGTGGACCATTTTCCGGAGGAGAATAAGACGGAGCGAATGAAAGATCACCGGAATGTACATTGAAGTCCCACGTTGGCGCCGCCGGCGAACTGCGAGGGCGCCGACGGCGGCAGCAGTAACTTGATTCACGTCGGCGAAGCTCATGCAGTGCATGCATGGGTTTGAATCAAACTTTGATGGCATCATGTGTGTGGTCCGTAGCAGCCCAGAGGGATTCTACGTGAGGCCGGCGGGTGGGAATGAGGCGGGAGCGGCCGCAACTGGGCATGTCTCGCCGCTGATGCCTTGTCAAACTCGGCGTCCTGCATGCAGCACCGAAGCTTCCGCTGTTGCGATTGAATGGCGGCGGAGGCTAGCTCGTCATCGCGCAGAACTGTCCAGCCTGCAACAAGGACAGCGCAAGGACATTTGCGTCCAATTGGCCCCGAGCCACGCGCCACGTCAAGTTGTCCTCCGACTCGATCACAATACCCATCATCCGTCATAGGTATGCCGGTACGACAGTCCCACCAAACACCTTGCGCTCAGTATGCTGCCCCTCATCCGATCTTTTCTACGGATGAGTCGCTACCGATTCGGGCCACTCAGCCGGCCGCGGCCGCTCATAAAGGATTTCGCCGCATTCCTGCCGGCTCCAGTCGGTGATATGCCGCGCAACTACAACAGCATGGACGAGACGATGCCGCTCAAGGGCCCGCCGGCCGTGGACCGCAAGGCGTCGCGCCGCATCCCGCTGACCGAGAGCGCCAGACGCGCCCAACGGAAGCTGCAGCTGGCCTGCCTGTGCTCGCTGCTCTTCATGTGCGCCGAGATCGTGGGCGGCTTCCTGGCCGGCAGTCTGGCCATCATGACGGACGCCGCGCACCTGCTGTCGGACGTGGCCGGCTTCTGCATCTCGCTCTTCGCGATCTGGGTGAGCACGCTGCCGGCCTCCAAGCGCCTGAGCTTCGGCTTCCAGCGGGCCGAGGTCATCGGCGCCGTCACGAGCGTGCTGGTCATCTGGGTGCTCACGGGCGTGCTGGTCTACGCGGCCGTGGAGCGCTTCATGGAGTGCCTGCAGCCCAACCCGACGGAGCACGTCAACGGCAAGCTCATGTTCATCGTGGCCTGCATCGGCCTGGCCGTGAACGTGATTCTCATGCAGATCCTGGGCCACGGCCACTCGCACGGAGGAGACGGCGGCCACGGCCACTCGCACGGAAGCGGCAGCCACGGCCACGCGCATGGCGACAGCAGCAGCAGCGCCAGCTCCAGCGACGAGGAGGGCCATGGCCACGCGCACGGAGGCCACGGCCACTCGCACGGGGGTCATGGCCACTCCCACTCGGGTCACGGCCATTCCCACGGCGCGGACCTCGAGAAGGGCCAGAAGACGGACAAGGCCCAGGGAAAGAAGAAGCTCGAGAACTTGAACATCCAGGCCGCCTACATCCACGCGCTCGGCGACTTCATCCAGAGCGTGGGGGTGTGCATCGCCGGCGGCCTCATCTGGTACAAGCCCGAGTGGCAGATCGCCGACCCCATCGCCACCTTCATCTTCTCGGTGCTGGTGCTGGCCACGACCATCGGCATTGTGCGCGACAGCATCCACGTGCTCATGGAGGGGACCCCCGACGGCATCCACGCCGACGAGATCGAGCGCGGCCTGCAGAACTGCTCGTCGGTCGTGGCCATACACGACCTGCACATCTGGTCGCTGAGCGCCGGCCTGCCCTCACTCAGCGTGCACCTCGTGTCGGACGACGCCGAGACGGCGCTCCACGCGGCGCAGCGCTACCTCATGTCCAAGGGCATCACGCACACGACCATCCAGATCGAGAAGACGGCCACGCTGTACCCGCGCGACTGCACGTCCGACCTCAAGTGCGGCCAGGACTCCCCGCAAAATAGCGACTAGAAAAGCTGGGAGACGCTGAAGACTTTAAACAGGCTCCGAGCAAGGCTACAGTGAATAACGGGGAATAAAGTGCCTATGAATGCGTCACATGCACATGGATTACATTAAAAAAAGTTCTTGAAGCTTTGGCATGTGTGCAGGTGTTACCCAGTTACGGTCTATCGGGAGGAAGCTCCTCTACACAAGATCAACATGGCCAACGTAGACGGGAATGCTTGCCATCGCTTTAGCGGTCTGCAAAGCGCTCGGCCGGGATTCAACCACCTTATTCTTGTCAAGAAGAAGCACAATGGAGCACACTGGCAACTTCTTAGCCACGAACAGCTGCAAGAGGCTCCGAAGGATTTCGAAATTGGGCTCGTGTGCACTGCTACTTGTCAACCGCAGAAAGCAAAAGTGCTCTTTAACGTCGGGAAAAGTCCATTTGGCAACCGCGTCAACTGTTCCGCACAAACTGCTTGCCGGGATCCAATAGTCCGCCTCCGAAGAATCGGTGGCCCACCGCTCCATCACTGCTAAGCAGCCCTCAATCACGGTTGACTTTCAGTTGGCCAACCGAGACGACCATCTCTCATCGATTGAGCAACCCCGATGAGCTTTTCAAAGAAGCTGGGGGGCATCACAATTGCTAGACGCTGTAGCTCAAGCATCGAAGTAACGCTCGAGGTCCAACGCTCAGGATTGGTATAATGTTCCACATTACGAGTGTTGATCACACCCCGCATGCCAACGTAATCGAGCTGCCCGTCTGAAGTAGACCCAATTGATGAAACCATTGACTCACTGATAGTTACGCACACTTCCGCCCGACGCAAAATATTGACCGGGAACGTCGCTTTCGTCCGGGTAGCCAACCTTCCTGGCGAGATCTTCCAAGTCCTCTTATCTCCAGTATGGCAGCAAGCAGAGTGTTTGGTCTTCGCTCTTCGCGTCGAATTGCCCAGTAGTTGTCAGCAGTCGATAGCAATCTTGCCAGCCTCGATCGTTGATCCGCTCCTGATCCACCCCGTCGAGACAAAACCAGCAGTCGAGAAGATTCGCGCTCTTGTCGTGCCTGCCTTGAAACAGCGACGTGTAAATTCCACCCGTAATGCCCTCCCACTCGTAGTATTTGCCGACGAGGAACAAACGCGTTATGGAATCGTTGCCATACCCACCGTCACCAGCACAATGCCACACAACCGGCTTTTCCTTCCGAATTGCGATCTGTAGAAGCAAAGCAACGCTAAGCTCTTGCCTGTTCCTGAACTCCCTGTCAAAATGAGGGTCTTGGAAATTCTTGTACCAGTGCAAAAAAACTCCGGAAAAACTTTGTGAAAAACCTCCAGCACACACAGAATCTCCTTCCGCACGTAGAAGTTCGGACCCGTAAACTCCACAAGTTCTGCGATTGTTCCAATATCCTTGACCTCATTGCAGTTGTCGTCAATCCATTCGAACAAGTCGAAAAACTCGCCTCTCGGCGGCAAATCGCCGCGTTTGTCGCTCGTTTCCAACAGTTTTCGGAGATTCAACGACGTCCGTCCTGGTATCCATACCCCGTCGTCCTCATCTCGCGGCCTTTTCAAGCTTCCAGAGCGTAAAACGAACGAGTATGTGAATTTGTACCGCCTTCGGAGCTCTCCGCTTCCTCCGCGTCATGCGGTTGATTACCAACACTTCTTGAATCGTCTTGGCCGGGTCCACCGGATCTCCACTCAGTAATTGCTCGATTTCTTCATCGATCTCCCCCTTAGCCAGTTTCCGCGCCGCTGGATCATCGCTTGGCAGCCACGCGTCTCCCTTCTTCGCCAGGAAGAGATCCATGAACCGCGTAGGGCACGCAATACTCTCTTTCTCCTTGATCTCCACCTTCAACTCGCCCACCAGTTTGCTTCCATCAATGTCGACATGAAATGCGCCGACTTCTGCGCCGACTTCTGCGCCAACGAGCGCACAAATCAGGGTCACCATCTTTTGGTCGGGAAATTCCTGAATGGCCTTCGAACGAAGAGGGTTTATCCATCATTCACAAGATGAAAGCATCATTTTTGATACCAATTTGCGCGGTGGCGATACTTGAAATCGTCCTCGTTAGTTAGTTTCCGTGTTTGTATTTGCTGCGATTATGGCAGAGCATGCACGTGCTGCCTATTGCAGCTTCAGCTTGATGAAAGCGAACAAGTAGCGCCAGAACTCCTTGGCTGCCACCTTGTCCAAATGCCGCTTGTCGGGATGGATCTGCACGAAGTAGCATGCATGACGTTAGCTGCACAGTTCAGACGATACGATCATTGCACGAGGAGTCAACCTTACCATTAGCACCTTCACATCCCACTGCTTAATGTCCGGGTTCAGCTGGGACCCTTGATTGTAGATGTAAACTCCACACACTGCACCATAACACAATACTCGGTGTGTCAGACCACGCATGCACCACAGTCCTTAGCACGAAGTATCACAAGCGAGTGCCATACCTTTCTTGAACACCTCGAGCGGGAACTTCCACTTCCAGCCCTTAAACTGCCACGACTGTCCCGATACAATGACACCGACCACCGAGCGCCTGCATCCATGAACCAGCAGGAGCATCAAAACTTCATCAGTTAGCAGTCCACCACAGCAACACACGCCCCCCCCCTTTTTTTTTACTAACGCACCAGTCCTTATCCCGGAATCGACTGACAGTGTCCACGATCTTGAAGGTGTACACGTGTCCGTCCTCCTCATGCGTAATCATCATTGACTGCTGCTTGCGGTGTCCGTCCGCCTTCTTCTGCACGTTGGAAACATACACGCCGTCCTCCAAGAAGTCCCTGGCATTAAGCATCGTGAACAAGTCGGAGAAGCCAGCGGGCACCACAATAATCGGCGTGCCCAGGATCTTCTCCTTGACCATTCGATGCAGCGGCATCTGCTCCTTCCTGGCCGTGGTGGTGGCCAGCAGCGCCGAGGCCTTGGTGGCCTTCTCGATCTTCTCCTTGGTCTCAGCATTCACCAGCTCGAGCGTCTTGGCCACGTTGTCGAACTTGGTCTTGTGCGCGTCCAGCACCGTGGTCCTCGTCCTGTTGACGTACTCTTTATCCGTTATCCTCTTGATCTGGGCCTCTGCCTGCAGCTCCTCGGGGGTCTTGTGGTGGCTCACGCCGTGCTTGTTGTGGCCGTCTCGGTGGTGGCGCGCGCTCTCGAGCTTCCTCTTCTTGGCGGAGGCGCGGGCTGCCTCGTCCTCGCTCTCCCTTTTCTTCTTGGTAGAACCGGAGGTAGAGCCGGTAGGCTTGCGCTCCTTCCTGGTCTCTGTGGGCTTGCCGCTGGCGTCCAGGATCTGCGCGCTGGCCTCGATGTCCCCCTTGAGGTAGGCCACCAGCTCCTTCTTGTCCACCGTGGACACCATGGCCGCCTTCTCCTCGCGGCACTTGAGAACGTAGTCGCTGAAGCTCAGCGCCTCGTGCGTGAAGCACGTGTACACGGCCAGCAGGTCGTAGCTCTTGTCCAGCTTCTTGGAGTGGTAGGCCGAGGCGCTGTGCTTGGGCAGCCGCCGCAGCTCGGCGCCACCCGCATCGCGGAACACCAGGTCGTCTCCGTCCACGGCCACGGGCTTGCCCGCGATCAGGTGCTGGCGCAGGGCCTGCAGCGCCCCCAGCGGCGACGACGCGTCCGCCATACTTGTCTGTCGATGGCCGGTATTTGGCGTGGTACACACCACTTTGTCTAAGTGCGCAATATTTCGGTGTGTGGATTTCTAAAGTACGCTTGGATTCGCAGTGACGAATCCAAGGCTAAAATGGCGGCGGCGGCGCCGCACGTGCTGCTGTACTTCGATGTGAACAAGGTGCGCTGCAGCTGTAGAGTTCTCTGTATCGTTCATTATCTGTTGACGGAACGGTGTACGGCATTGGGCAGACTGTGATCATGCACGACCCCGTGCAGGGCAAGACGCTGCTACATATTCTCAACGACTTGCTGACGGAGCGGGCCTTGGGGCGAGTGGTGGACGCCCCCGATGGAGACACGAAGTGGGTCTGGGACGGGGAGAAGGCGCTGCAAACAGCTACGGAGACGAGGGCTGGTACGGACGGCCTCGTGTCGTATGGATCGTTTCTAAGGGCCAAGGTGGGGTTGAATGTAGTGGGGGTGTTTTGGGGGCGACCCCGTCGGCGGTTGGTGGAACTGAAGGGGTGACACTGTTGTCCATGCAGTTCCCCTTGTCGGGAGACCCGCAGGTTGCCAAGCACAACAAGCGCATGAGGAAGGTGCTGCGTCAAGATTTCACGGCGAAAGGAAACCCGGGGGAGGGACTGGCAAGTGAACACGGAGAGCTGCTGCAACACTTGCTGCTGCCTGATACGGCGGCGACTGAGGTACAGCTGGGACAAGTGGGGCTGCAAGAGTCCCCCTACTGCTTCATTGTGCCAGCTTTCTTCAGGCTGATGGAGTATTTGCAGACGAACGACGTGAAGTTCAACCTCATTTTCCGGACCTATGGAAATGACCTCCATCGCGTGGCGCAAGAGTTCAACTGCTTTTGTGAAGGGCGCCATCCGTGCTTTCCACTGGAGAAAGCTATGGATGGATCGGATGAAGGAATCGACCGACGGATTCATCTTCATCAAGAATCAGACGGAGAAATGCCGAGGTTTGGGACGTTCTTGCGAGCAGAAAGCACCACGGCGCTTGTTATGGGCACCTTCAAGCAGCCCAAAACTGCCGATGATGTGGATCCTTTAGCGTTCTACGCTCCCCATGGAGAAGAAGTTCAGATTGTGCAAGGTTTGTCCGAAATCCACAACCTTCTAGCTCGACGCTGGCGTGATTCGCAGGCGACACTGGCGCTGCGGGACTTCTACCCGCATTGGTTCCGCAATAAGGAAGACGCCACTGCTGGGAAGCTATTGGTTCTGGATCCAACCGACGATGACGAAGGCGTCCACGCCATGTTCTTCGATGACAATATCCTGGCGCACGACGCACACATCGTCGATGCGCGATTCGCACACAATGACTTGGCCCTGAGTTTTGATACAACAAAGGAGCTGTATCTGTTGCGTGTGGAACCGCTTGACGTCATACAGAGCGACACATACTTCATCCGTCGGTTTGAAACTTCAATGAAGCGATGGAGACGGAAACAGCAATCGTGATGCAGTCAGCGTCGGAACCTAAATTGATACTGAAGGCATCGTGGATAGGCTCCGAGCCGAAACCCACCACAGTCAACGAAAAATAGTAAGGGAAAACTACTAAAATGCCACTCCTAGTTTTCTCATTTACTAAAATGCCACGATGGGTACTAAAATGCCACGAGCTCAAAACTTTCGAAAGGTTACATACCGCGACTTCCCCTCACTCAGGTTTGGCGTCGGTGTCGAAGATTCAAGGAGCAGGTGAAGGACCCAGTCTCGACGATCAACCCCTGGACGGGGTCAGAGTTGTCACGGTAAGCAAGATTTCCTCGTAGCAACACTCGTGAATTCGACGCGATAGCGTTCAAGAGTGACTGGAAGCCGCAAGACAGAGAAAGTTGACTAACTGCTTAATAATCGTCTCGTTTTGCTAGGTACCGCAATGTATATGGGCTAGGCTGTTGCGCTACACCTTTGCCCGGCCATAGTTGGCCTAATTTGCAAGCAAAGTTGTCATGAATATTGGAGGTACCAGAGAGTAACATTACATTTCCTAAAGTATGACTTTCGTTTCATTCAAAGTTCTCTAATTCCCATCGAGAGGTACATGCACCACATGTAGCCGCAAAGCACGTCTCACCCCCTGCTCAGTGAGGGGCGGTCTCAACGCGCCCCCATGTTCCCCTCCTTGAGAGATCGCGCGCGTACAGTTGCCGCTTGATGAAGGGCATGCAGACGCGGATCGGACACTCAAGAAGCTGCACGCACGCACACACGCCTTCGCCTTCGCCATCTTGCCTCTGTGCTGGCGTCACTTCGCAGTGCGAAGTTCGCACTCTATCAGAGTACGCCAAAGGCGTTGGTGGGAATTAGACAACTTTGAATGAAACGAAAGTCATACTTTAGGGAATGTAATGTTACTCTCTGGTACCTCCAATATTCATGACAACTTTGCTTGCAAATTAGGCCAACTATGGCCGGGCAAAGGTGTAGTTGCTGACGAGGAATCCAAATTCGTCTACAGTAGATGGTGGTCGGAACCCACAAGCCAAGGCAAAGGTTCTTCGTGGATGACAATCGGATTACCATCATCGTTGTCATGGAGGCTCGCGTTTGCACTTTCAAGACAGATATTACGTGGCTTCACGCCGCGCTGATACTGGGGAACGGAAAACTAATATGGATCGTGCCAACTTGACAGTATTGCGCGGCACTTACAATGAAGGAGTTGAGTTTATTTGTTCACTTGACATGACTGCTAGCGTCTGTACATTTCATTCAGCCCTTTAGGAATTTGCCGGAATTGAAAGAAGCAGCGATGGTGCGCACGTCATCGCGTCCATATACTGTTCGTTGTCCTGGCCACAACAAACGTTGTTTCACAAACTTGCGTGCCTGCTGAAAGCTCTGGTCGAACAGGCTCAAATATGACTAGTTCTACTTAACATTTGTTCTTGCGCTCGTCTTCTATGGTTTCTGTACCCATCGTGGCATTTTAGTAAATGGGAAAACTATGAGTAGCATTTTAATAGTTTTCCCAAATAGTAAAGAGGGCGGGCGATCCATTTGCAAGTTGAAAGTATCATGATATTTTAGTCGACTACGTATTCCTCGCGCGGTGGCGACACCTGGCCGCACTTGAGATCGGCGGCGCAGTCGCGCGGGTATATTGCGAAGGGAGTCTCGATCTGGATGGTAGAGTGAGTGATCCCCTTGGACAACAGAAAGCGCTGGGCGCCGCGGAGTGCTGTCTCTGGATCACCTGACACCAAGTGCACACTCAGCGACGGCAACCCGGCACTTAGCGACCAAATGTGCAAGTCGTGTACGCCCACAACAGACGGGCAGTTTTGCAGCTCTTCCTCGATATCCTTGGTGTCGATGTCGAGAGGGGTGCCCTCCATCAGCATGTGGATGCTATCACGGATAATGCCGACGGTCGTCCCCACCACAAGGATGGAGAAGACGAAGGTGGCAATCGGATCGGCGATCTGCCACTCGGGCTTGAACCAGATGAGGCCACCGGCGACGCAGACACCCAGACTCTGAATGAAGTCGCCCAGTGCGTGGATGTAGGCCGAGCGAATGTTGAGGTTCTCCAAGTTCTCTTTCTTCTTCTTTTTCTTCTCCCCCTTCAGCGTCGGGGTGGTGTCACCCGCACCAACATCCAGATCCCCACCGACCCAGTGTTCATGGTCTCCGAGAATGTGGAAATCTGAATGAGACGTGCTGTGCAAGTCTTCGTATACATGCGAGTGCTCACTACGCAGTTCGGACGCACGGTCACTGTGCGGGGGCCCGTGCACTTCATCGTGGTCCCCGTGAGCATGGCCATGTCCTCCATGAGCGTGGCCATGTCCTCCATGAGCGTGGCCATGTCCTCCATGAGAATGGCCGTGACCGCCATGAGAATGGCCGTGACCGCCATGGGAATGGCCGTGACCGCCGTGTGAGTGTCCGTGGCCGCCGTGGGAGTGGCCATGGCCTCCATGCGAGTGGCCGTGGCCGCCGTGCGAGTGTCCGTGGCCGAGGATTTTCATCAGCATCAGGTTGACGAGCAGGCCAATGGTAGCAACGATGAACATGAGCTTGCCGTCGACGCGAGTGGTTGGCTCGGGCTTCAGACAGTCTAGGAACCGCTCCACCGCTTCGTAGAGCAGTACGCCGGTGAGCACCCAGATCACCAAGACACTGGTGATGGCACCGATGACCTCCGAGCGTTGGAAGCCATAGCTCAAGCGGTCGGTGGCAGGCCGTTGGGTCATCCAGATCGCGAACAGCGAGATGCAGAAGCCGGCCACGTCAGACAGCAAGTGTGCAGCGTCCGACATGATGGCCAGACTGCCGGCCAGGTAACCTCCGACGACCTCGGCGCACATAAAGAGCAGCGAAAAGAGGCACGCGAGCTGCAGTTTCCGTTGAGCGCGTCGATCACTCTCACTGAGCGCAAGTCGGCGAGGACCTTCGGCATCGTTGGTGTGGTTCCCCCTTGGGCTGTGGCTGTGGGGCATGTTGCCGATGTGTGCAGTATGAGGAAACTCGTGAAGTGAGCCTTACTCGTGTGTCAATTGAACCGAGTATTATACCACCACTGTCCGTGATTACACTGCCTTGCCCCATGTGCCTCTTTGGTCATAGGTTTACCAGCTTTGGCTGGTTGTGACTGTATCAGGGATGATAGAACCTGCCGCCAAATGGTCTTCATATGCTAAATGTATACCTCCGTGTTTACCGCACTAATGCAATTGTAGAGCTACAAGCTGCCCTCCGTATATTTATAATATATACCTCAACCAAAGTATCATCCGCAGCTCTAGGCGTCATGTGCTGCTGGCGAGATCTGTCCGCATCTTAGGCCCGTTCTCAACCGGCCGCATGCCGCACCGCATCGCACAGTTTTGTACAATGCGGCCCATGCGGCCGCATCGGTTGAGAACGCTCGTGCGGCCGAATTGTGCGCCCTACCCGCATGAGCTTCCAGATGACATCGGCCAATTCGAACTCAAAACATACCAAAAGCAGCAACGCGAAGTATGATGAGTTTTGCCGAAGACTCGTATTTCTCGATGCTAGCTCATACACCAACTGAAAACAATATATGAACAAGTACTTGTACGCCTGTAGTGGATTAATGCTAAATAGGTATCCGACGTACCAGTAGATTAAAACCAAACAGCAAGAATGCAAGGCAACTCACAAAAACTGTAATGAAAACGGAAACTCGTTAAAAATCTCTAAATCGGCCATCGATTGTGAAGCTACACGCGCTCTACGCTAAAGGAATCTATTTTGCTTTGTGCAGCAAAAGATTACGCACTTATATTTCTTCATTATACTGGTGGGGGTAACTTACAAGTAGCTTCTGTAGCATAAGTTGGCGATCCACTCATTGAGTAGCTCCACCATATCGCTGTAGGTGGACGGTTTTTCTTCACACTGCTGGTTGACCAGCGTAGTAGATCTTTTTGTATCGCTTTCCTTATTGTTGTCTGCGCCAGGTTTTTGCTGAAGATGTTTGCAATATGCAGAAACACAACAAGTTTTTCGACATACTCACATTTTATTTTAGTGCTAAACCTCTGTTTACTCAAATAAAAAGCTCTACTGATGCCACCTAACCGTGCCTTTCGCCTCAGCACGCCTTCGCCGATATCGTGCGGGCATGGAGGTATACGTTAGCTCGCTTGAAAGCCCAAACATCATGGTTGGCTGTGGATATGGGCTGTTTGTCATCATAAATCAAGAAAAGTTAGCAAGGTCTCGAATGCATAACAACAATCAGCTCCATAGGCACTGCAGCCGAATTGTTTGGCCCCTATATATGGTATGCACGTGCTGGTAACTGTCGGCAGCAGTCGCAGCTATTAATTTTTATCTCACGGTACACGATAACATTTAACTCTCACGCACACGACTCCGTCAACCGATGCATGTTATGACCACATGTATATTGGCTGATACATAACTTCCACTCGTAGGGCATGAAACGCTAGTGCATGTTGATCTACGCCTGCTAAAGAGCAGGTAGACATAGTACACGCTTCCCGGCGGTGGGGGTTCTACATCTAAAGGTGGTTTCCACTACCTGGAACATGTATCTAAGTTACTTCGAAATAGATGTAACATTACACGTTCTGTACGATGCACTCAATAATAACACGAAATCGTGTACATGTAGGCCGGATAGAGTAGCGGGCCCCCTTTGTGTTGGCGTCCGCTAGCACCAGCGGCCCGAACACCTCGAGCAGAAGCTAAAATACAAGGTTGACTTCTTTGGCAGCCAAGGAGTCAAATTGACGCCTTGTCGGCTGTTGTCTGATAGGGTACTGTACCAGCAGGTGAGTCAATAAGAGCGCTCTGATTGGTGCTGCGGCGTGCAACCCCTACTCACTCTCGTGCTAACCAATCACAAGTCCTTATTTCGGCTCATGCGGCCGCATGCGGCGGTTGAGAACGGGCCTCAGCTCAGACTTGCAGTCCCGAGGATACGACGTTGAAGTTCTCTCGGTCTGGATAGTCGTGTGTGTGATGCCCTTGCTTAGGAGGTAGCTCTGGGCTGTATGCAGCGCAGTCTCGACGTCGTCCGACACGAGGTGCACACTAAGCGAAGGCAAGCTCGCGCTCAGCGACCAAATATGGAGGTCGTGCACGGCCACGACAGAGGAGCACTGACGCAGTCCCTGCTCGATCTCGATGGCATCCAAGCCTCTAGGGGTGCCCTCCGTGAGGATGTGGATACTTTCGCGAATGATCCCCACAGTGGTGAACAGAACTAGCACCGAGAAGTGAAGGTGGCGATCGGGTCTGCAATCTGCCACTCTGGCTTGAGCCAGATGAGTCCACCAGCGATGCAAACGCCAAGGCTCTGGATGAAGTCGCCCAGCGCGTGAATGTATGCCGATTCAATGTTGAGGTTCTCCATGCTTTTCTTCTTATTCGGCTTTAATGTGGAAGCAGCCTCTGGATCCTGACCGGCCTCGTTGGTGTGCTCGCCATGTTCGTGATAATGCCCGTGGCTTGGGCTGCCATGACCTTCCTCTTGCGGCGAGTAATTGTCCAGCTTTTTCTGCGTCGAGGCTTTGGCACTAATAGTGCCAATCTCAAGGTCTCCCCCTACCCAGTTGTTATCTTCATCGTGAGCATGGAACTTTTCAAGGCTGAGCCTGTGGGCTTCGTCACGTGAGTGGCCTTCTTCGTGACTGTGGTGGTGGCGGCGCCCTTCCTCGCCACTGCATTCTTCAGGACCATGCGAGTGGCCATGTTTAGCATCAATTCCATGCGAATGGCCATGGTGATTGCCTTCACCGTGCGAACGTCCTCCATGCGAGTGACCCTGGGTTTTCTCCCCGTGCGAGTGGCTATGGCCTCCTCCTCCGTGTGAGTGTCCGTGGCCCGAGATCTGCATCAGGACGATGTTCACAAGCAGGCCGATGCAGGCCACGATGAACATGAGCTTCCCGTCGACGTGCTCCTTCGGATGGGGCTCCAGACACTCGATGAATCGTTTCACAGCGGCGTACAGCAACATGCCCGTCAGCACCCACAGCACGCTGACCACTGCGCCGATCACATCAGCTCGTTGGAAACCGAAGCTCAAACTGTTGGAAGCTGGTAACGTGCTCATCCAGATCGCGAACAGCGAGATGCAGAAGCCGGCCACGTCCGACAGCAAGTGCGCGGCGTCCGTCATGATGGCCAGACTGCCGGCGATGGATCCCCCGACGACCTCGGCGCACATGAAGACGACGGAGCACAGGCAGGCCAGCTGCAGCTTCCGTTGGGCGCGTCTGGCGCTCTCGGTCAGCGGGATACGGCGTGGCGAGTCGATTAAGGCGTCATCGACCGGCGAGCACTTGTCCGAGCCCATGCAGAAGAGCGTGCGGCCGCAGCCTCTGGAGGTCGATCTGCTGGTCTTGTCGTGCGCTGCTGATGGCATTTTGCCAAGTGAACGAACATCTAACATCGATGCCGAGTGAATCGCGTTAGTTGGATTTTACACGAGGGGGGGGGGGGGGTACGTGTGCCGTCGTTGCGGTGCTCGAGTGGACTTGGAGACGACTGCGTTGGCTAACAGAAACGCACGTAGCCTGTATCAAAACGGAAGTCGCTTCGCCTGATTCAGAGGACCCTGCAGCTACAGGGCGCGGCCCAATAGTGTGAAATTAACGCAACGCTGCGTCAGGGCACGCCAGACTCGCAACACTTGTTGAAGTTGCCTTTTTCGTCTACAGAAACTTTCAACCAATGATCATCATCCAGCCGTTATCTTTCACTTTAGTGACTGCAGTGACAAAAAATACTGAAGCGACGTGACCAGCATGGATGCTGAGCGCGAGCGCATCGAGCGCGCCAGGGCCAGGAACCTCGCCTACATCCAGCAGTGCGCACCCCAACCTCCAGCTTTGCATTGATCCGTGTCTCCCCTTCGTAACGCGCCAATGCGGCTGCAGACAGGACGAGCGGCAGGCTTCGCAAGCGGCGGACGAACTGCTGGCCTCCGTGCTCGGATCTCCTGCTGCTGCCCCCAGCGCCAAGAGGTCCACGCCCACGGGAGGCGGCTCGAAGGGCAACAGCAGCGTCTACATCACGGGCCTCACCACGTACATGGCGTGCAGGCAGCTCGGTCAGTCCATGATTGAGGAGTTGCAGGCCAGGGGTGATGGTTGACGGAGGGGGTTGCTTGTCTTGCAGAGGGCGTGTGCTCCAAGATCGGCAAGGTTCGGCGCATCAAGTTCTACAAGGACGAAAGAGGAGGACTGAAGGTAGGAGGGGATGACTTGCTGCTTGGTCGTGCCGGGTGGGTTGCTCAGATCCTTTTGTTTGGATGTGGATATAGGGCGATGCAGTCGTCACGTTCTGCTCGCGTGCTACAATGGCCAAGGCCATTGACAGGGTAAAACCATTAAAGATTTCTGCAGCTGGGTTGATGTATAGCCGCACGAGGATGAAGCAGAGCGAGTCTCCTTTTGGATTCGAGCGTTGCTGCGCGTGTTGCTCATACGCGTCTCGTTCCGTGTCTTGCAGTTGAATCACTTCGAAGTCAAGCCTGGTGTGATCATCACGTACGAGACGCTAGCTACGTGAGCTTGTGTTCTGATGCACGAATTACTTGGCGCTAACGAGGATCTGGTGTACACAGGGCGACTGAGGCGACGTTCTCGAACCAGAAGACGAAGGGCACAGAGGAAGCCACGGACAATGCGCCTGTCGAGCAAGCTGCTACTCAACCGGTGGAGAAAATGCAAGTTTCCTCTGCAGCACCAGCACCGCTGGCGATTGCTTCGGCGGATGATTCGGCGCGTTTGGACTTGCCGTCGCGCTCCGTCATCTTGAAGCATATATGGGACCCACTCGAGGGCAGCGATGCTGAATTCTTCGACGAGTTGGAGGAGGACATGCGCTCGGAATGCAGCAAGCACGGAGCAGTGGAGCGCGTTCAAATTGTAGCGGACGGCTCGGTGGTCGTGCGTTTTGCAGAGCTGAGTGCTGCCATCGCGTGTCTGAAGGTGATGAACGGGCGGTGGTTTGCTGGGCGGCGGATTGAGGCGCAGTTTGATCAGGCCACGGCCGAGAACCCCAGCGACGCTGACACCAAGGTCGAGGCGTTCCTGGCCTCCCTTGGTGAGTAAACGCAGCAATACGAGGTGAGTTTGCTTTCGAAAGACGTGCGCTCAGGCCTTATCACAGCGAGTGGTTTTCTATTATCCGATCTGCTTTACTGACGAGACTGGAAATACGCATCGAACACGACGAAGCGGTTGGGCTGCGGGAAGTGCTCAGTGAGACCGGCGTGTTTCTTCAAGAAGGCGAATAGCTTAGGCGACGGTCGGTCGTAGGCGAGCTGGGCCGGCGTCACCTGCTCGTCTTGAAGCAGGCGCTGGAAGAGCTGCAGCCCCACGCCGCGACGCTGCCAGGCCTCGTCCACGTAGAAGTCGAGCACGCAGAGCGGATCCATCTCGATGTACTGGCCCGTGTGGCTCTAGAATATCATACATAGAGCAGAAGCAGCCAACAATAGCAAACGTCAACAAGTGACCGAGCGTCCACAGGATGTAGCCATCTGGGCCAGAGAGTCATCTTCTTACCATGTAGAATAGGTGCTTGACCCCGGTCTTCAGGAATCCGATGACGCGGTCATCATCGTCCTTAGCCAGTAGCAGACGCTGGCGCTGTTGCGTCGCCCCGGGCGTCGTGAAGAGCGCAACCGAGGTGATCTCCTGGGAGAGAGCCTGGGCCTGGGGCAGACAAGATGCAGGTCACTGTGTGTACCGTATCTAGAGCCCATCGCCTCGAAGTGTCAAGACCGGCGATGGGCTGGCGGGATGGACACGTACGAGGGCGGACCGCCGGCCGAGCGCGTCGACTGCTTCAGCCAGCGCGGGGCCCAGCGGCTCGGGAGCGCGCACCACTTCAATCCGCATGGCGGTCGGCGCGAACGGGACGCCCGTTTTCTAGCGGTTTGTTACATAAGACAGCGTGTCTATCTGCGGTCCCCAAGCGCCAAGAGAGCAGCTCGAAGGGAGTCATGGGCGCCGAACTGTCCAAGCCAGCCGAGCTGAACCCGTGCGCGGGCGAGATGGAGACCTACGTCAAGTGAGTGTGATAGTGCCACGCGTCTGCGTGTGCCTGTGAGGTGTAGAGGAGCCCGTGGAATCCCGTGGAGGAGGAGACTCACGTCACGTCCTGCAGGTGCGTAGAAGCCAAGAACGCCGAGAGCGGCGGCCTGCGCGACGGCGAGGAGTGCGAGCAGGAGAGCGAGGCCTACCGCGAGTGCCGACGGAAGGTCAAGGAGCTCAAGGCCGCCGTCAAGAAGCAACAAGCCTAGAGTCCCGACCCCATTTCATCAGAGCGAGGGGGGGGGGCGGAATGTCGCAAATACAGCTTTTGTGCCTTGTTCATACAACCCGTCCTCCCTCCCTACTTCCTACTACCTGCTTGCTAACCTTTCGCCTTCGCCTTCTATGGATATAGCTAGCTAGCTTCCTGCGTCCTCTATCTACTAGTACACTACTTCACACCCTATTGCTTGTCCTACTGCTACAGTGCCTCCCCTTGTCTCCGCTTGTCTACTTGACCCGCAGCTCTTGGGCCGGGAGTCGGCTGTTGCCGGCCGCCGCCGGGTTCCCCTCGTCGTCGCTGTATCCGAAGCTGGACGACGCCGTTTTGATGCCGAACAGCGTCTTCTTGCGCAGGCTGGCGCTCACGCCCGGCGAGCAGTCGGCCACGTCCACGGCCTTGCTGCTGTTGCGCACCACGCGCACGGTGCCCGCGCCCCTGGACGAGGCGCTGCCGACCTTGGACGACCCCCAGGACGAGCGCGAGTGGTGGTGGCCCAGTCGTTGTCGACGCTGCGACAGCACCTGGATGTCTTTGGGCAGGAAGGCGTCCGGGATGAGCTGCTCCGAGTTGGACAGGATGGAGGCCACCGACGAGTCCGTCGCCGTGGACAGCGAGCGCCCGCGCGCCTGCGCCGGCCGCTCCAGGTCCCGCGCGAAGTCCTTGCTCTGGTAGTGCTGATGTGGTTAGAGTCGAGTCGTGATGGAGTTAGAGTTTGGAGCGGGTAATGGCAAGGGTAAGGATGTTCTTGGGTCCTCACCAGTTGCGCGTCGCGGTCGCCTAGTCCGCACACGGAGAGAGTGCCGCCCATTGTGGCTTTAGCGGGTGGTGTAGTGCAGGTGGCGGTGTCTGCGCAGCTCGTTGGCTTCTGAGCTCCTGGCGCACCGCCTGTTTGGGGAGGATGGGACCACTTTGCTCATCGCTGCGACATATACAGTTGGGCACTCGAATAGAGGGCTCTCTCTCGGTTATCATAGGTACACACACTACTTTGTACGGCTTCACAAGGAGTTGCTATCGTAAGCTACAATTCGTATAGTACCAATAACGAACGTGCTTGCTAGTCAAACTGCAATGCCGCATCATTGTAAGCGAAACTATGCTTGCCACACCTGAGAAGCTTGCGCAGTTCCAGCTCGTTTACCTTCGACTATTAACCCCAACCTTCATCTTCTTCCAGTTCGACCACTACATGTACTGTACTTGATGAAGGCGTTACTGCTGCGTTCGAAAGGGACTGTCACATTCAACTCGCGCCAGTCTTGAAGCGGGGATGCGAACGAGACTGCTGGGCAGTGCAGTACGATTTTGATGTTCACGAGCCGCATGGTGTATGGGAACATTACCTGCAGGAACGCCATGCGTCCACACTTTTCTAGCTTGGAGAATTGGAAACCACGAAGCGGCTAACGATGCGAGGCGCATTTTTGGAGAAGAGCTAGCGCAGGAAATATGGTCGCAAGCGGCAAACTAAGTTGGGCAATTTGCGGTTACACACTTACAAAATGCATTTTCTGCATAGTCAACCACCTCCGAAACGTCATGTTTTAGTTTTTCGGCTAATCCTGATTCTGTACCAGACTGGATTCTGTTCTTCCCGCACAACGCAAGAAGCCCCGTGTGCCTGTATAGCTGCTCGACAATGGCGGTGCGCGTGCGGCGCTGGAGCGACGTGGAGGCGCGGCAGCGGCCGCTGCACCGCGCGGCGTACGCGAACAGCACCCCGAGCCCCGCGCCCGTGGCGCCCGCGTCGGCCGAGCCGGCGCCGACCGCCGACAGCGCCAAGAACGTGCCGCTGGCCGTGATGGAGGACGCCCCCGAGTGCGTCATCTGCCTGGACGAGCTGGCGCTGGGGCGCGCGCTGTTCACGGCCGAGTGCGGCCACCGCTTCCACTTCAGCTGCCTGCTGGAGAACGTCAACCACGACGAGGCCAACTCGGACAAGTGCCCGATCTGCCGCAAGGCGCAGACGCAGTGGCCCGAGCAGACCGAGGGGCTGGTCAAGGCCCACCCGTACTGTAAGTTCCAGGCTATAACGATCATCACCACCCTCCTCGTTATAAGACACAGGTACTGATGTTCTTCTTTATCGCTTGCAGGTACAAATTGCGGCAAGCGAGGCTCAGGAGGACAGTTTTGCGACGGATGTGGGCAATCTTTGGCTCATACCCCCACAGCGCAGGAGCGCGCGCGGGCGGCGGCGGCAGCGGCGGCCGCTCGCAGCAACGTGGTGGTGGAGTGCCCCACGTGCCGCATCCGCTGCCTGGTGAGCACGACGGCGCGCGGCACGCTGCAGTGTCCCAATGGCCACCTGTTCCAACTACGCATGCCCCCGAGCATGGGCAACTCGCAGGGACTGCGGCAGAGCTTCAACGGGGCAGGGCCCATGACGTCCGGGCCCAGACCCATCATGCGCCAATGCCCCACGTGCTACACGCGTGTGCAAATGCCCCCAGGCAGCCAGGCCGGGCAGTACATGTGTCCCCATGGACACACCTTCTACTTTTCCCCGTTCCAATAGATTGATCCGTGTTTTTGCTTTGATTTTCACGTGTGGTGTTGGTTTTGTTGTTGTTGTTGTTGTGTATTCAAGGTAAGAGGGGAGGAGGTGTCGGTGACTACGATAGGCTAACATGCATGTCAAGTGTATCTTACGTGGCTCGAGCTTGGGAGATCAACATCTCACCGGACAGGAACGCGTCGGCGCGGTGCAGAGTGTTGTGAGATGACAAGTCCACTGGGTACTTGTACATCTCAGCGGTGAGAGCGGTGCTGTTGGCTGTGCGCTGGTCCACTTGCAGGTACGTCCAGCATTCGGGTACGAGCACGCTCGCGCCAAGCGTTGGAGACGTGGGGCCGTCGTTTGTTGGTGATACCGACGAGGTGCTGGTGGTGGCGAACTCAAGCACGACGCAGGCTCCGTGTGGCAAGTTCTCCAGCGGTGTCTGCATGTGCCAAGTGAACCCCCAGAGTAGGGCGTTGGAAGACGCTACAGGCTGCACGGACACCTGCTGCCTCATTTCCACGAGGTTGCGCTGTCCGTCCATCACCGAGATAACTATCCGTGGCCGCCGAGCGCCGATCAATGCCGCGTCGCTCAGTGCAATGAGCTCAACAAAAAGCGACACGTACGAGCTGTGCCGCACTTTGCCAGGCTGCTTGACCAGAAAGAGCATTGGGAGTTCTTCTTCGCTCGCACTCAAGCGCCGCGTCAACTTGTTGGGTCGTTTGAGGAGAGCACTTCCCGCCGCCAACAGCGGGTTCGAAGGTGGCTGGGGCGCGTGTGAGATTCCTACAGATGTGCACGCCGCTGAAGAGATGCTAGTGATGGCGGTCTTCGCCAATTCAGCCTTCAAGCAGCGCACAAATACCAGTTGCGGCTCTGACAGATTTGAAGCAAGAGCCCCGCGGTCTAGCAGCAGCTTCGCCAGCATCAAGTGTCCAGCCTGCAGTGCGAACTGCAACGGTGTTTCTTGTCTTGTTGTCATCGCATTGACATCGGCTCCATTCTCCAGTAGCCACTGCGCTGTCTTCACCAGCTCAAGCTCCGCGTCTAACAAGGATTTGGACTTCGAGCTGGAGCTAGCTGCTGCTGTGGTCACGTCAAGCTGAATCTCACTGGTGGTGCTGCTCTTGTTGTTGTCGGTGTCGTCATCAATCGCCGCCAAAATCACAAGACTGCTGCAGCTGGCGACCAAGTGCAGTGGTGTCTCCTGTCGCGACGACTCACTTCGCAAGTTGCAAGCCTCCTGGCGAGCCTTGAAGTCGACAAACTCGAGCTTGCTGTTCTGAGCAGACCGATGCATGGCAAACACACGGGACTCGATGCTGCTGGGGATGATGTTACGGAAGTGCGCAAGCCAGCACTGGATCTCAAGGGCTCCTGATGCCGCGAAGTAAAGCCGACCTTCCTTGTTGCGCCCACCAAGCAGTTGCGGGGAGTGCAGTTCAAACGCAAAAGGCAGGTCCACACTCGTCTTGAGCAACGCTGTGGTCAAGTCGATCTGCAGGGAACTGGGTCCAGCCAACGTCAACTTGCGATCGTTTGGATAGTACTCGAGTTGCGGGTGGTCCTGTTTGTCGGCAGTCACGCTGAGCACCACGAATCGCTTCATCCACCGTGATGTCTCCCGTCGTTTCCGAAGAAATCCGCTGTAGACAATCGTTCGCTCGGGAATTCTGCTTGAAGGCTCCTCTTCTTGCTGGTTGCCAACCTCATCAGACGACGAAGCTGTTGCATTGGTCTCCTTCGCTTCGGGCCCATCGGTTGAGTTCGCCTTGGTGGACTGCTCGAGTGCCTTCGGGGTCGATGGGGTATTTTCTCGCGCTCCAGTAGCTGTCATTGCTGTCATTTGCAGCACCAAATACTTTACCATCGTGTGCTGGCCATTGGCGCAAGCTTCGTGGAAGGCTGTGAAGCCCCGTCCATTCTTGAGCGAGAGCAGCTCTTCACTGGAGCGCTCTTGGAGCATGTACTTGACGACGTGGAAGTCCCCGCATGCAGCAGCCTCATGGAACAGCGAGTTATACCCGAAGGCGCGCGGCTGCAATACAAAGTAGACGTCCGGCTGGCTGCGCAGCTTAGCCATCCTGCGGTCTGAGTCCTCCATGCGCGTGTGCTGGGTCCAAGATGTCGAGCCGCTGCCTGGTGCGATGGTGCTTGTCCCGTTTACACTGCGGCTAACAAACACGCTAGCCACCTCAGCCTCCCACTTCACTCGTCGACTGTGCGAACGCCATGTCTTTTGAATCCGCCTTGAGGCTTTGCGCGCGCGTCGGAATTGTCGACATAGCAGCCAACTGGTGACGCAGTACTGCAGCGTTCGGGTGCTCCGCCTCAACGCGAGGTAGTGACATCTAGCAATCCATCCAACCATGGCGTGCTGAAGGCGAGCCACCGCAGCCTTCCGGACAACAAATACGCGTCGAGCAGCATGCCGACGGCGTTGGCTCTGGATGCAAACCACCCCAGACCTCAGCGTGACAAAACGTCGGCGAGCTTCCCACTTCCGCACCAACGCCTGGGTCTTTGTGATGCAAACTTTGAGCTTTTTGAAGCGTCTTCGCTGCAAGAACTGACGCACAAAGGCTGCCAGCACAATTTCGGCTTTCTTCTCGAGCAGGAACCGCCGGCGCTGGGTCCGAGCCCGGTACCTGGTTTGAATACGGATGGCTGCACGTCGCTGGGCCAAGAAAGCTCGACGATGAGCATGCATGCGCTGCCACGACTGCAGCTTCAGCGTCGATCGAAGCCGCAACTTCCGCTCACGCTCCGCGGCAGTGCGCAGCATGAACCCTCGCACGTGACGCTGGATCTCAGTCGCTGCTCGCGTAGCCTTGAGGAATCGCAGGAAGTTGCAACGCGTCACGTATCGACGCGACACTCGCGTCATGATACAAGCGGCGCGCTTCTTCTTCTGGAACAAAGTGGTGAGCTGGAAGCATCGGAACTGCGCTTGGATTCTGATAGCGGCTCGGTGTTGCTTCAGATACTTCGCTCGCTGCACTCGCATACGCCATAGCGCCTGCCACTTAACCGTTGCTCGACGCAGTTTGTGAAACTTCTTGAACGCGAGTCGAGCACGAACCAGTTTGGACTGCAGAACCACGATACTTTCTTGTCGGATCGTGGCCAACGAACCCTCAAGCCTCTCCACCTGGCCGTAGCGAAGGAAGATCTCGTTCTTGCCCATGGCAAAAATTTGTCGAGCCGGCGCGCGCGGGGGCTTTGGCTCAGTCTCGTCTTTCTCGGTCTCGGGTGATTCGTCGTCTTCTTTCAAGGGCTCTTCACTTTCGAGCTCCTTGTCCTTGAGCCACTCGCGAGCGATGAACTCACAGGCTTCTCGCATCTTACCAGGATTGTTTCGCGTAGCAGCAACACCATACTTCGCGATCGCCAGCGACCAGAAGAGCTCGTAGAAGACACTGTACTGCTTACGGATTGGGAACCCTTCCTGTCGGATTCGAACCACCTCCAGCACGCCGCTGTAGGTGAGTTGGTCACGTACGAGCTCACAGCTGAATCCGCCGGGGAACTTGAGGTTGTTCGGCTTGATGCACTTGATGTAGCTGGGCGTCGTGCTCCACAGAACTTCCATGAGCTCAGCTAACTGCGTGCGGAAGCGACTTGACACGGTTGTTGTACCAGTGAGAGACGCACTCTGTGTGCGCTTGTGCATCGCCCCTGTCGGTGTGGTCGGGCCACCGCGTTTAGTTGCAGCGCCACCAAGTGAAGCTGCGACTGGAGCACTGAACATGGCTTGCAGTAGCGGCTGGGAACTGCGACGCAGTAAGTCGAGCAGGTCGTCGTGCAGGTTGTCGGTGTTCTTAGCGATGAAGTCGTGGATATCGTAGACGACATCGCCCGCGTAGTGGCGGATGATGAACTCGTCACACTCGAAGCGTGGCTTCGCGTAGCTCGGGTGCTTTTCGAGGTGGTTCCCGTGGTAGATCGTGAGGAGCTGCTTGTCCGTGGTCTTGCGCTTGAGCAGCATTTGCTCCTCGAGCAGAGGCAGAAGTCCGAGAGGAGGCTTCTGAATGAGGTCCAGGCAGCGCTGATTGTCCTGGAATTCCACGGGGGACACCGCGATGCCTTCTCGGGCGTATCGCTCCTGCTCCAGCACGAATACGTGCTTGTTGAACTGCTGCTGCAGAGTCTCGTTCGTGAAGTTGATGCACAACTGCTCCAAGCTGTTTCGCTTCATCACCTCGAAGCCAAAAATGTCCAGGATGCCGATGAATGGAGCTACCGTGGGCGCTGTTGCACCGCCTTGGACACGAGACTTTGGCGTCTTTTTGTCCGTTGTGGGGATCAGAGACGTCTGCTGCTTGGCGCAGGCGTTGATGCGTGTGATCACGTGGTGGAAGAGCTCGCCGTACAGGTACTTGCAGAAGGCGTCCATGGCATTCTTGGCCTGTTCCGGTGTGAGCTTGATCTCGAGGATACTGCCACGACCAGTTACGGTGGTCTGCGTCACCATTTTGTTCGCGAACTCGGCGGCATCGACACCCAACAGCATCGCAACGTGCTCCAAGTTCACTCCAGCGTCGCTCTCTGGGAACACGACATGTGTTGGGTCGTTCTCGCGACTATCGTCTCCATTTGTGTCGTCCTGCGTTGTGGGGCTCTCAAACTGCACGTTACCGAGGTGCAAGATGGCTGCAAGCACTTCAAACATAGGGCGTTGGAAGCTGGCGTTGTCCATTCCGAGCTGCTCGAGACACCGACGAAGCTGCTCGAACTCGGTGGCATCGTCCACTCCGTCCACCTCGACGCAGTCTCCACGCGTCAGATACGTGTAGTTCCACACGTCATTCTGCAGCAACAAGGGTCGATCCGAGTCCGAAGGGTCCGACGACGAGGTTGTCAGAGTGTCGAGACCCGCCAGCAACTGGTAGAAGATGTGGTAGTTGCGCTCGTTCACTTCCGGTCGCACGAGCCGCGTCTTCTCCAGCAAAAAGTGGCGGATGGACACGCCCGCCATGCGCCCTTCGCTGCTGTAGTGGATCTGGATGTACTTGCCGAAGCGGCTCGAGTTGTCGTTGCGCGACGTCTTGGCGTTGCCGAACGACTCGAGGATCAAGTTGGAGAGCACCACGCACTCCTCGATCTGTTCGTGGACGCCTGCAGCGACTGTACTAGAGCTGGCGGCGTGTTTGCTCGCAGTGGCGAGGTACTTCATGATGTACTTGGAGGCTTCGGTCTTACCGGCGCCGCTCTCTCCACTGATGACAATCGACTGCGGGGTTCCAGACCCAGGAACGACGCCCTTCATGCCTGTGTAGGCCTTCTCAGCGATGGAGAACAAGTGAGGTGGTGCGCTGCTGTCGCTGGTAGAACCGTCCCCCGTGGCGGTGGCAGCTTCTTCGCGGCTCTTCATAAAGCCCACGACGTCGTAGAGCAGCGGGATGGACTTGTACGGGTTGATGGACAGCAGGATATCCGCCGTGAAGGTATAAATCTCGTCGCGCTCGAAGCGCTGGCGCAGCACGTTGAGCAGCGGCGCCTCGTGCATGTTGTTCATAAGCGCCACGTCCGCGTGATCCACAATGTGCGACGCGTCGAAGGTGACGAGCTGGTCCATGCGCAGGGTCTGCACCTGGTCGTCTGCAGCATCAGGGAGGTAGACCTGCGCCGTCTTGCGGTCGTCGGCGATGCTCTGCACCTCGCCGATCCGCCAGAGCACTTTGGCGTCGGCCACCCACACTTTGGTGCCGACCTGCAGGTGGTTGGCGTCGATCTGGCCGAGCGGAGCGGGGCGTCCGGCATGGTTGGCGTTGTTACTGTGCTGCTGGTTGTTGCCACTGGGGCTCTCGAGCGCCTTCCCGAGCGTCTTGGAGCTGGGCGGCCGCGTCGAGATCGTCGGGGGCGTCCTGCGCGCGAGCATCTTTACGGCAGCTCCGCCCTCTGCGATCGAGGGAGGGCGCGTCGTCGTGGCCGGATGATCAAGTAAGCGCCCCCGCGGAGACGCCTTTAGTAGCGGCGCCCCTTGACGATTGCAGTCGTTTCGAAACGAATTGATTGCCGGACCGTTATCCTGAGCGAGATAGGACTCGCTGCTTGACTCGACTCGCTCACGTGCGCTGGCGACGTCAGCAGGCCACCCACACCCACAGCTACGCAGCACTCACTCTGCTGGCACTGAAGCGGCGAGGCCGCTCCCGATGCTCCCCAACTTTGAAGTTGAAGTTGGAAGAGTGATGGTCTTCGTTCGTAGTTATGTGGTCCACTCATACGGTGCGCGACGAATCTCGGGGGATTAGGTTGCGCAACGTACCGAAGCTGGTCCGCACCGTATGGGTGAACCACACCACTTCGTACTTAGTCGTTCGCTTCAACAGTCTCAATTACGTGGCCGTCTGTCCGGTATTACAGTACTGTATTGCCAAGATGCACGGCGACCTGCGCGGCTTCTGTACGTGTGTCCCCCAGCTCGTGCTGCTCAGGTCGCTCCTCTAACCCACGCTCTGCTGCTCTGCAGATGGCGCGCCCGTGACCTACGCCTTCTCGCTCGCCGTGGGGGCCGCCAGCTCCGCCAGTCTGCTGCTGGACCGCGGCCGCCTGCTGGCGCTGGACCGGGACGCCATTCTCGCGCGCGCGCAGTACTGGCGCCTGCTCTCGAGCCAGCTCACGTTCCACCAGTGCGTCATTTTCCCTCTAGCTTTATTATTCTCGTAAGTATATTTGTTGCATCTCGCTAACAATTATGTATTTGCTGTGTGCAGTGGGCTGGCCGTGTCGCTGGGGCTCTACGTCGTGTTCCAGTTCCGGGTGCTGGAGAGGCAGATGGGCTCGCGCAAGTTCGGCAGCATTCTCGTGTTCACGCTGCTGATCTCCGGGGCGCTGCAGCTCGCGGCGCTCACGTCCGCCCCCTGGCTGGCAAAGATGATCCCGGGAGGAGCCTACCCCGTCATCGGAGCCTTTGCGGTCTTCTTCAACAGTACGGCTGTGTCTGTCTGTAGTTAGAGCTTTGGGAAGGGAAGGACACGTGCTAAGTTTTTTGTTTACTTGTACTGTTTGTAGGATTTATTCCCAAGATGTCGCCCCGATCGCTGAGTGTGGGTGGGTTGCACTTTTCGGACAAGTCGAGCACGTATTTGCTCATGCTGGTGGTACGATGGAGATGCTGGCGCTTTTGTTGAGTTGGGAAGGTTATGCGGATAAACTAACGAATTGGTTGCTTGTGTGTTATACTGCTGTGTTAGATACTGGCACGTGACTATCACGCGCTGATTCCGTTCCTGGGCGGATCGTTCTTTGGGCTCCTATTCAGCTCGACGCCACTTGGACGACTACGACTGCCGTCGTTTGTGTGCTCGATTTTCGGCCTGTTCCACCCGCTGTTCGACGTGGTTCCTGCGAGTACCTTGGCTCTTCAGCGACAGCGGCGTGCGCTCGAAGCTCAGCGTCGATTGAATGCGCGGTTTAATCGGGGCCGCCCTGCTGCGCCGGCTGTGGAAGGACAAGGCTTCCGGGACCAGTTACTGCCGGGCGCAGGGGGCATGATGCCTGGTGGCGTTCCTGCTGCAGCCGCCGCGGCGGGAGGCATACTGCCACCCCATCTCGCGGCTGCACCACCGTCTGAAGACGCCATTCAGCAGCTAATGGTACGAATTTCCCATTCGTCGATGCAGGCACGATGTAGATGAGCTAACTCACTTGGTTCGTGGTTGGAATTGCAGGCCCTCGGCTTTGATAGAGAGCGCGCGCTGCAAGCACTTCAGTCCACGGACAACAACGTAGAGGCTGCCGCAAATCGCCTCCTAAACGGATTGTAGACCTAAACGGATTGTAGAGGAAGCAGACGTCGCATACAGAGATAAAGACGGAGTCCGGCACTGCGTGCTACTTAATTTCGAGTACACTTCGGTGACTTCCGAGTAATTGCACAAAAGTCTTATTTAAGACTTAGGAAAGACGTCACGTTCGGTATCGCCACCCTGGACAAGGCCAGAGGATCTGCACCGGCGTGATGTATTTAGCTAAAGGAAATTTAAGCTTCATCGAGGAGAAAACACAGGTAAAATGCCGTCTGATTGAGTCTGCAGCGAAAACCCACTGCTGCTTGCCCGGTGCCAAAGCGTCCCAAGTAAGAAAATGCTGAGGCTCAGTTGACGTGGAATGTCTCTCTAGCTCTCACCTGTCTTCAGTCCACAAAGAGCACCCTAGTCCAGTAAGTGCGAGACTTGCCCCCACAGCACCTTGAGCCTCTCCATGGCAGCGCGCTCGAGAAACACCAGCACATCCAGTCCGTCAGCTCCTTTGGCAGCTTCCGCAATGACCACCATACCGTCCAGGAATGGGACCTTGGCAATCCCAGCGTAGCATGGACGAGTGCCGTTGAAGTCGGCGTCGTACAGACCCATGTTGGCCCACGAGGTGAACATGAGGTCAGGTCCGAGGATGTACTTGGTGCTCACGACGACGCGTGAGAGATGTTCCTGTTCAGCGATAAATTCAATTGCGTCGCGCAAAAATTCATCGTCAAGCTCCAAGATGGACGCACGAACTCGACGAGCGAGTTTAATCAGAGTGACGGGGTTGATATCAGCGTCGTCAACTTCCGTCTCTGGCTGCAGTTCCTCTTTGCTGTAGGTCGATAAGGCGCTGAAGACGCAGTTGCCTGCGTAATTCGTGGGCAATGGGGGGTCGAGTCGCCGTCGAGCATTCACACCCGTCGTGATTCGAACGTCTTGGCCGTGCCCTCGCGCTCGTGAGCTCAGCACAACGAAGAGAGCCGTGATGATGTCGATTGTACTGACGAAGGGCGGATCAGCGATGTATCTTTCACTTGCAGTACGTGCAAGTGCCTTGAGCTTGGATATGCTTTTCCTTGAGACGTGGAAAGCGTGCTGTGTGGTGGGAAATCGGGATTGTTTCTCCACTTGGTGGAGGCACAATCTTTATTGCGGGGTGAGGTCGTTGCGATCCTCGCCCCGTTCCGGAGAGCAAGTGTCGGTGGTGGTTGATTACGAGTCTGTGTTCTTTGGCTACTCCACTATAGAGTTGCCCCCATGCTCGCATGAAGGTGAAGAGACCTTCTCCGTCCATCAGAGTATGGTTCAGCGTGATTCCGATAGCCACCCCACCGTCCGCGAGTGGCGTGCACCGAATTGCAATCGTCTCGTACTTCTCCAGTTTCGAAGGCATGGAACTCCACTCAAGAGATGCAACCACCTCATCCGAGGTTAGTGAGCTCTTTGGCTGGTGCTCGAAGCGGAGACCTGCTGCGCCTTGTCGTCGAGCCTTAGGGGTCTGTAGCACACTCACACGACCAGTGGCATCATCCACTTGCACGTTTCCAACGAGAAATCGGTAGTCTTCATTCACCAACTCTTGAAAAGAGGCGTCCAGCTTCTGGAGATTAAAAGCCCCAGTACAATCCGCAGGCGCCGGGAACACGTAGATCACAGCGAAGCCGTAGCTCAGCAAGACAGCGTCCATGGGCGACAATAGCACCAGCAGATCTACTTCAGGTGTAGCAGCAGAGTTGTCCGACGTCATCCTGCTAGTGCTGAAGAAATACGAGCAGTGGAAGTTGCCTGCAGCAGCAGTCGCTTGATAATTGTGTAACGTGAGGCTGCTGAAATTAACGGATATCGCCTCCTGGCGGAGACAAGAGGAGCACAATACACATGTATCTGGGCACACACGTGCAATCTAATACACGGAACGCCATTAGGGTGGAGTCAATAGTTGCAAGTTGTTGCAGCGCAGCTCATATGAAGTCTATGTACTCGAAAGCACGATCCGACCATGCCCAGCCCCCCCCCCCCCCCCCGCGCCAACTCATTTCCATCAGTATCCTGTATCCACGAACAGGTGTCGGGCACGAACCTCATTTTCTCGGGCAACCACTCTGCGAGTCTGGACTAACATGCCCCTTGTCGTGCGTGGCGTAAGATCGTGACTGAAAACTGTCCGTCCATCGGCGCCATGCCACCCAGGAGTTTGGCTACATGGCGTTGCGGGGAACGTTAGTTGACAGCTAGTTAAATCCAGACTTCTGGATTCACCGAGGCGCTCTTCGTGAGGATGACAGGGACGTAGAGGTCTCCCGGTCACTCGATGGCTGGATGCACGCACGAATTTCCTAACCCATCGCTGGATCCAGCTGCGAGGGGTCATTGTCCTAACGACGCCGCAGCGTGAAAGTCTCAATAGCACAATGACCTGGAGGTGGCTATTAGCGCTCGCGTCTCTCTGGACGGTGCAGGTGATGGCAATGACGCCGCCCATATGCATGAACTCGTCGGGTCTGTGGGGTGGAGGCACCCTTCTGTCGTCGTGCAGTGGCCAATGCAGTGGCGGACTGCTCTGCGACGTAGCTGTCGACGGGGACTACACCTGCTTCAACTACACGGACTCGGCGTTTGTCCTCCTCATCCGAGACTCTGGCTACCAAAGCGACGAGGACGCAGCTGCACGAGTGGCCGATGCGTCGTACGTGTCGAAGGTTGTCGAGCTTCCGGACGACACCGAGGTATACCCTCATGTCGACAACTGCTACCTGTACGACGTCTCTAAACTTGAGATCAACTCGGACATTGATCAAGTGTAAGTGTTGGTGTTCCCCGTCTGTTGGCAATGTCTCTAACCTAACAAGTGATGCGGATGTTGGTTGAACTGCAGGGTGCTTGCCGGGGGTAACAGCTACAGAGGCTACTACAAAGGTCGAGTGGGCTACCTCACGCTCAACTCGGACTTCATTGCCAATCAGTCCCAAATCACGAGGGTGTCGCTCATCAACCTCAACCTGAAGGACGTTTTGCACGACTTACCGTCGAAGCTGCCGGTGAACACCACGCAGCTGGATCTGAAAAATACGTTGATCTACGCGTTCCCGACTCAACTCACGGCGCTCCCGAAGCTTGAAAAACTGTTGGTATCTCTGCGACTTCGTGATGCTGTGGCTGCTATCGCGATCTAATTATTTTCCTTGGTATCGGATTCAGATCACTGGAGGGGAACTACATATCGAGTCTCAACGAATCTGACGTGATACCCACTCTGAAGAATTTGTACGTGGTTTGAGCTGCCTAAATATGTGTTGCAAGGGCTTACGTTCGTTTTCTTTGGTTTGGTCAGAAATCTTGCGTCAAACAACCTTACAACCATGCCTGAATCACTCAAGAACCACGAAAATCTGGAGACCCTGTAAGTACTGGGCGATGAATAAAACCTTTGATTGCGTACTATCTAACCGAATGTGGGGTTTCGACAGAAACTTAGGCTCCAACAAGATCGAAGAAGTCAGCGCGTTAAACTTTTCCGATACACTTACAGCGCTGTACGTTAAGCTTTGCCATGCGACTTGAGTCTGTTCGTGTTCACTGATCATTTGGGTGCGAATGTTTTGCACTGTTCAGGAATTTGAGTGACAACAACATCGTGGCCTTTGAGGCAACGTACCCAAACCTGGAAATCCTGTACGTGGTTCTTGCCTTGCTCTGCTGTCCTTGTGTTGGTTCTTACGAAGCTTCTTTTTAGATATTTGGGTGGCAACAATCTGACCGCGATTCCAGCGGCTGTGTACAATTGCACAAAGCTCAAGAGCTTGTACGTACTGTGAGATGCTACTTGTCTCCAGACTTTGGTGAACCTAATTCACCTCTTCCTCATGTGCGATGAACAGGTATCTTTCCGGTAGTGGTTCGTCCCTCTTGTCGCCAATATTCACTGACAGCCAATTCCAGTTTTTGCAAAGTCTGGATACGTTGGACGTCACTGAAGCCGACTTCGACACCCAACCAGCTTGCCAGACGAACAACACTCAGCTACTTCGCAACACGATTCCAGTCTGCCTGACATCAGCAGCACCCGTGGCTACTACAACAACAGATTCAAGCAGTGGAGGGATAGCGACTGGGGTCATTATCGCAATCACCGCAGGTGGGGCTGTTTTAATCCTGATTCTTCTCGTACTCGTGATCTGCGTATGCCGTCGACGTCGCCGGGCTGTGAAGTTCATCACGGCGGAGCTGGACGACCCGCAACTCGTGCCCCTCATGTTGAAGCCGGGGGACATCAAGAACGTCAAGAAGATCGGTGCTGGTGGCCACTGTGTCGTGTGGCTCGTCAGATACCGCAAGTCGCAGTTGTTGGCCTCAAAGCGCCTTCGGAAGGACTTGGCCCGTCGACGAATCACCAAGGCCTTCATCGAAGAGATCAAGCTGGCCGCTCCGCTGGACCACCCAAGTGTGGTGAAGCTCGTCGGAATCGCGTGGACAGTCAAGACCGACATCCAAGCTCTGTACGAGTACGTGGACAACGGAAACGTGACCGACTACCTGACCAGACCCGGTACGCTGCGTGAGTGGACCCAACAAAAGCTGCAGATCGCCTTGGAGGTGGCGGAAGCTCTGGTCTACCTTCACTCGTTCGCGCCTCCTGTGCTGCACCGAGATCTGAGGGCGAGCAACGTGCTGCTTACTAGCGAGATGAAGGCCAAAGTGAGCAAGGTCGGCGTATCCCATCTGAGGGCGCTTGCTAGCGGCGACAAGGACCAGCAAAGTGTTATGGGTCCGTGGCAAGCGCCGGAAGTCTTGATGGGCTCAGACGACCGTGACCCGGCAGTCGACATCTTCAGCTTTGGCGTGCTGCTGTCCGAGCTGGACACCCATGCGCCGCCCTACAATGACGCTCGAAGTCTGAGCGGCACTCAGTTGGCCGAGGCGGTGGTGCTTCAGATGATCGCTGCAGGCTCCATCCGCCTCAGGTTCGGTGAGGACTGCCCGTCAGATTTGAGGTCGCTGGCCGATTCCTGTCTCGCCAAGAATCCGCGCGTGCGTCCTGCCGCGTCGGAGCTGGTGTACGCACTACGGACGATCAAGAAGCTGGTATAATTGTAAGCAGGTAGCGTCGATTTTGTTTGTAAATCCCATGGAATTGTGATACGCACAGGGGTCTCTCTCGGTTGTTTGATGCTGATATGAAAGAGTAGAATTGATAACTACGAGCGTAGGTAGCTTTTGAGAGAGCAGGGCCCGCTTGAAGGGGGCAGAGCCCATTCAGCAGTAAGCCCCCGAGTCACCTTCGGTAGGTGCAGGAGTCGGCTCCGAGGTGGAGTTGGTGTCGGGCGCAGTGGTCGAGTCAGGTGGACTCGTCGTAGATGGAGGGCTTTGTGTAGTCGTCGGAGGACTGGTTGTGGTTGCCGGTGCTTCCATCGCCTCCTCTGGGTTAAGGACGACGTTGATGGCGTAGGAAGTGTCCTCCCCAGAGCATCCATCGAGCTGCTCCAGCAAGTCCGCCTTCAGGTTTTCAGACTGGTACCCGTAGTAGCAATTGGGCAGCGAAGTGGCCAGCTCCTCGAGCTTTGAGGCGCACGCCGAGCCGCAGAACGTCGTGATGACGATGCTGGAGCTCGAGACGCTCGAGTCGTCCGCACACTCGTCACTGGAAGCAGCGGCCGTGTACAGATCCACCATGTCGCTGATCTCCGAGGCCGCACAGTCCGTGTTGGAAGCTGTCGCCGTTGGGGATGGAGCAGTCGTCGACGGGGTGTCGGTGCTTGGGGAGCCTGGGTCCGTGGTGTCTCCCCCGGTGCAGACTGTGATGGCGTTCTGCACCTCGATCTTGTTGCTCACGCCGCTGTACGTGCAGTCCGACATGGAGGCGGCCATACTCGCCAAGATCGCCGTGCAGTCACTGGCGTCGCAGGGCCAGTTGAAGTACGAGGTGCCCGAGGCGTACGGCGCACAGGCCGATTGCGTTGCGGCCCAGGCCCACAGCTCGTCGTCGTGGGCCACCTCCGCGTCGGTGCATTCGGCGGCGAGAGCTCCGAGTGGCGCCAGGGTGAAGGCGACGACAGTGAGCAGCGAGGCGAGTTGACGCATGGAAACTTGGTGAAGTGGCTGCTTGGTTAAGACGGACTTGAGCAACGCCGGACAAGTTTGGAAATGGCAGTGGTGAAGGAGATAGCCCGGTACCATTGAAGAGTGCAGCACGTTGAAGTTGATTCGATTTGGGTGCAAACGCCGGTTTTCGCCGAAAACTTTTCGGACTTGAGTCCGAGGCAACGTGGGCATGGCGCCAGCAAATTCACTTCAGGCGCATCGTTAGCGGACATTGGGTTCCGGGTGCAGCTACCGGTACACCGACACCGACACCAAGTCTTTATACTACTGTAGTATGTTCCAAGAACGCCGTGATCGGCAATACTTGCCGAGCTGTCTCAAGCATAGGATGATCGTCAGTCGCCCTGTCAGCACTTTGCAAGGTTATCCTATTATAGTTTTTGCGTTGTTGGGTAAAACTTTCTCATGGTTTTCTAATGTTACAAGGTTTCGATGCTCCCCGCTTTTGGCGGGATGTTGGCTCAAGGAGCAAGACCAGAGCAAGAGGGTATGGTAGCTGCGGGTCTTCGCAGCTGGGTCTACTGATTGACAAATAGGTAGGAGGTATGGCAGCGACTAATATGTCGGAGTCACCGGGGTCGAGGCGCTTACTTGCCGAAGTAGTGCAGCTCGATGGGCCGCGTGACGAGGTACGACACGATGGCGAAGACCCAAGCGAGCTCCACGCCGACGTCTCCGCCGAACGGGGCCTCGCCGCAGAGCTTGGCGATGGGGCCGACGTACCACGTCTGGCTCATGCCCAGCACGGCGCCGACGATGCCCACGCAGAAGGAGAAGACGGCGGCGATGCCGTGCGGCAGCTTGTCGCGGTTGTCGTAGTCGGCCGGGTTGTAGCCCGAGTAGCCCCGGCGGAAGTAAAAGTGCTCGGTGAGGCCGATGGCCGCGTACACGGACATCCAGTAGCCGATGACGTTCATGAAGTTCTCGAGCACGCTCTCGAAGTGCGAGTAGCCCGGGAAGGCCACGACCGCGTAGATGACCGAGCCCACGAGCGTCCATACGAAGCGCGGGATGGCGCGCGTCCACTCGCCGAAGACCTGCACGGTGATGGCGAACGAGTAGATGTTGGGGCAGTTGTTGGCGATGATGGACAGCGCCAGCAGCACGAGGCAGAACTGGCCGAAGCCGCCCAGCGGGCCCACGATCACGGCGCTGATGAGGCCGCCGGCGCCGGCCTCGTTGTAGCCGTCGCGGTACTTGCTGTCCGGGTTGCTCTCGTCCGTGGCCGTCATGACGGCCACGCCCAGGAACTGCGTGAAGAGCAGCGGCACGATCAGGCCGGCGTACGCGGACAGGAAGACCTTGAGCTTGCTCTGGTTCACGGGGTGGTACACCGTGTAGTCGGCCGCGTAGGACGTCCAGCCGATGGCGAAGCCGAACACGGTGGCGCCGAAGCTCAGCACGCTGCCGACCTCGGACGTGCCCGTGCCCATGGGGATGTTGACGTAGGCGCCCGAGATGGCGAACTCGATGAGCACGATCATGAAGACGATGAAGGCCGGGATCCAGGACCAGAACTCGTACGCGTGCACCACCTTGTAGCCGAAGAGCGTGACGATGAAGGTGCAGACGGTGATGATGATGATGCCGGCCCAACCGGGCACGTCGTTGTTAACGGCGTTGATGACCTGCGCGCCCACGATGACGTTGATGCAGGACCAGCCGAGGCACGCGATCACGTTGAAGACGGCCACGATCTTGACACCGTGCCAGCCGTACCAGAAGCGCGAGAGCACGATCTGGCGCAGGCCGAAGATGGGGCCGAACGTGGAGAAGTAGCACACGGGCAGGATGCCCACCATGTTGAAGAAGAGCACGACCAGGAAGGCGTCGGCCGAGCCCAGGTAGAACAGCGACTTGCCCAGCACGCCGATGGCGAAGGAGCTGATGACCATGTTGGCGGCCAGCCACATGCTGCCCACGTTCAGCAGCGAGTCGTCGTGGCGCTCGTCCTCGGGCACGCGCTCGATGCCGCGCTGCTCGATCTTGAGCTTGCCGGCCCAGCGCTGCAGCCGCGCGTAGAGCGAGTTGCCGTCCTCGAAGTTCTGGGGCTGCTCCGAGGCGCGGACCGGCACGTCGCCGTCCAGCTTGGCGTAGGCCGCCTTTGGCGACGACTTCTCCAGGTCCTGCAGGTGCTGGCTGTCCATGGCGGAAGCTCGACGACGGAGAGGACGGGAAGGGCGAAGTACGGGAGTCGACGCAAAACGAGGAATGAGCCCGGAGCTGCTGGCGGCGGCCGGGACCACCGATCTGCCCGATGAGATGATGCAAAGATGGCACCAACACGGAGGGGAGTGCGACGCGCGACGCGTGAACGAAAAAGAACCCCGCGCCGTGCAGAGAGCGAGCCGCGCTCGGCCAGCCGCCGTCACGCAGGACTTGCGGGCGCCGAGTTTCGCTAGGTGTGCGCGCATTGCACAGCTGGGGCAGGCGGAGACAAGCGAAGAGAGCAGCGGATCCCGTGGACACGCCTGATCAGCAGGCCACGCCGCCGCCAGGGCCGGCGCAGCGAGCGAGAGCATGGGGATCTCTTGCTTGTCAATCGCTGGTGCGTGTTCAGCGGTGGCGATGGTTCATAGAGTGGGAGCGCATCATCCGCGAGCGGTCAACTCTTCCAGCGGAGACTGAGTCGGTTTGACGCGGCCCTCGCTTTGGTGTATCGCTCGGCCGGCGACTCGGCGCTAACGCAGCCAAAGCGCGACGGTGATTAAAGGTGGGGAGGGGGGATCGCTACGCCAGCGACTCGCTGCTGGGCTGCCAGGAACGAGCGGTTGGCGGCGGCCAGGCTCGAATCGACTCCGCCGATCGCGAGCATCATCGTGGTCACGCTTCAAAGCGCGTGAGACCGGCCATCCCAGCAGCGGCCGAGTCAAAAGGGACCACGGCGCGGCTGTCACCAGTCGATGCCAGTCGGTGGGAACTCTATCTACCATACGTAAACCTCCGGTTTAGCTGCGTGCAGATTAAAACGGTTGCCCACCTGGCCAGTTGAAGTGCGCGAGCAGCGAGTCGCTGCTCAGGGCGCGTGGGCTCCACGCCGTGCATTGCGACCCTCAATTCTGTCCCTTTTGCGTTTTAACCCTTTCACTACCAGAGATTTTAGAAGGTTTTAACCTGATTTGCGCTTTTTTTTAAAAAAGCAACAACCGGAAAAGGATAATTTGTGGGGTCACTCAAAAATTTGTAATATTGTGGTTTTCAAATATTTTGCCGCCCGATTTGACGTGTTATCTCGGAGTCCGATTTATATAAAATGGAGCTCCTACATGATCGGTTAGTCCAATTAAATGCTATATCTGGCCTGAGTTAGTAGCATAAGGCTCAGAGGGGAGGCATTCCAAGCTGGCCATTGGCCAGCTTGTGAGGTGAGGAGGTATGGCCAGTGGCCATACTTCCTCACCTCTCATGACGCATTAGAACTGCAAGACATTGGGGACAATAGTACACTGTATATAGCCACTTCATAGCACTATGGCCAGCTAAATCACCTGTGTGATCATCTACGGCCGCTACAACCTCGATCTGAGAGGGCCCCAGACATATTTTCGCGGCGGTCCCTTTTGCCGGCGAAAAGCGGCATTTCTGGCCCCTGCTTCGCAACTCGCAGCCCCCAGACGCAAATCGGGCCAGATAGAGTTTGCTTCCCTCAGCCCCTCCTGCTAAATCGGAGCCCTCCAGCAAGATATATGATTTGGATGAAAGCCACAATAAATATTGACTAAGTAAATATTTTCCGAAAATCAAAAAAAAGAATTTTCCAGGATATGGTGATATTGGAGAAATCGTTAGTTTGGTACAGCCCGCACCTATATCATCTAGGTAAGCAAAGGGTCCAAGCGAAAGTTATAGACTCCAAAGCGCATTTGCCAGCACTGATGGCTCATAGTTCGCCATATTACTTCAGAAGTCTCCTCTCAAACTTGGTACCCATGCCCCCCCCACCTCCGCATGCATTCACATTCAGTTGGGTTTCTACCAATCAACAGTGCCGATTGGGGACCCGGGTGGTAGACCCGGGGGGGTTCGCAGTTCGAAGCTAGCTTGCACGGATACTTGTAGAGGGAAACCATGGATTCGGGCATCTCCTGCGCCTGCTTCGCAGCCGCAGCATCTGCCTAGGACTGTACAACCAAGTGTACCAAGTTTGACCGCTTCTTTTCAAAAGGCATTGACAGTCTACAGTATATATCGTCACTCCGATGGATTGAAAAACGCAGAGTTTAGTTGAGTTGGTACTTCAACGCTTCGGGCTTCTCCTGCTCGTCGGATCAATATTTCACGGATTTAGTTTTAATTTTAGTTCTTTTGTACTTAGCAGAACGATCATCGACAACTAGCTAATCAACGTACTTTCCTTCCTTCCTGCCACTGAAATGTGCGCTGATGCCTAGGCAGAACCTTTTTCCGTGTCTTGCTCGGAAACTTACCGGAGGAGACAAAAGAAGAAAATCCGTGTATTTGAAGATTTAGCGCTGCCAGGCTAATTGCTCAACTGAACCTGCTGGGAAAACGGATGAAGCCAGCAATTTGTTTCAAATTTGATACGTCAAAACTGAGGTCTAGCAGATCTCGATCGCCTGTAGGAGCAGGATACACCGGGTATTTGCCCTTCGCTTTGATACTGTCCGCTCGGGCTTCCTCTCGCGCAGGAATTCGGGGCGTACAGCGACGACGTAACTTAGAAGCATTAAAAAGCTGTTTGATACAACATGGCGCAGTCACACACATATTTCGTCCGGGTCGCCTGAATATCTAACAACAAAACCCGTGTCTGCTTCAATTCGTCCAATTATGCCATTGCCATTTATCAAGTATTAAGCTGGTCGTACCGTATTCATGTAGCATTAGGATGTTCTAAACTAACATCGGTAACGGTGTACTTCGAAGTTGTTTGACAAGAACAGGATCAAGTAGTGCATAATTGTATTAATACACCACCAGTAGTAAATGAGCTCGGGGAATCCCTGCTGGTCGCAATGTAGTCTCACACAAAGCAAGAATAATACCAACCAAAGTCTTTGTAGATTAAATGCCTGAGCGACAGCAGCTAGGTTTTTAATGGACCCACATGAGCCATTCCTAGCTCGATTAATTTGAACTAGGTTCCTTCCAGTTTCATACACGGTCGTTATTCTTTTTGCGCTAGCTTCTAGCCTTTTCTCCGGAGAAGACGTACCATCGGGTGCAGCTCTTTGGCTCTCTGCTAGATAGCGTTTGCATTGGATACAAAATCGTTGAGCGGAAAACTCAAGATATACCTCCCATTTTGGATCACATATCGTTAAAAATAATTGAAGTAGTTTTTGGCGAAGTCTCAGTGGAATGTTCAATCTAATACACCTAAACGCATTTCAATACGTGTGGGGATTCACACAATACCAGCCTGTCAACAATGTATGCCACGAAAATTGCACAAGATTTTCAGTTAATCTCTCTGATTAACTATCCATACAGAAGAAAATCGATCGCAAGGTGAAATCATCTTCTCGCGTGTCTGAAAGAGGAGGGTATAATATGAGTTATGACCCATGACAGAATGAAAAGGTCGAAATGACAGTTTAAATGCTCGAGCATGGCCAACGCAAAATCGAAGTAATTCGGAAGTAGTAGTCTGCTCTGCGAAAAATGCCCCTAACCCGGGACACGATATGGCATACACACAACACGCAGTGTCGCTTTTGTATGCAACAAAAGTTTATACAGTACAACGTACGCCCAGACGTTGTGCAAACAAATTGAATTATTCATTCCCTGCTCTTCACACATCACTACGGAAAATCACCTTTCACTGGTGTGTTGACATTTGGCGAATCTGTCGTTCGTTGGATCCCCTCGACAGGAATGCGAGCGCACATGTAGTTCTTCTCGCCCAGCGTGAGCGCACGTGTTTCAGGGTGAATGCTGTACCGCGGCCATGATGCTTTCGTATGAAGAAGAAGTTGATTAACTATTTTTTGACAAGCCGTGTCGCTAGCTACGGTAAACTGTAGTAATATCTACTTGGCCAACTTGGATTTTGATGTTGAACCCAAATTCGACTACTTTTCTTTAGGCAAACTCACTGGTTTGGGTCGAAGCCCAGTCGTTATAAAACAGAAATCATTGCATTCTTGTCGAGCTTCAGTGCTCGGAATCTCACAGCTACACTTCCTCGACCTTGGTGTAAGGCACACCAATGGCTACATACATTTATGACCACCACGTCGGGTGGTCCATACACATTTAGGATTCCTATTGGCTGAAAGCAGCATCTTTTAGCCAATGAGTGACTTGCATGTTAGCAGAATCCTGCCAACCAGCCGTTGGCAGATTCCTAGTTTAGAATATTACATTTAGAGGAAGTCAGAAACATAAAACAAAAATAGCAGTTCTCATCTTTTACCAAAACCCGCTACTTGGAGTCTTTATCTTGTTTAAAGTATACTCGTGGATCTCGAGTATACTTAACTCAAGTAAAAGAAACCTACGCTTCCTCATACACGTGCGCATACGTGTAAGCCGTAGTAGTGAGCCAAGGTAGGCCCATTACAGAACCAGCAGCAATGCGTTGGCGCTGCCACTCCAGACGGCCTGGCCGCTGGCTGAAGCGTGGATCCGGCGCAAACTCGGGTGTGTGGCCACGACGAACAACGCGTTTCAGCGAAGAGCACGTCGGTTGCGGGTCGGTGATGGTGTCGCTCGGGGAGGCCGTTTGAATGCGATTGGCGGGCAACAGGGCGTAGCGTGTGTCCGTGGCAGTGCGCGTGCGGTGCGTTTGTGTGCGTAGCGCGCGCAGGGGCGAGGACAAAGCGGTCCGAAAAATGGAGGTTAGGTTTTCCATTTTGCTGGGCGCATAGCGCAGTGGTAGCGCGTCCGCTTTGCAAGCGGAAGGCCCCGGGTTCAATCCCCGGTGTGTCCAACCCTTTGTTCGACTCACCTCCTCTTGCACGCCTACCTACATGCCTGCTTGCGACGGCCCGCAATGCCGCCGCTTTATGCCCTGCGTACAGCTGGACAGCCGCTCCAGATCGCACCACCCAGTCCAAAGCTCGCCTCGCAGCTTTCCACCGCACCCCCCGATGCACGAGGTCGGTTCGATGACCGCTACGCCGAACCTGTAACGGGGTTACACGCACAAGTGGCTACAGTCACTTGTTACTCTAACAGA